CCCTGTTCAGGGGTAGTAGGGCAGGGAGTTTGAAGACCGCTGCATTATGGGAGTGACGCACCCACACCGCGTCGGGTTTCTGAATTCCATTGCTTGTTGAATTGCGGTACGTTCTGCCCTACTCCAGAGTGCATTTCATTAAGAAAGATGCTGTACCAAACCGACACCGACTGCTGGCACTGTGTCCGCTGTGAAGGTCTCCTTGTCATCCGTCTTTGAGTCTTTAACTCTCACCCCTCCAACAGCCGGTGTTTAGAAATGTTCCGTCAGAAGGATCTGGAATCTTCTCTGTCTCGCACAGCCGGAGAGCTCACCCCTGCTTCCCTGGTCGCCAGCACCTGAGCCTCTTCCTGAATGCTTCTCATCTGTCGTTGCGGAATTGCACCAAAGTCTCTTTCTTCAGGCGTGGTGGCTGTTGTGAAGTTCTCTCAGCCTGACGGTGTTTGCTGGCTGACGGCATTCGCTGGCTGGTGTTTAATTTGTTGTTGGGCTCTACGGGGCCCAAAGGCCGATGCCGCTTGATACGGCTGGTCCAAATAAACACCGATCCAACCAGCCTGAGGCTTTTGGCTGATGTGCCATTTGAAAACTATGAGAAGGCCAGGATCTCTTTTTTTTGTGCACAAACGCAAATATATTGCAGGAGTGACTTATGAAAATAGCTCTGAATAATTGTTGACGCTTTCCAGCAGGAATCTCTGATATGGGGGGCAGGCTGCTATCACAGTCAGATCACTAGGGATTTCTTCCAGGTATCTGGTGACTAATTCAGAGCCCCCTGCTCTGCTCAAATGGACGCACAGCGCCGCCTTGTCATGTGTACACGGGCAACCTGACAACAGGGACAGAAAACTGTGTCCTCACGCTATAAATATAAAAAAATGAAAACTGTGCCCTCACACTAAACACGTTATAAATCTCTGTTGGCAAAATTCTGCTTCTGTAATCCCAGATTTCAAAAGTCCCATCAAAGCCAGCAGGGAGATCTGGGTACACTGTTTGGCATCACTGTTAACGAGACCCCTCATGCTTCATTCCTCATCTGGGATGGGAGTCCAGGAGGATTTAAAAAATGTGTTTTTGGAATGCTGGATTCAGCCTTAAGTAGTGTCCAAAATTTAGGACAGGCCTTGAGGCTGGGATTATTATCATTGCATAGCAGTCAAATCAAACGTGGAATAATGTTTAGATATCTCAGTGCTGAAGGTGGATATTTACAAATCACTTTTTTACATGGATTAAAAAACTTTGAAACAATACAAGTCGAATTTCTCTCTGAATAAAGAACAACAAAAGAGAATAAAGTCCCTTTCATAGTTCATGCTTGTTTTAAGTCCTTTTCCGCATCGACAAAATGGGGTGAAGGAAGGGTAAATGATTTAGAAACAGCTTCAGAAATGCTTTTGAAAGAGAAGCGTTACTTGAACAGAGTACAGGCAGCCGTTGGTTGGTTCATCCTGAAATCTCTGAATCAGCCCTCCATGGCGCTATCCCGCTTTGCCACGTGTTCTTCTCCTAAATAATTTATTTCTTTGCCTTAAAGCAGAACTTCCTAGTTGCCATTTTCACTTTGATCTTCTCCAAGTAGCAATCTGAATTATATATTACTTGGTATTATCTTTATTAGATACACAATATGTTTTGTTTTATTACTATTAATGAGAACACTGCTTAGGCACAAGGAGCAAAGTTCGTCATAGTGATATATAAAGATAAAGTTGAAAGAAAATTTGCGAAATGAGGCAAATCCGATTCAGTCTTTAACTTTGAGTGACTCATTTAACATAATTGTGAGTTTTTTGGGAGCCTTATTGCTTCAGAAATAACAAATGTATGAATCGATTTACTGTAGATGTTTCTGAGACCTCCTGCGTGGCCTATTAAGCTCACCTGCCGAGAGATAAGCTCAACAGGTTAGGCTTGATGTCAAATTGCAGCAAATTACTCCTGCCTTAAATTACACTGTTCTTTTGATATTTCTTTGGCGTTTTTTTTTTTTTTCCATAGCTGAGGATGATGCAAACTGGAAGTGAAGGAAGAAAAAAAAATATGGAATGCTGAATATATGTAGCTGAGGAAAATGTAAGTACAGAGTATCAGAGCTGTGTGGTAGCTCACCAAAAAGGTACAGAAACTTGCACAGAAAAGCCACCTTCCTGAAGGTGGTTGCTTGTATGCACCTCCATCCTCCCGTTGCATCATCTGAAGGTCTGCCCAGGTGAAACAGACCATATTAACGTTAGCATCCAGTCTACGGCTGGGCTTGGTTTATTTTTTAGGTAAACATCTGAGTCTTCTGGCCCGGCACTAAGATGACAGGCGTGTGGGAGGAAGTTCGAGGAGCTGCTCTGACATGCGCCAGAGTGTTTCTGTGTGTTTGGTTTTATCATTTTTTAAAAAAAGTGGTGCGCAGGCAGTGGGCGTCCTTCATTTAAGATGTTAAGCTGCCTAGGTTGTATTTCGGCTTATAGATATTATGGGATGTTCTTGAATAGAAACTCAGTTAAGTTTATTCCATTATTAATTACTGAGTTCTTATTTACAAAGCGTAAGTGCTTTACTCCTGAAATAAGCAGCCAAAGTCTGGGACAAATAGGAAAGCGGGGCCTGTGCTGTGATTATTCCCAGAAAATGAAGCTCTTGCACTTTTTACAACAGAGTGGATGGCTGTTTAAAAATTCAGGACATCCATAATTACATTAGATGAGTTGGGAAGATTGAACGGGCAAATGTAAGCAGTGCAGGTCATTAAGGGAGCGTATCAGCAGCCTAGATGATCACTGCCATCTCAGTACGTCACAGAGCTTCTGAAGTGCGTTAAGCTAGTAAAGCGTTGTCTTCTCACTCAGTACATTTACATGCATACTAAGAAAATTGAATTATTGTGTTAGTTCGACTAAAACTGGACTTTTAAAGTACATGTAAACGTTAGTCCGACTGAAATCATACTTAATTGAATTTTTCGAAGCCGGACTAAGACCCAGATATTGCAATTGGGAGTCGATTTGCTCCTGCATGTGTACATTCAATCGGACTCAAACTGGCCTACACATGCTCCACAGTTTCCCTCTCTGGTACACAGAAGCTAGGAGCATAGCAGAGGACGTACAGCACATATGAAATGTACAGCGCTGTAAAGCTGTTCAATTCACCGCTCAGCTAAAGGGTGCTCTTCAATCACACCAGGTACCGTACTTTTGGTACTTTAAGAAGTTACGAAAAGTATGGTACTTCAAGGTGTTGGTTTTCCACTGGTGTAAAAACTGGTTCCGGTGCCGTATGAGTCAGACATACTTCGGTTAAATAGATTGATCCCCCTCCTGTGCATGTATACTGGGACGAGGACAGTAGTCCGATTAAATGGCATAGCTGAGCTATAACCGTAGCTGAACTTAGCTGTGCACTTAAACGTACTGACAGGCAGATTAGCTAATGGGCGTAACTTGGGATGCTGATCAGCCAACAAGGTCTTTGTTTTAGTGCAGTTCAATTCATTTTCCTGACAATCATTAATGCAGAAAAAATGTAATTCAGAATTGGTGTGTTGAGTGAGCACTAATGCTGGATATTCATTGGAAGAGTAAATGATTGCATATTATTATCACACATTAATGGTTTATAAATAATTATAACCGACTTGTGCTAAAATGAAACAAAATTGGTTGAACACACAAAGAAATGCAACATCCATCATTTTCCTGTTGTTGCAGGGTATTCCCCCCCCCCCCAAAAAAAAAATTAAAAATAGAATCCCACTGAAGTGGGAATTCTGGCTTTTCTGTTACATACTGTATAAAATCATGCAAAAAGTAGGACAATAAAGTTTGGCATGACAGCCACAAATTGAATTTGGGGCATCGTGAAAATGAAAATGTTTTATTTCATATGTATCTTACATGTTTTTACCTTCTAAGTTTGTGTAGAAATTTGCATTTCAGTGTAACACGCCGATGATGGAATCATACCTCTATAAGGAAACAAAATGGCTGTGGTTGGGAACATTCAGAAATTTTATGACTTTGTCCAGGTTCAGCTGAATCAGCCCAAGCACTTTGTTTATTGCATCTCATTAGTTTTGATTGTCTTCCAGTTCTGAGACACCTGTAGCTTACAGCTACATGTGGAAGGTCTTTCTTTCATCCAATGCAAGGGGCGTTTTAGACCCCAATCTCGGGGGTGCTGTTAGCTGTCCATGGCCTATTGATCCTACACAAACAGCCCTGCTTCACTATCCACAGACGCATCCTTGACCTTGCAGAGGTGCTCACCCGTCTCAGCAGAGTGTTCTGATATTATTGTGGGCATGAAGAAGTTTATTACGGAGCTAAAGTCTAATGGACTGCCACCCCTCCCCCCTCCCCTGTTGCCATGGGAATACAGATGCCCGTATTTAGCTACCTTGATCAGACTGTGGGGTCATGCCATCGTTTCCGAGCAGGTCGATCCCTCCTGTGACTTTGTGACATGCCCATCATCTCTTCATCTCTAAGCTAATTGGCTGTTACAGCGGGAAGAACTCAGCGTCATTATCAAACGGGAGTGGGACTGCGGACCGTTAAGTTACATGCTGTGACATGCTTTCATCAGTAATATGCCCGAGTTTATCACTTATTCCTCTCCACGTATATATCTGTGTGCGATTGTCTACATTGGCCACTATCTGTGTGACCTTTGGTCCTTTCCCCTGTTACCCTGTCCTTGCCTCATAGTCATTTTCAGACGTATCGCAGTGTGCCTGCAGTGCATGCGTTCCCCCAAGAATCTTGGACTTAACAATGATTAGTCAACAAGATGGAACCTGTGACCTGCGTTAAATTTGGATTAGATAGAACTGGAATCACCAGCCTTTGTTCTCGAGTCAGTTTTTTTTTTTGGCTCATTTTTATGAGTGTATTGCCCTTTTTGAAGGGCTCACAGTCCCCTCTTCCATGAGACATGAGCGAGATGCAAATGTGCTGCGTTGTGCGTTGAGTAGTTAGTGGTGGACGGGGAGGAGTCACCTGACAGACCCTCCTGGGCTTCCATATCGCAGGCTCCTGTCCGTGAGCTGACACCCCCATGAACAGTCCACTTTGATAAGACAGCTACAGCAGCAGACTTGGGCCTGGATTAAAACTGGGAGAAAAAGAGAGTGTGCAGAGTGAAGCTGAAATTACCCATAATCCAATATGGATGACTAGGTCATACCTAAACTTTAAAGCTGCTTCTTCAAAACAGGTTGAGTTTCAGTGTAAAGTTGTTTTAGGAACTCTTGTAAGCTTGTATTGACTAATGGTGTCCAGACAGTTTCGGTATGTACGTATAAGTATTTCAGCTGAATATATTCATCTGTAGTTGACATGACATTGTGTTTGTGTCTCATTCTAAACCTCCTCTGGGTTTTCATATGCTAATGAGTCCCTGCGCTCTCCTCTCCCGCTCGCTTGTGATCGGCCAGGCTATACCACAAACCGAGACACTAAAGGTCGACCTGTCTGTGCATCCAAACAAAGGACAGTGAGCATTTGGCCCAGCGTCCCGCGGGTGTAGTAACAGTTCTGTGAATAACGTCCTCTAGAAAGGGTCATCCACCTCCCCCTCGGGGTCCTGAAACAGGAGCGCACATTTTGTTTGGCTAGACGGTGGTCTAGACATCCACGGCTGAGATGCGACATTCACCTTTCCTGTTAATGCTTTGTTATGCATATCACTGAGCTCTACTTACACAGTGTACATTTAATCCAGACCTTTGGCTGTAAAAAAAAAAAAATTAAAAAAAATTAAAGGTTTGAAGAATCATAAGACCACAGAAAAAAGATATTAGTTTTCATTTTCTTGACATTGATAATGACTGAACTTCCGGGACAGTTCAGTTTATTGGATGCTGATGTTGGCATAGTGCAGCTGAGTACCTGGTCATTGTCAAAGATGGAAAGACTCGTTTGGTGACTCACTCAAGGCTCATCTTGGGGATTCCTTGGAGCTAGTTTGCAGATATGCTCAGAGCCTCATTTGGAAACTTGTTCTGGAACTAGTTGATCCTATTATAAGGTGTCATGTCAATATCAGCCCCAACACAAACACCACCTTTCTTAAAGGCGGTGCTTGGACTCTGAATTGTAGGTACCGTACCCTGGGTAGGTGGAGCAGCTGTTCACCCGCTGCGATCGCCATGGCAATTCCCTGTTTCCCGAGCCAATCAAATTAAATGACACAGAAATTTGCAAGGAGAGTACCAAGGGGAAGGCCTGCTTTTAAGCTCGCATTTTAAGCTCTCATTTGAAGTGTGTAGGACAGGTACAGGTGTACGTGGGAGGGTGTTAGCATGAGATCTTTGCCTAATGAGCATTCTGCCAAATTTCTGCATTTAAGCTAATGTATGCTTGAAACAACGTGTCTTACATCCATGGCCAAAAACAGCCACTGCTTCACTGAGGATGGTGAATGGCTACAAACACATTTATTTTTTATATGTGTCTGAAATCTGAACATGTTCTTTTCTTTTAACTGTTATTTCTCTTCACACATTAATCCATGTTGCGTCAGCCGTATGTTTTGAATTGTTTCTCTTCGTGTTTCGTTTTGACCCTGTCACACCCATGTCTGTGTGTTTGTGTATCTCCAAGCAGAAATGTTCATTTAGGATGTGTCTTAATCCAGGGACTATATTTTTCAAACTGAACCCCACGGGTGTTTCTGGAAGCTATCTGTGTTTTCGTTTGGCTCTACTTTTCTTGTGTATGTGTCTGTTGTGCCCCCGCAATCGCTGACATCCACCGCTCTTTGTAGGGATCCAGTTCCGACTCCCTACTTCCTGTGCCGCGGAGAGAACGTCCCAACAACCTCCAGGTAAGGATTTTGCCTCCAAATGCAGCATGTTCACAATATCCCCCACCCTACCCCGCATTCCGGAATTTTCTGTCCGCCTGCTTTTACAGCCCATCTACACCTACTGCTTCCAATGTCAGATTTTCCATCCAAATTCTCTGTGTGACTTTCTTAGGAAGTCATTTACATCAGTGGTTCTCAAACTTTCAAGCCAGCGATCCCTAATCAAAGACCGACAAGATCTCGCGACCCCCACTATCAAAAACAAGCAATAAACATAACAAGCTGTTCACAGTATTTTGACTACATTTACTATACATCAAAATAATTTCGGCTTACCTTTCAATGGGAAGGGTGTACTTGTTTTTGGCAGCACAAAGGCTTCATTCGTGGGCTGATGGTGGATACAGCTACCCGCAGATCATCTTCGACATCAAGACGTGATCGGTATTTATTTTTTATATATGTAACAGCAGAAAAAGACTGCTCACAAATATGTATATCCAAATTGAAGCAGTACATCCATTGCTGCACGGGACAACTCTGTGTATTCGTCTGCTACCGCAATTCAAAATTCAGGCAGTGTGGAATTGGAAAATAATGTTTTCAATGTTCGATCACTGGTCAGCTCCAGCAAAGCATCTTCCAGATTTGTAGGGAGATGAGTAATAGATTCAGAAAATGGTTGCCGTATCCAGTCATACAGTTCTGGTTGCGTCTCTTTTGGGAAATACTTTTTGAATTGTTCCAAAAGGCTGCGGAGATGACCAATTATGAGTTCCTTCAGGCTTCTGAGGCTCAGTCCATTTTTGTCCAGATGCTCCTCAAGCTCAGGAAAATTTGGTGAAAATGTCACTGCCTGTACAAGTCCCCTCGAGTGCTGAGCAGAACAGCATATCCTCATGCAGTTTTCCGTCAAATGTGTATTTGATGAACGCCAGCAACTGAGCAGTATTAGACACATCCGTAGATTCAACTTGCAGTGCATATTTTTTTCTATTTATCCTCTCAATCAATTGACTCTTAATATCATTTGCAATATCATGTACACGGTGAGCGACTGTGTCGTTCGACAGCGGGACAGTCATAAGTTCATTTGCTATTTTCACACCATGCATGGCCCGGCACATAGCCACAGCAGCGGGCTTTATCAGGGTTTCCCCGATTGTGTGTGGTTTTTTGTTCTGCGCAATCAAGTATGCCACCTCATAAGATGCCTCCAGAGCATTAGAAGAAATTTTTGCTTGTTGAGCAATCATGTGTTTTTGACCCTGTAATTCCTTCTCTTTTCGGCAGAAAAAGTCTATAGACTTCTCAATAAACAAAGGATATTCCGTCTCCAAATGCCATTTTGCCAGGCTTCATACTTTCATGAGCAAGCACTTCTGAACAGATTACACGTTGAGGGAAATCTACGTTGCCGACAGTAGAGCAAGTGAATCCATACTTTATGAATTCTTCCGGATATTTCCGACGTTTCCTACTTTGGGCTGACAGGGTTTTGCTCTTATGCTTGGTCGATGTACATGGTTCCGATGACTCAGGCAAACTGTCCACAATTTCCTCAACATTTTTAGATTTGCGAGTAACAAATTTATCCATCTCAGCAGTTGCAGTTTTCACGTGCAGTTGTGCGCTGTGAGCCAGTCGATGCACAGTGATGTCATATCTTTGAGTCGTGAATTTATTTTTTTTAAACACTCAATTTAAACACACACTCAAACAGTAATATCTTTACAAATCAGAAAATATTTATAGCATTTACTTGTAATACTGAAAAGTGTGTATTATAATCACAAAAAAATTATTAAAAAAATTATTCCGCGACCCCCAGAGGGGTCACGACCCCCAGTTTGAGAACCACTGATTTACATCACAGCTTAGTTTGGGAAAATGGGGAGAGGGGTTTAGCCGCTGCTTATATTAGCATTGTGGTGCCTGACAGAATGGGGAACGTGTTGAATTATGCATCATGTCATTAATTATTCAGTTTACACACCAATTAACGCAGGAGGCATTGTCAAGATGGCAGTTTAATAAAGTGATCCTAAATGAACTCTTCTACTCCCACTGCTTTAAATTAGTCAGTTTGATTCCTGACTTTTTTTCCCTCTAACAGACCCCCTGAGATTCTCCAAGTGAATTTAAAGTTTGGAGCCAGTCGATCATGGACTTCTTGTTGATTGAACTGGTCCCAGAGTCAGAAATTGAAAGTTCCACCATGTGGAAAAAATATAAGCCACTGACCATGTTTGACTCATCCCAAAAGCCTGTCTGAGATCACGGGGTCCTACCCATAATCTAGTCAAATTTAAAAAAAATGATAGTGGTCTGTATTTCACAATGTTCGATGTAGGGCATTAGGAAGCCAAGTAATGGAACTGAGGGCGCCCTGAAAGGGTGTTTAAAGTCCACAGCATGTCAGATGAGTTCTCAGGACAGCGGATGGGGTGCTGTTATATTGCATCATGTCAAGTCTATTCAAATGCGCGGACTTCAGCCGTTCTGTTTCCATGGTGCTCTGCCTTAGCGATGAGCAGGACGGCCCTCAGACAGCCCGTTAAAGTGGAATGAGTTTGCCTTGACTTCATAATCCCTGAAAATCACTGTCAGCTTTCTAATACTTTCTGGGTTTTTATTCGTGACTTTGCCGCTCCCCTGAAACCCCCCCTCCCCACCCCTCTCACATCTGCAATGGGCCTTATTGATTGGTCCAGACCAAACTGTTATCTGGCAGATAAATTGGAAACCCATCTTGAATGTGAAATGCCCACTCCACTCACCACCTCCTTGTCCTCTTCTGCATTGCCCCTCCCCGTCTACGCTAGGGGAGAGAGAATTGAACTGAGAGGACCTCAGTCTGCAAGCCAGTGACGCTGAGCGATGGCCATAGTGCCAGTGAACCCCCCCTCAGTTGCTGCAGTCGGAGGGGCTATTTTTAGCCTGCCAATAGCCTTTGCGAGTGGCACTACTGACTAATCAGTTTCGGGTTTGAGGACGGCCCCTGTCTCACAGACATGGGAACCAAGCTGTGGAGATACCTCAAGGTGCCTTATGGGATTTTGGAATCTCCTGTAGGCTAGTAGGGTAAACTTACCTTGGATGCACATTTCCTCCGGGCTCTGTTCAAGCTCCATTATCTTTAATCTTATTTACATAATCACTTGCCTTACATCCCAGGCCCGTCTATCTGTAATATAACCATTTGCCAGCCTGTGGCGAGGCCAGTCATGTGATAAATTACACGCAGGTCCTCCCCAATGGCCTTTATGTGCCACAGAACTCCCACAATTCCGGTAATATCTGCCTAAGCCAAGGCAGCGAAGACGACAATAAGTGGCCATGAGCATTATGAATCGTGGGCCCGATGCTTCTTTGCTGCCTGGCTGGGTTGAGGACACTCGCTTTGCACTTTCTGCCAAGCATGGGTACAAATGTTTGCCTGTTTTGCGGCAGGAAATTCAATCTGGGTTAGTAAATGCTTCCCGCCTCTTTAAGGGCGTACAACAGATGTACGCTTCAGCTAAAATAATTCCACCGCTCCATCACAGGAATCCCTGCAAAATGATCCGGGCTCCTTTTTGCGGAGCACCAGTACAGCGTGGGTAATGAATTCCCCCTCAGAGGTTTATGGCTGCTGCTGTATTTTCTATGTGAAACAGCGATTCGTTATTCGAAGTCTGAGTACTCGGCGCGTCACGGAACGAGACCCTGGTGCCACGTGACGGCAACGGCCTGGTGTCGAATAGTAATGGGGCTTTGATCGTTCGCTGTCCCATGAAACCTCCTGAAAGGAGCCCTTCATTTTCTTGCCACAATCAACGCAGTCACGCAGAATGAGCTTCACTCTCCCTCCCTAACACCCGGCACTTTTTGCATTAGCATATGATTTAGGAAGGCCCGACACAAACCCGCCTGCAGGGATCCAACGGCAGCACCCCCGCGCTGAGCTCTGAGAATTTTGGCCTCCAAGAAACATGAAAGGAAGCTTTATTTGCCATTTATACAAATACAGGTACATTAGAGAGTATGTTTCATGCACATCCAGTCTTTCCCTCCTTTTATGAGACATACACATACATGGAAAGCAAAGATTAGGGTGTGAGCACAGGGTCAGCTATCCACCCAGTACAATGATACATTTTTCAGGGGGTTATGGGCTTTGCTCAAGTGCTCAATAGAAGTGTAGCTATTCTGCCAAGCATGGGATTCAAAACAGTAACCATCTGATCCATTGCATTAGCTTTCTGAGCCACACACATGTATTTGTGTATGTTCTTACTAGTGGATATGGAATTCTTCCTCTAGCTTTGCCCCGTGAGTTGGCCAAGATCTCCCCAGTATAGACACCTCCTGTATGCTGACAGAAGCCTCCTGTTTCATCATAGCCCCCCCCCCTTTAAGAGGAAGGTAGGAGAGCTCCGGGACCGGCCTTTTCGGAGGTCCCCTTTCAGATGGTTGCCTCTGCTGGGGACCCCATCACATTCTGTAGGGTGCAGAAGGTGGGCCCAGGGGGGGGTCTCTCCCAGCGTGCTGCTTGAGCCCTGTTGATGAGTCAGAGCCCTAGAACAAGGACCCATCATGTGAACCTAGCGGCTGAGCGCCAGTCACGACATCGTCCCCCCTTGTCCCCCTTGCCTGGTAATGACTATTTTTGTCACAATGCCGAATCACCCCCCCCCCCACATCTCAGCTTCCTCTGTCGTTGTCTCACACCTATGAATCCCTTTAGGCCTCCTGAAATATCTCTCATTTTGAAAAGTAAAATTGCAGACGGAAGAGAGCCTTGATGAATTCCCTTCACCCTGGAGCATCAGTGTGCTATGGAGAGAACCACAGTGGCACTAGGACGACGACTGCGGTATTGCTTGCTGAGAGGAAGCGGGCCATTTTTAAAGGGCCGGCAGTAACCAAAATGTCAGACTGGACGTGGGATTGAACAGATGTCAATTGTTATCCAGAAACGAGTCATGCTGAAAGCCAGCCCTATTATAAAAGCACCCACAGCTCTGATAAACAGCTCAGTGCAGGGTTTTTTGTGTGTGTTTCAAATCAAACCAGTGACTCCTACTCCCTGCGCATGTAAATAAACCAGCTTTGGTCGGATTACAGTGTCACACATGCTCTTCATCCCAAGGAAAAGGTCGCAGAAGTGGTGATCTGAATTATGAACTACAGCATCATAAAGTCATATATTTAAGAAAATCACATATAGATAGGCTGATCTTTGCTGTCTTGGTAAATCCTAATGAAGGTCTGTATGTAAAGTGTTGCGAGTTTTGAGAGCCCCCAGATTTCTCAGATAATGGCATGTCACGTCCTCCTCATCACTGCTCAAAACTTCCTATTAGTCCTGTGTAGCTGCCCGTCATGTGACCTCGGGCGTCTTTTTCCGTGGGGTCTGTCATTCACTCTGACATGCAGCAGCAAAGAGCTCCCTTAGACAATGGTGAGCAAAAGATCTGTGCTCCTCAAGCCCCCCCCAAGAAAGGCCCATATCTAACGGAGAGTCCATTCAGCAGCGGCATCTTGCCCTGTATTTGCGCTTCAAAGAGGAGCCTCACGATCAGTAACCTAGGAGATGGGGGCCTCACTGGCGATTCTCTGAGACCCCTTCCACCATCTCTGGGCTTGCTTGTCGAGGATTTCTGTCACCCACCGTGTTTATGATCCACTCTGAATCATCACGGCGTTGTCACTGATGTACGCATGGTGCAAAAATTTTATCTTGTTTTTCCATTCACCTGACAGAAAGGTGTCTTCCTTCCTTGTTATTTTTTAGCGGTAACGTACACTCCCAGCTTTAAGAAGACCCCCCCGCCGGTGCCACCGCGTACCACCTCTAAGCCCCTCATCTCTGTGACGGCCCAAAGCAGCACCGAGTCCACCCAGGATGCCTACCATGAGGGCCGGCTGGCCCACGGTGCCCTGTGGCCGCCGGACAGCCTGGGTCGAGGCCTCTACAACTCGACGGACAGCCTGGACAGTGCCAAAGCAGTGACCATCGCCATGGAGACGGCAGCAGGCCTGAGACACCCTTCCACAGACAGCCATAGCTCGGTGCTCACTTGTGACAAGGCCGTGCTGGTGTCCAAGGCTGAGGAGTACCTCAAGAGCCGGCGTTCCTCCATCGGGATCCAGGTGACACCCCCCCACTCCCCCCTCATCAGTCTGATGAGTCGTTCCTCCAGAATGGTAGTCCCCTCAGGGCCGGTGGGCCTAGACAATGCCATCACACACGGCAGCCTGGTTGGGTAACAGATGTGGCAGGTCACCGTGCCGACTGGCCCACCCATCATAAGGCTTGTCACTATTGGAGACAGAGCCGCTGTCGCCCAGGTCCAGTCCGCGCCCATTAGTGCGCTTGTGTCTTCATTAACACCAGTATGTAAATCCATAATGACCTCAGTTTTTTTTTCTTTTCTTTTTTACGGGGGAAGCAGGTGGCATGACAGTTAAGGAAATGGGCTCATAACCTAAAGGCTGGCATTTCAGGGTCTGGGGGCTGTCTGCTATAGTACCCCTGAGAAAGTTCATTAACACAAATTAATCATGCTATGGCATCAAAGGTCAGATTACGTAAAAGCGTTGCATAAACAACATGATGATTATTATTCTTTGTGTGTATATTTAAGAGTAAGCCCTTCCTCATTTTGAAGTTTACGTTTCTGATATGACGACTGTCATATGAAACACTGCTGTCGACTGGACAACCAGGAACGCACATGTAAATGTGGGCAGTGATGAGTGTTGATCTGCGGCATTCTCTATTAAGAGAAGGGGGAACCCAGCGTGCCCTTCCCCTCAAATCTGCTCCGGCGATGTGTGAAACAGCAAAAACGTCCATGGTTACCAATGGGCCACAAGGGACCACAGTTTGCAAGCAGTATTTAAAAGCCTTTGCCAGCCAGCTGATGAAAAGGACTGTGCTCCTCTCCCATCCCAGGGCTGTAGCCTTATAGCTCTGACCTTTGTCCTTCCTCCTTCATTCTTCCTTCATTTCTGACCTGTCACACAGAATCTTCCAGAAGGGTTTACCCCAATACCATCATGTTGTGACATAAAGAGATAAATGAATATTCCTTAACATGAATCAAAGCTATGCTAAAAGTGGTATTTAAGGTCAACTCAATCCGGCATTTGCACTTCCTCCTGCCAGGCGCCCAGGGGGCAGTGCTGGGTCTGCCAGTGAGTGCTTTGAGCCCCTTGGGGATGATAACCTCCCTCCACCTGCTCAGAGATAATTCCTCTCACTCAATCCTTTCTTTATGCTCTTTCTATGCCCCCTGGGACATGTGACATTTTCGAGATGAGCAACAAGACAACGTCAAACAGGACTCCAGTGTCAGAAACAGTGGAGGTGGGGGGGGGGATAAGCTCCACTTCTGTCTTCTGGGGCGTCCCTCTTTCATGAAGGGAATTACTTAAATGTCGTTTTGTTTTCTGGTAACGTTGTCACCCCCACGGGTAACTCATGGAAACAGACTCGCGGGTCGGATCATCCACCTACGTGCGATCGTCCAATTCCCCCTTTGTCACTTGAGAGGGGAAACATTTTAGCGGATTGTCGATGAAGTATTTATTGGCAAAATGGGAGATTCTCCTTCTTCCACTTCCATGTTCTTTTTTTTCTTTTATGGAAACGGAATCAATCAGACACATGACTGACTGACTCTGCTGTGTTTACGTTTGGTTTGAGATTTCTTAGCTCTTTATAAAGGTGGATATTTCAGTTATTATCTAGGGGTAAGATCCTATACTGATAACTCAATACTCTGCGGCCCGAGAAAGGACCTTGAACAGGCAACCTCCATGAGGGGAAATGATTCAGAAGAATGCATCCTTATTATAGCTCCCCCTGCAGGCTAGGGGATGTTACAGCTACTGCAGGTATTTATAGAAAGCAGACTCTTTCATTTAAACTGAATCTTTGGCTCCTTCAGTGTCCACTATTTGTATGAGAAAATTAAAGGATGTTCGCAGCGGGCACCAGTGAACCTCGTCCGTCAGTCTGAGTCCCATTCTCTCGCCACGTCAGGTGGAGGCGGCGACTGACTCGGAGTCTGAGAGCCGGGAGCTGCGGGAATACCATTCGGTGGGCATCCAGGTGGAGGACGACAAGAGGTACGGCTCTCCGTGTGAGGCGTCTGCACATGACCTGACACAGGGTCCCCCCGGTGCAGCCCCTGCCTCCCCTCCCAGCATGAGCCACTCACCTGCGGCAAATGGTCCTTCACCCTACCATCTCGCCTGACTTGGCTGGTGTGGCTTTGTGCCTGCTTGTGTGTCTGTGCATGCATGTGTGTGTGTGCGTTGGGTGGTATGTATGTGAACAAACATGCATGTGTCCTTTGGCGTGTTGCATTGGTGCATCGCCTCGGTACCCTTACAGAGGTATGTTGCAGGTACTTACCATGTGCATACCTTGCTCTAACCAAAGCCCCCCACCCCCATCAGACATGGCCGGTTCAAGCGGTCCAACAGCGTGACAGCGGCAGTGCAAGCCGACCTGGAGCTGGAGGGCTTTCCAGTCCACATGGAGGACAAGGGCCTGCAGTTTGGCGGCGCCTTCCAGAGGCACTCGGAGCCCAGCACTCCGACGCAGTACGGGGCAGTCCGCACTGTGCGCACACAGGGCCTTTTCAGCTACCGGGAGGACTACCGTACACCCACCGAGCCGGTCAGCAGCCCGCGGCCCGAGCCCTGGCCCACAGAGGTGGTCCGTGAGCCTGGCGACACCGGGCGTCTCTCCCCTGGCCGCCGTGACGGCAGCTGGTTCATGCAGCTGCTTCACACTGAAACCAAGAGGCTGGAGGCCTGGTGCAAGGAGATGGAGCGCGAGGCGGAGGAGAAGGACCTGTCAGAGGAGAGTGAGTCCCTGCCAAGTCAGCGCAGGTTCCACCCTGGGATGAGTCTGCGCACACGCACTGTGACTCAGCAGTCAGATGTGTCAGATAGTCCCGTTACGTCTTCTAGAAAAGGACAGGGCAGTTTCTAGGTAGCTGGTAGTGTCATGGTTAAGAACTTGGAAGTTTGCGGACCCATTCCCTGGGGAGGATCATGCTGTTGTCCCCCTGAACTTTTGACATTCCTGGGTGAAGCTAGATAATGGATTTCAGCTAAGCAGTTATATCTGAAGGTCCGGTATCTCTCAGTTCTAGATAAAAAGCAGTTCTGCTCTTTCCCATGTTCTTTAAGTGGTACCCTAAGGCTTGTGTCCATGTTTCGCAGTTCTAGGTAAAATCCGGAGTGCTGTGGGCAGTGCACAGCTCCTCATGTCCCAGAAATTCCAGCAGTTCTACTGGCTCTGTCAGCAGAACCTGGTAAGTGGGTGTGATGCGTCCGCTTGCGGGTCCCGTACCAAACGGCCATGTGTGTCCACAAGTGTCTGCATGTCAGAGCTTGCACATGGGTTTGCACGCGCCCCTATGGGTGTGATTCCACATGCCTGCCACTGTCGCCAGGGTGATCGTGTGAGCTGGTCACATCCTTAGCGGTGGCACAAGGTGACTGCACAGGAAAGCGGGTAGGACATGTGAGGGTGCCGTCATCCACCGAGTGGAGAGAATAAGAAGATCGATAGGGATCTGGGCCTCTCGCCGGTGATGAAAATGCCCCGAATGGCATCAGAGCAGCGCCTGGCCGCGTTCTCCTGACTCACGCTGAGGCGAGCGGGGAATACGGGAATAGCTCTAGCTTAAAATAGCGCCTGAAGCAGCCGCTATCAATCACCGGCCTGTCAGCTTTCATTCTGAGCACCTGAAACGCGCTCGAGCTCCGCCAGGAATGCTAATCCCCATGCGACTCCCCTCCTAGTGGTCCTCTCCGGCATTGCAGGCAAAAGGAAAACCTAAATCCTTTGATATCTTTTGATCATCATTTTTCCGGAGGACATGGAATTCCCTTCTCTGGAAGTTCAATTGTTGTTTTGGCTAGGCCCATCTTTTAAATGGTGTTTTGGTTTATTGTTTTGTAACAATTGCTTTTAATGAGCCCCTGAAGTTGACAAACGCACGTCATGTGACCCTTCTGCCCCAGAACAAGCTGGGATAACAACCTCATCCTGGATTTACCTCCTAATGTAACACATGTGCAACTGTATTGAGCTACAAACTTTGACGGGTTTTAAATTTGTTGTGTGACTCTTTCTGATGTGCATGTGATAAAAAAAAAAACCTGACTGGTAGGCCACTGGTCCGGGATGAGGACCCAGACTACATATCTGGACCTCAGTAATGGATTGCTGTGGATTTCATCCCACCGTACTCCGCATTTGCAAAATCCATTCCCTTTCTGAGCCGACAAACGCGAACGTTGTCTCGCCAAAGTAATTTCCATTTTTATAACAAGGACACAACAAGAATTATAAATGAAGAGGCTGAGCGTGGTTCTCATTTTCTCCAAAAGATGAACCAGGATCAGTGGAAAGAAGAGGCTGTCATCCCCAGTATTTCAGTGATTCCACATCTTGTCCCAGTCTAACCCTCCAGAATATTCCAGAAAAATTTAGCCCCTCTTTTTTAAAATGACCAGGGGGGCTCAACCTGTTACAAGCTTTTTGAAAATAAGCTACTGCCAATGTTGATCCACGCTTCCAATCTTCATACATGTTTACAAAAGGGCAAGAAGAAAGTAGGAACTCTGAGGGCCAAACTTTGCTGGTTCTGCTTCTATGAAATTTTGAATGATAGGACCCCCCCCTCCCCGCAGCCTTCATCAAGGACAAGGCAGGCTCCTGCGTCCCCAGGTCCCCCCCACCACACATACACACACCACTATGTCACAGCACAGAATCCTGGACCAGACATGAAAGGGCATGTGTGTCACTAGCTAGGTCGTTATTGTGCCATCTTAATAAGCGGCCACCAGACAAACAATTTTGCAGCGAGAATCTCAAACGTGGGATGAGACTGGATTTGTCTGTATGAAGGTGAACTGATGCATAGATCCGAGCACCAGTCAGCGGCCATTACAGCACCATGAATAGACCTTGAGACTACAGTATTTTGTTTTTATTTTTTTATGTATATTTTTGTCACGTTTTATCTTTCTCCCTAATTCCTAGTCTGAGCAATCTGCTTTTTCATGTCAGAGTGAGTCATAGTGAGAAGTATTAGTAGCTGCGTTAGGTCATTAATTACTTTCACCTCGATTCTGTCGTGAGTTTCTCCTCAACGCTCTCCCAGCGCATGCAAATCAGCTGCTAGGTTTTCCCGAGGCTTGACGAGGCCATCTGCTGGGTACTGGCGGGATTGAGCGAAACCACGCTCATTCAAAAATTCATTCTGAGCTCCTTTCTGAACCACCTAAGACGACGTGCTTTTTTGACATTAAGCCCCACCTCCATTACTGGGTGCTGTCCTGATAACATTTATCCCTTTTTGTCATAAAATGCCTCAGGCAAGTCTTCGGAACGCGGAGTGAATTGGCCTAGGTACATTGAACTGTAGAAACGGGATTTCTGCTAACATGCCAGGTTTATAGAAGACCCCATATCTGTCTAGTAATTTCATGTAACTGCAGCAGTGCTTCCCAATCCAGTCCTCAGGGACCTGCAGACAGTCCAGGTTTTTGCTCCCTCCCATCTCCCTGTTCACATTATTGCTCCCTCTCAGTTCCCAAAAACTGTCTCCCAGAGGACCAAAATGGGAAGCACTGAACGACAGATTTTCAGAGCGGCTGTGACGGGTGTCATGTATTAAGTCAGGCTTCACATTTGTACTGGCATGACTGGTACCCAAGGTGTTGTCTGCTCCATACCCACCTCCCTCACCCGCCATCGCCCTCTGCCAGGACCCCAGTGCCATGCCCAGACCAACCTCTCAGGACCTGGCCGGATTCTGGGACCTCCTGCAGCTGTCCATCGACGACGTCACCACGAAATTTGACGAGCTGCAGCAGATCAAGAACAATGACTGGAGGCTCATGGAGAGCCCAGAGAAGAAGGTGAGGCTTCTAGGGGACACCCTTTAAATCACCTGGGTTGTGTCATTGTTCCGCTAAGTGAACCGGATCCTAATCTGGTCACTATGAGGGGCCCTACTGTTGCACCAGAGTCAAAACAGTTGCAGTATTCAGCCATAGATTTTCCTGCTGTCACGGTTAAACAGATGCAGCTGCACAGAAAAAGCACCCAAATCACTTCCGTTAAAAATGTGGCTAAAATAACTTATGCAATAAATGTGCCCTCTCGGGGTCTGTAATTACATCAGACTCGTTTTGGGTCTCACTGACTCACCAGGGGCAGAAAGAGTCGACGGGCATTTGAGTTTCATGTAATTTGTTAGATTGCAGCGTTGGGCTGAACTTCCTGGTGCCCTAGATGCCCAGATTTTAATTTATGACCGATATGAGCAACTTTATATGCTGAAATTAAGCACTGGCTGCAGGGGCGATTCTTAGATGAGGGTATAACCGGGTCCATAATTCATACTGACGGGGCCAACCTTATCAACCAATAGTATATTTTAAATCAGTGAGTGACAGGGGATGGAATTCTTTGGGGACCAATCAGCTTCCAGCTGGAGCATTATCCGAGGCCCCGTCCCTACATCTATGCCCCTACTATGCTGAATTTTAACCACAGGAAGAGCAAAACACACACACACACAGCGACATTTAGGAGTCCAAACAAACTTACCACAGATTGTTTCCAGAACCTGCATCACCAGCTACCGTCTATCATGCCTCCACGACCAAAGGAATGACAACCACCTGTCTCTTTTTACTTTTCCATTTCTCATGAACACGGAGAAGCTGCCACCCCCTGTACCAAAGAAGAGCCTGAAAGGGCGGATGGGCATGACGCGGGAGAAGTCACTGGACCTCCCGGACCGGCAGCGGCAGGAGGCACGACGCCGGCTAATGGCAGCCAAGCGGGCGGCCTCCTTCCGGCAGAGCTCAGTGGCCGAGCGTGCCGACAGCATAGAGATCTACATCCCCGAGGCCCAGACCCGCCTCTGAGGGTGCTCGCCCCCCCCCACCCGTCTCCCAGCTGGCCCCCATTTTCTATCCTCACTTAGCGGTAACAAATTTGTGTTAATCCCAGCTAAAACACAAAGATAATTTTTATCTAACCGTCTCGTGTTAATACGCTACTCCACCCTCCTCACCCCCCCACCATTTTGCCCCAGCCACCCTCCACCATCCTTCCCCCATGCAGTAGCAGCTTATTCTCCAGTCAGTGACATGTGTATCTGACAAAACAGCAGTGAAGAGCTGACTGTGTTCTGGTACCTTTAAGCTCTAACACCTCTGTAGCGTTTATCTAGCAGGTGTGGGGAGATGAGTTCCAGGCCCCCGTCAAGCCTTCTGAGAGGCCCACCAGCACTGGGAGGGAGGGAGGGGTGGGGTTTGGGCTAGAATCTAAGATGGGGTGAACACTCAGCTTTTTGAGGCTGTATAATTAGCTCTTAGCCAGCGAGGGGGTTTCGAAACCTGTTCAGTTTACGATTCTTTGGAATTTGACCAGGAAAACTGTCATAAAATCCGTGCCACGGCTCGAGCGACCTCTGGAAAGGTGCGGAGGAGTTTGAGAATGCCAAGGCATCATCCTCTGTGTATCCTGCATCTCCACGCTGTCACTTAAGCACGCCTGTAAATAATACCGCTTCTTTTTTTCAATCATTCCGCCTCGACGCTGCAACAAGATCTCTTGTGGGCGGAGTCACAAGTCATTTAGTTCTGTACAGTAAATAATGAATGAATAATATTCCTGTTCGTATTTCCAAGGGAAATGTTAGCAGTGAAGCCCACTCAATATTGTTGCAATTGAATTGCAATGGTACGAAGACTTCAATTACGTTGGTTTTTACCTCACGTGGTCCGATTTTCCCTCCCTCTCGAATCCTGCACTTGTACAGTAGCATTTAAATACTGTGTGAAAATGCGTAATAGATGCTTCGATCGGTTGCTGGCTCAAAGCAGAATGCGGGCCGAGCATCTTCCTTTCCCAGAGAAAGAAGCATTCGTGTCACGTGGACTTGCCGAAGGTCAGCCAAGTACTTGAGTCCAGTCTTAATGAGGATGGGAGGAGATTCTGGTTCTGTTAAGGGTGTTCTGAACCTGTGAGTCAATGGACCCTCCTCACTCCCAAAGGGATAAACTTAGCTACACTGGGCATGGCGGGGGGTTCCACATGTATTCTAAGAAGCTAAAAATAGAGTATGCTAATTCTGTTCAGCATGAGAAGAAAACACATTGATTGACCCATCTGAACCGCTAGGCTAGCAGGACAACTGAATGATGCCAGCACCCTTCTTTTAGGAGAAGGGACTGGCCCTGACAGGACAAAATGTGAGAATGACGTGATGCTGGCGTGCTACTCTGCCCCCTGCTGACGCAGGTCTCGGAATGAGCCATGTGAACCCAACAAGCATCTCGAAAGCTGCACAAAATTGGAAAAAGATCATGTCGGTCGAGCTAGCTGAATGTGTGTAGAGATCAGTTCTCCCTTGCAAAGTCGGAATGAACTGGAATGTCCTTTTAACGTCTTCAATGCTAATCTGCACATTAAGACCTTAAATGTAATTGTGCCACTGTAGTCTGGGTCGAATATTACATAGATAGGCTCAAACAATTTTAAACTACTTCGAGATTAATCAACAGATGAAATGGTGCTTCTTTGTACTCTTGGGTCTTATCTGATCCAATCTTAGGTAAACAATTTAAGCCACACAAATTGAAATGGCGGAATTTGTTCATTTCGTATACAAATACATCTGTAAAGAGTTTATTTTTTGGCAGAGGAAATTGTCTAGCTAGTGTTCATGTCAATGTTTTTGTCCGTTGCATTATGATTTTTATTGTCACTGCGGCAATGGCTGAGTGCAAAGTGACAATACTGGGGCACGGAGTGTCATGTGTCCAATCCGGAGGCTGGCAGCACCTGCTCGTGCAGACAGATTTACATACAGGCGACCACATGCACCTGGTGGTTGGTGGTCACACCAGCCCTGCTGCAACAGGCCCATAATACAAGTACTGCTGAGTTCTGATCCGAGAGACCCTTAGGCCTTGATTCAAACACCATTTCTTTTCCTTTTGCGCTGATCTGCTGTCATATTCACGCCATCCCTCGGAACTGCCGGGAATCAGTACAGTGTATGGGGGCAGGGAATTGCATAAACTTTAAGCATGTGTGAGAATTGATGGGAAAGCCCCTCTGTTTGTGTGTTTTATGACATCAGTCAGCCATCGGAGCCACTCGGCATCACATCTTTCATACTTGGATTAATTGCTAGTCTTGTGCCCTGGGTTGCATGTTTTTATACAGATTAAAAAAATTATTTTCACATACTGTGTAGTGGAATGGTGTGTAAAGCTGAGAGGGCCACAACGGTGTGAATGACTAATATTTGGAGGTCTCAGTTCTGATCAGATTCATCAACATGTGTATCCTGGAAAATCACAAATCTGCCTTGTATGAGATGTGTGGGTGTTACTCTGTTTCTACCACCACTGGCTGGTGAGGGTTTCAGGCATGGGTTTACCGGTCAGCTCCTTGCGTTCTGACTCCGTGTAGAGTCATGTGACTATTTCAAATCTAGCTGTCATGCTTAACCGTTGACAGTGGGCTGATTGCAATGGAATAATGCAGTTGTGATTAAAATATAATTATCCACTCATTTAACCTAATCCAGTCCCCCATTTGTGTAAATGTGTGCTTAATTTACCAGACAGCCTTAAAGAAAAACTTAAGCAAAAATGCCTATGAATGTATGGGCCACAAGGTGCAAAATCTGTGAAAAAATTCAAGGGAATTAATAAATTAAAAGGGCCACTCTTCTGTTTTCCCTTTCCAATTTTCAGGTATTTTCAAATATAAGGCCCATGCATCAGTCATTTCAATAGAGGCAGATCATCGATGAAGCTTTCTAGGACTGTGTCCAAACCCCAAATCATGCTCATAGCCAAGATGTAATCATAAATAACTGTGCTAAAAATGACAGAAGGTGTATGTGTGGGCTTAGCCGTCCATGTGAGACCTGTTATCTTCACGGGACTTTTCCAAACATCATGTAGATCAAACCTTGGACACGCAGTCGTTTCTGTAACATGCAGAGACTGTGCATTTATGTCCAGGACCAAACATCTGCTGCTATCAAAGCTCTATACACATACTACTTTGCAGAGATGCTGCACAGACAGCGAAAAGTGAACATCTTGTGTACATACATCATATTTGAGTCTGCTGTAACTGTGTACATGAATCATTTATCCTAAGCGTTCGTTCAGTGTCACCTGATAGTCAAACGGAAATATCTGTTTTAATACTGGCACATAATTACTCCTGAGCACTTTGTGAAAATAAAACCTTACGTCAGCCATGTTTTTTTGTGAGTGTAGAGATGGAGATTAAGGCTTTTGCAACATTCCCCACAGAATTTAACCAAAATTGAACCGACTTGCCGCAGAATTTATTTGGTATGATTACCAGCGTTTTAGGGGATCAAAAAAAAAGAGAATTTTTTATTTTATGGAAAATTGATTGACTAGTTTAAGTCAACGTGTGTCAGAGTATTTATGTATATTTTTCATATGCCATTAATTCTTCATATTTGCTTTTATTTATGCTAAAGTTAAGCTGTGCTGTAAATATGAATTGTACAGATGAGGAGAGATTTTTCCGGTGCCTTAAAGATTGAAATATTAAACCTAAAATAATTATCTAAAGTTTGAAAAATAAGAACGTTAAATACTGATGGAGAATTGCCCTTAATGTAACTCATTTAAGCTGTTATATCTGAATAGGAATAAAAGTTTTGCCAGATAAAAGCAAACAATCAAGAAGTCATAAGTCAGGCATCAGACAAGCTTTAGTTTTCGTTAAACAACTGAAATGTCAGGGAAGAGTGAATATTATAAACCTGACGATGTGATAAAGAGATTCGCGAAGACGGATGACATTTCCATAAAAAAATAATGCACTTTTAACACAGCCTAACAATACATTTTCAATGACAGTAGAACAAGGGCTGGGATGGATGGTGGGGGGGGGGGGTGGCTTGCATTAAATGCTTTCGACTGTGCATTCATAGATACGCAGAGAAGCATGCCCAACGTGATAAACTGCCGATCATTTTTTGTCATAACACAGGGTTTTCAGTATCGGTACCAAGAGTCCGTGGTGAATGCAGAAATGCACTGATGATGGCATGATTCTAGGGATAGATCAGAACCTGTGGTCCCGGACGGATGGCCAAGCTGCCGGACCATTCAAATAGCTGCTATAAACCCGAGCACTTTGATGCATCATGCTGCCTAGGCATGCTGGAAAGGGCTGAGATGCGTTCTTCCTGTCGTCATTAGTCAGGTCAGGGTAATGCGCTATTAGTCGTTTCATTTCACACACGCAGGTTGGGCCTGAGTGTCCACGTCAGTTGTCTGGGTCGTGCCGCAGCAGGACATTCCTGTCCTCTTTTGGGTTTGCTGCACACGCATTTACTGTGCTTGAAAAAAATCTAATAAAATGAACGTAATCCAAAGTTCCTGAAGATTAGCACCTTTTAGCCCTTTTTACTCCAACTTCACTTCATTATCTGTTCATGTGAGAAGCTGGGGATCAGACTAATTGTGATGGGAAAATGATACAAGAATAGGATAGAATATGTAGAAAGGATGTCGTCTTTTTACAGTGTCCTCTTATTTACAATGTATACATATAATAATCATCGTGTGATACAGAGGATGTAGCTACAGAGGGCTGTAAAGAGTTAAATACTGTGCATACCTGCAGAACCTGATGATATATTGTGCCATATGTAGTTTTCCTGCCTTTTTCGGTTAGGAAATCACCCAGGGGTCGCCGTCCACTTTATTTAGGCTTCTGCTCTTTGATGGACACAGAGCGGAGTGTGACGTGGACCCGTCGAGCGCATTTATTTGTCTCGTTCCGTTTAATGCAGCACCACTGTTCTCCTCTCTCGCATTGGAGCTGGTCTTTACGTTTATTCTTACACTGTGTTTGACACCCTGCGCGCTTTTCTGTGCCAGTGTAAAATGTGCATAATGTTTATATGTTACAAGTTATTTATTTTATGGAAAAGATCTTTCCTCTCAAAGGCATTTTAATACTCAAGTACTTCTAGTATGTTTATGCTAAAAATAAGCATTAAACCCACCGACAGCTCTAATTTTACTGTAAAATTAGCTGTGACTGGCAGAATTAATCAGCAAGGGTGAAAACAGAGAAAATTGCTGTAATATAGTTCTCATTATTTTATTCTCCTCACCTTGGCTATATACTGTGTGTAGTGTATAAATGGGTGGCTCTTTGAGCGTTACAGGAAAAAGCTGGTTAAATCAGGGGAATGTGCATATTTAGCAATAATAGTCTTCTGTAGAAAGCATCAGAATATACTGTTAAGCTTCACCCACTGAGAATCTGTATGAGCGGATAATTAAACAATTGCCATTCACTCAACTACCGATATACAAGTTAAAGTGCGTTCAGATGCAGACAAAACAATGTTCACCATAGTTCTGTTTTTTCTAATTACTGATACATTAATTGTGCTGAGGTATGTGCACAAACTTAAAGTGATAGTCATTTCAACTCGGGTCCACCTAAAATGCTTTTAGAGAGGAAGAGCTTTGGTCATTTTTTTTTTCTTTTCTGATTAAACATCAGTTACCATCTGGACAAATGTACACCATCTTAGATCATGGAATGTGAAACAATAAGTAAAAGGTAGATGTTTAGTAAAACTATTTTCAATTCTTGAATATCATATCAATAAAGATGAATATAAATGCCAAAAATTCATAATTTGTAAAGAAATATAGACATAAATATAGAAATATATAAATATATGCTTAGTTTAAATCAAACTTTTTTGCTTGTTTTAATTATTTTAACTATATAATTTGCATTACTTTCGATGAGTCATCATGACGGCATGCAAGACACTAATATTGAATGTATGAGTTTTTACGTTTTCATTTAGAATAAATATTTTATCTATATGCCACTTAATTTATTTGTTTATTTATTGTCATTTTAGCTTTGAATATTACCAGCAGGTCTTACATTTCAATTTTACAGTCATTATAGATTTATTCTACTGTGCTTTAAGTGTTTTGCATCATTTCATGTTTTTATGAATCTGGCTCTTTAAATAGTTAAAGCACTGCTATTCATCTGTAAATATTTCTGCAATTAAATTTTTAAAGAAAATGTTAAATGTGTTTGTGTCACCCTTTTGTTCCAAATATATTTTAGGATATTTACTGTAAAATTGTAACTGCTACTACTTGCAATATCATAGTCTGTCGAAGCATCATTTCCACGTGTAAAATTACATTTTGTCTGCAGTCCAGAATGTCTCCAGCCTGAACCACACCAATATCCTTACAGCACGGTAGTAACGCAGATTTAAAACTGTTGTTACCCACGAGGCTGAAGTTGGCTCTTTATAAGCAGCTCCTTATTTGGATTTTCCGGTCCACCTTAAATGCTTCGCAGCCCAATCCAATGACGCGATTGCGCCTGTAGGGGGACCATTTTAATACCTAAAACCTCTCTGTGACAGGCAAATATCAACTTCTCAGCACACGTCAGGTATCCTACTATGTAGAAAAAGTGACATTGTCCTGGCCCAGACTGATTTAATGCTTTAAAAATCAGATGGAAACAAGGCACATCATACTATAGTGCACAATGGTGTGAATGAGAAGCCAGGTTTCCATGCCCATTTTAATGCCTTAAACCTCTCTATGACAGGCAAATATCAACTACTCAGTACACAACAGGTATCCCACTATATAGAAAACATGACATTGTCCTGGTCCAGACTGAGGTTTAAGGCATTAAAATGGGCATGGAAACCTGGCTTCTCATTCACACCATTGTGCGCTATAGTATGATGTGCCTTAGGGGTGGGCGATATACTGGTAGACACGACTAACCGGTAGAAATTTGTCAACTGATAGAGATTTTGGTCTATCGTCTTAATCGCGATTGAGATCACGTGACGTTGCACGTTAGGTAACCACGCAATACACATTCACTTCGACAATGGAAGAAGACGGTGCAGCGGTGAGTTTGCTTACATGTGACGAAACCAACAACGAGGAGATTGTAAAGAAAAAAGGTGCATCGTCTGTGGTGTGGAATTAGTTTGGGTATAGGAAAAGTGATACGAATGAGACGAATGTGATTTGCAAGGTATGCAAGAGCACTGTTTTAGCAAGCGGTGGAAACACGTCAAACCTTTTCTATCATCTCAAATCCAAGCATCCAAGCAAATATGGCCAAAGTCAAAAAATGCAGTACAATACATTGCAGTAAACAGTATGGTTGTCTTTTTACTTAAAGTAATGCTGCAATTCAGTTTAAATAAAATTACATTATATAAAACATTTTTTTGTGTTTGAATTTTTATTTATGCATTTCCAGATACAAATTGCTATATTGTGATATATATCGTTATTGAGGTAGAAAATTGCTTCTACCGTGATAGAAGATTTTGGTTATATCGCCCACCCCTAATGTGCCTTGTTTCCATCTGATTTTTAAAGAATTAAATCAGTCTGGGCCAGGACAATGTCACGTTTACCATATAGTGGGATACCTGACGTGTACTGAGAAGTTGATATTTGCCTGGCACAGAGAGGTTTAAGGTATTAAAATGGTCCCCCTACAGGCGCAATCGCGTCATTGCATTGGGCTGCGAAGCATTTAAGGTGGACCGGAAAATCCGAATAGGAGACAACTTCAGCCTCGTCCTATAACCCATGGTTAGAAAAAGGCCATTACGCCTGAAAAGGCCGCTATAAAAAACGAAGAGCAATATGGTGGGTGAACGGACGCGACACGTGCCTGAGCACGTGCCTTTCGGGAGCCAGAAGATATTATGGAGAAATGCGCCCAGGCGGCGCCTAATAACTACAGCACTTATGTATGGTATTTTTAAAATTGACTATTTGAACATGTCTAACATACATATCAAACTATGAGAAATTATACTCTATACTTTATGGGATTATTCACGTTCACTCTTAATAAAAATAGTCGTACTTATTAGTCACAGCGGAAGGCCTGTGGTTACCATTTTACCTCACACCTCTACTCCCACAAGGTTGGGGGCTCGAATCTCTCCTCTTTTATATTTCCCCGTGTATGGGCTGAACGTTTCCCAAAGACATAAAATTAAGCAAGTGGCGTCTCTAAAGTACGCTTATTATGTAGTCGTGAGTGTAGCCTGCGATGGCAGCAGGCGACCCTGACCTGGATAAACGGCTGAGAGGTGGATGTTAAGGTCAATTCACACTTACTTTTCTGCCGGCGTCTTCGGTTGTGAACGCAGGGGCGTAAATTTCGTCATCTGGATGAGGAGGGTCGGAGGTATCGGCCTATCTACTTTGTCATACTGCCCAAACATTATACCGAGGTATACGATATTTTAAGAAGCAGTACTATCCCAGCATTTTGAAATCGTGGCGATAAAATTCGCCAGTGTGGTGTTGGAGTCCCGGCAAATTTTGTCGATTACATTTCAGAATAACGTAATACCGCCCAAATCTCTTGATAGCAAGGTTGCCAATTTGGTCGGCCGACTGGCGTGAGATTTCCAATTAGAGACAAGTCCGCACACGCAAATTACCCGTATGTAACAGTTTTATTACCTTGTAAATATCTTCCACATCGTCTTTGATGTAGCTAATTTTAGGTTTATAATGGATTAATGTAGGTTTCTTGCGTGAGTGTCACGCCAGATGCGTGGTAGTTAGCAACTCTGCTTGACTATTAACTGTAAAACTTGATAAAAGTTTACCCGTTTCACTGCACTGCTTGTATTTGTGTTTATTGCAACACATCTGCCCTCTCCTGGTCTGGTGGATTATCACTGCTACATGCCGCGCGCAAAACCGTCCGCAGCATGAAAGCGCACGCGGAAAAGTGAAGCATAAACTAGGCTTTAGCCAAAATTGCCAAGTCACTTGTATTACAATGATTTTGGTAGTACGCATTTCGTGGGACTCATGTGATCACAATCAAAGTCACGTGATAACATCGGGTAAACTCGTAGTGTCGCTGGAGCTTGTACTTATCGCTGGGTTTGCAGAAGTTGTGGTATGTTGTTGTCTACCTGCTATGCTTATGCGATTATATGCATGCGTATTTTAATTGGTCGTAATCGTTCGCGTTAACGTGGTCGTGTTTACAACATTCTGGAAATGCTTCTCTTTGTGCGTTGTTGTACGTCCTTCGAAGTTCGTCAGTGTGGCATATCTAAAGAGAAAATAAGGTGCCAAGAGTTTGAGCGTAAAATATATTTTTCTCGCTTTGTGACCTGACATCTGTACGTCTGTTATTGTGTCAGTCAATAATCCTATATATTCTCTTTTGTCATGTATAATATATAAGTACGTTTGTTTGTATTTATTTGCTTATTTGTGATAATCACGTATATAATCTTATACGTTGGATGGATGAGGTCGTGATTTTATGTGTGTATGAATGTTTTTAAATGAATATTTCATTGAAGTTTGTCAGTTTGAATTAATCGAAGTATTATGGCCCGTTAAAACAGCAAGTCGCAAGTTGCTTTAGTCCGTCCCGTCTGTTATGGTTTAAGTACTGATCCTGTTAACTGGTGACAAGCGCGTTCAAGCGGGAAGGACTCTCTTCTTGCAGAAGACGGAAGCAGATTTGTCCAGTATGGCGACCCAAGTAATATAAAAGAGGTAGGCTAATAAAGAAAAGGACTTGTTCCGCACGTTTGTAAAATATGACAAATATGCACGCAGCTGTACGTAACCTGATGTAGCAGCCAGTGAATATAAAATTGAATCTCTTATGAAAAAAGATTGCTCTTCAAGTGTTTATTTTTATTATTTTCTAATGTTTACAGTTGTATCTCATTTTTCCAAAAATGATGAATCTGCTACCACCAGTTAACAGGAACACCTCTTAAAACATAATCCCAATGCTCATTTTCAGCGTAGCCTCGTATCCATAGCCTGGGGACTTAGACGACCTTGTTGGATGCTTTTCATGTGTCATGGAACATATCATTTATTAGCCCCTTGATGTACTGGAACAACTTTCTGCCACAGTGAAAACAAAGCCAATACTTTGTTTATTTAACAGGCCAGCGACTGGAAATCTGTAAGTCCTCCTGGTATAAAAAGGGAGTGACGCAGGAAAAATGGCATCTGAAGAAGATGGCTTTCCTCCACCCAGCGTGTTCACCATGGAGTACTCCTCCTGGGGTGTGCGCTGTGCCTTGATCGGTGTGGGTTTCACGTTTTACAGTGTGGTATTCCTCCTTTCCCACATCGTCTCGGCCACCTGCTTCCAGACATACAGCCTCCTGTTGGCTAAGGAGAAGGTGTTCTGGGACCTGGCGGCTACGCGGGCTGTGTTTGGGGTCCAGAGCACGATAGCTGGCCTTTGGACACTCACCCAGGACAGCGCCTTGTCTGCGGACAAGGTGGCCGGCCAGGAGGACTGGTCCTGGTTTAACATCCTGACGGCCACGGGCTTCTTCCTGTTCGAGAATGTGGCGCTGCACAGCTCCAACGTGGCGTTCAGAACCTTGGACCTACCCCTGGCCACACACCACTTCTTCGCCTTGTCTGGGTATGTGGGGGCTGTGGTGTGGGACTCTGTGGGTCACTTCCTCCCCATGGTGACGCTTCTCCTGGAGATGAGCACCCCATTCACCTGCATCTCCTGGATGTTCCTCAAGGTAGAGCGCTTCCTACTTTTATGGCCTGTCGTTTAATTTCCTAAGAAGAAACACAAATAAACAGACCTTTGCTTACCTTCCTTTCTGTCCCATACAGTGAAGGAGAATATTTGTTGTCTAGATATTACATAAGACATTGCTTCATGACTATGAGATTTAACTTTACGTAACCTGGGTAACCAGTGTTTTACGTTTTTTATTCTGTTAATTTGATGTTGCTGGGTCCCTGTGGTCACTGACAGCAAATGTGTGATGTGTTTCTGCTTTGTACTCATCCCATTAAATTATTTACTCTAATGACTGTGATCAAGAGAACCATTTTTGTGCCATTAACTCACAGGAAACCAACATTCCTGGAACTTCATAAACTGAGTTCCTAAAAGTGAACAATGGAAGTTCATTGTTCGTTATCCTTTGGAAGGGCAAATCTGGGGAAAGGGGAACCTATGAGAAGCAGGCTTCTCTTTTACTGTGATTCCTGAAATGCTCTGGATTGTTTTCTGTGAAGGAGCAGGGGCTTTCTCTCAGCCTTTTTCCCGTTTAAAACGTAGCTGTTCTCCAAAACTGAGCCCTCGCTGTCTCTCTCCCACAGGCCGGCTGGGCCCACACGCTGTTCTGGAAGATCAACCAGTGGATAATGATCCACATGTTTCACTGTCGCATGGTGCTGACTTACTACATGTGGTGGGTGAGCTGGCATCACTGGGACGGCATCGCGCTCAACGTGGCCCTCCCCCATCGCCTGCTCTATTTCACCGGCCTGGCTCTGCTCACTGTCTTAATCAACCCCATCTGGACACACAAGAAGACCATGCAGCTTCTCACACCAGTTGACTGGAACTTCAGGGAAGAACCAAACCATAACATAAAGAGGAGAGGAGCAGGTGCCGAGGCCAACAAGCCCCACTCCAGTTAGTCTGGCCAGGAAGTGATGAAGCATTTAGTCTCGGCCTGCCTGTGAAGGCTTTTTAGCGGGTCTGCACTGCACCTGCAAGCTGTGGGTGTGTTTATTTTTGACGTGAGTTTATCTTGGTTTCAGAGGCCAGTTATTTGCATGACTAATATCTGGGTTTTGAACTTCTGTTTTTTTGGAAGGTGTTTAGGTTATAACATGCAAGCACATTTGCACAGTTAGCCATGCAGCAGCGACGTATAGATCTCACATTCACCACCAAGTGTTGAACAAGCCTTTTCTCTTTCTATTTAAACGTAAATGGCATAATTTTTCAGTGCCCTGTTGTACTGATGACCTCAGGATGCCCCTCTCTGTCATTCTGTTGTGCTCAGCTTAACTTAATTCTTAACTGAACATGCCCTTTGACTTCTTCCTTCAAAGGATATTTCAACTTGCATTTGACCAACAAAATGGAAAAAGAGGAAACAAAAAAAAAACATCTGCTGAATTAATTCTGTAACCACAGCCTTTGTTATTGCAACGTCCTGATATCGCTGTTATTTTGCACTTGAATTACTGGTCTGTCATATGTCATCTTTTAAATTGCTTATATTTATGCAAGTTTTTATATATATAATATTGTTATGGGACCCCAGTACATTTCTTTTTAATTTTGGAAAATGTTGTTCTGGCTGTTATGTAGAATGTGCCTCTATGAAACTTCCAGTACTTCCCCGCTCCATATTACATGGAAAGGATTGGGAAGTATTGGGACACTGGCCATTACACACACAGGCACAATTTATACCAAAACATCTTGGACAATTCTATGCTTCCAAGTTTGCTAGAGCAGTTTGGGGAAGGCGGCCCTTTTCTGTACCAGTATGACCGTAGTGCACAAAGCAAGGTCCATATAGACATGGTTGGGTGAGTTTTTTGTGGAGGAACTTGACTGGCCCACACAGAGCCCTGACCTCAACCCCATCGAACACCTTTGGGATGAACTAGAACTGAGATCGTGAGCCAGGCCTTCTCGTCCAACATCAGTGCCTGACCTCACAAATGCTTCTGTGGATGAATGGGCCAAAATTCCCATAGATACACGTCCCAGGAGAGTGGCAGCTGTTATAACTGCAAAGGGGGATCAACTCCATATTGACGCCTATGGAATTAGAATGGGACGTCATAAAAGCTCCTGTGGGTGTAATGGGCAGGTGACCCAATACTTTTGTCCATATAGTGTAGGTTTTTGACCAGAGGTGTGCAGTTTAATTACTGGTGTTTCTGTGCATCTTTTGGTTTCATAAGGTGCTTTTGCTAAATTTATCAAAGAACAAGGACCGATTTTGCTGTAACCCAAAGCCGCCATGTGATTTAAAAGAGGAATAACTCTACGATGGACCTTTCCTGGTGACAGTCTCTCTGCTGGCTGCAGCACGTGTCACATCTTATGACTGCAACATGATATTTGTCATATTAAAGGTCAGTCATTGTTTTTTTTCCCCCTTCCACTGATTATCGTGTTACCATGTATTGTAGCTGGCCATAGGAGAATTTAACAGATTCAATTATTGCAGTATTCTATGGTCAGGCAAATACCCCCAGTGTTCTTATCAGATGTTACATGTTACACAAGGGACATGAGAGCAACCATGATATAGATTGCAGACTGCCCCCGCTCCATCAGTACAAAGCTGGACACTTGCTTCATTGTGGTGTTTCGCATGCAGGTGAAGCGCATGCGATGAGGGGGGGGTGTGTCCCCCGGGGTGTGTCCCCCGGGGTGTGTCCCCCGGGGTGTGTCCCCCGGGGTGTGTCCCCCGGGGTGTGTCCCCCGGGGTGTGTCCTGAAGGCACAGCTCTGGCTTGTTAATGCTTCATGAAAACGGGTTCATCTGAGATCCCCTTGTTTTGTGAAAATGCTCAGTTTTTGTGTGTCTTTCTACTGTAAATGTAGAAGTGTAGAATGTCCCCCTGATTGTTTAGCTGACATCCTTTATTTCTGATCCCCGTTGTTGTTGTTTAAAAGGCCTATGATGTACTTTTTTTTTTTTTGCTAAACTTGAAGTAAACAAAAAGTGTTATTCTGCCTATACATAGTAAATGGATTGTATAGCTACCGATTTTCCACACTCAATAGCCACCTCCCTTGTATGCCTCTTTGTTTTTCAGTAAACTGATTCCTTTGTGAGTAAAATTGTTTTACTTAAAGGACCACAGCTAATTTAGTACAATACTCTCTGGCAATTAAAACAAGAACCAAAAGTCTGGTTGAACGTCACACCAATATATTCACTGGCAGTATACTTACCTTAAGTAATTATCACCATAAGTAATAATTAAAATGTACAAATGTTTGATTTATTCAAAAAATTCATTCATACAATTCTTTCAGTTGTAGTGAGTGTGAAGTGTTTGAGATTTTAATTACCTGTGGTCAAGGGCATAGCTTTTGGTTGAGGGGGGGGGGCAGTGTCTACATTTAAGGGGGCCTGGGGGGGGTTGTTTTGGCTGGTTTTGATTATCGGGTTGGGGGGTGGTAGCAACAGATTATGTAATAATGCAGCATTATGTAATAGCTCGATAGAATGTAACAAATTGAATGATGGTAATAATTAACAATAACAATAGGGCGATGACGCAATCTAAAATTATGATGTCTATAACTTTGTAACATTTTGTCGAGCCATTACACAATGTTACACGGTGTGTGACAGCGCATCATGTAATAATCATATTATGTGATTACATTTTGTAGAGTTGTTACATAATGTGGTGTAACAACCCCCACCCCATAATTTATAATTTATCACATTTAATCATAGATTACCACAGGCGTGGTAAATTATGATAATTAAACATCCTGTGAACAGTTTACACGCATTGCTTCAATGGCTGCCTTTTAAAATCTTCCATGTTCTGGACATACTGCACAGCACTGTACTAACATGGTAAAGATCTCTATTAAGGTGTGTAATAAAAAATACAATTTTTAACAGGTGTCCCCAGACTTTCATTGTGCCCATTCCATCATTCGAGCAGTCGTCCATAACCGCTTATGCAGTACAAGCTCGCAATTGTTTCTCAGTTCTCAGTGCAAATGTGGCAACAGGTAACTGGAAGCCGTCTGAGTGTCCATTAACGAAATACCATTAATATGAGGCTTGGTAACTGCTGCCCTGAGTGCAGTAACCCCCACACGGTAATAAATACGACTCGGTGCAGTAAATGCAGCTTTGCATTGTCAGCGTGTAGTTTAAAAAATGTGACTGTGACAAATTTATGTCAAAATTTTGAAGGGAATACACTTATCATTCTTTTTATATGTAATATAAAAAATCATCTTAGTTATGTACACCTGTGAACGTTTCACATTTCTAAAGGACACGTTTGTTTTTTAATATGAATATTTAACTTTTCGTAAGGCGCGACGGCACTATGTATCCACCAGGGGGCATGCTAGTCACTTAGTTGCTCATCGCCTAGTGGCCTCGTACCTCCAAGATTCCTAGTCTCTACTCTGGTTTTGTGTGTGAAATTTGACGTTTTCCACTATTTTCTAAAAATGACAACATTACTAAAACTTCCAGGTAATTACAAGTACTATATATAGGGTACTATCCTGATATAAAGATTTAAAGGGATTAGTCACTGAATGGTCACACCAACCAGAAAGTATAAAGTGAATGTTTTACATTTTCGACAGCACGAAGTTAGCTGCTTATTGCTAATATATTGATTGTGAAGAAGCCATTACTTATTAAGGGGTATTTCTTAAAGAATTAAGTCCAGCTCTTTCTCTGTGTATTTATTTAAAGGGATTCTAGTGTATTTCCAGTTTTATTTATTGCTTGTACAGTGTCATTTATTGTCTCCGTACTAGGGAGTCTCTAGCAGCCGGAACCAAATTCCTTGCGTGCCCCAGCACACTTGGCGAATAAAGCTGATTCTGATCTGTGTGTTTTCGCCGATAAAGCTAAAATGTAACTGATAAAATATCTCATGTGCGATTTGCTATCATTTTGGCTGAAGCTACATCCTCAATGTATGTTTTGTCGAATGGGGTAGCCTTTCGCTGTATGAAGCCAGGTCACGTCAAGAAGTGTTTTTTTTTCTTTCTCCGGTGATATTTATGTCACCTAACTGTGTTTCTCCCTGACTGAAGTGTCATGCAAAACACCAAAAGTACTCATTAATAGCCAAAATTACACAGTTTTGTCTGGGGACCATAAACATCCTGACATATCCACTATTTGGGGAACGTGTGATTGAGCATGAAAATGTTTAAGACAGACTCTATCTTCTAAAACTTGCCTTAATTACCTTCCTGCTTTTTTCCCAAAGGCAGTGTATTCCATTTTAACTGCATCCCCATTTTCCTTTTCGTGCAAAGGTTACTGCTTGCCTCTTGAAATGTTGCATTCTATAATACGCAGACATGTGTGGCCTTCCTGCCGTCTTCCAGCACGCACGTTTCAACGTGGCGATGGTACGCGCAGTCACCGCGGCCTGGATTCGCATCGCTGGCTGGCAGACTCAGTTTCCATAATTGTACAGCTGTTCGAAGACGAGCCACCTCACGGATCACGTGGGGCGCTCTGGAACGCCGCGCTCAGACCGGGCTGGAAGAGGAGCGCGAGGCCGAACATCGGGTGATTGATGTTTCCGTTGGCCAATAAGAGCTCAGCCCTGGGAATGTGCTCCAATGGCGTTGCAAGTTGGGCGAGGTTACATTTGGAGCCAGTTTGCATTGGAAAGGCGGAGGAAAATGTAACAAAAAATAATCGGGGAATGCGACTGATGAAGGAGTCACCGCGTAATCATTTTGACATTAAATAACTTTCGAAAGAAGCCGCCAAACTACAACAGCCTTAAACCAGTCTTAGAAACGGTGAGCGCTCTGAATTTTCCTTTAAGTAATTTAATCATTGTCGACGTGAAAGAGTTATAATAGAGTGACGCTGAAAAGTTCTGTGTTATTTCCCGCAGAGTCCGAGAGATTGTGTTTCGTGGTGTAGCTTTGCGTTCTTCTACTGCTGTAAATTATGTTGTAACAGTATTTTTATACGTTTTGTCTATCCACACTAGACCTTCAGCTTGAGATATCTCAACTGAGAACAAAACATAGTTTTTGTATGAAAAACCTGTCCCTACGTTTGCTATAGCCGCAGTTTTCAGATTTGCAGCTAAAAGATTTGGGTGAAGTAATAAATTCGGTTGAATGTCTCTTGTTGCCAACTGGCAAATAATAATTTAACGACGTCGACCATCTTTTGGCCTTGGGAAACTATGATCTAAACCCCTTTTAAGGTTTACATTTAAGCATCCTAGAACGAATTACATTTTGCATTTGTGCATTTATTTGCCTACCGCAAAGGATGTTACAATTCACGTATGATTTTCCCACAAACTCCCCCCCCCTCCTTGACAGGGTTCCCTCGGCAGTTTAACTGGTTATCTGCAGCTCATATAACTGGCAAACCGTACCCGGTAATATCTCCCCTTTGAGTACTGGAGTAGTACCCTGTGGGTGTGTACAATATTACTGACATGCGAGGAAACTGACCGTACGGGTGTGGGGAACGTAAGAGTCTACAGGGGTGTAATGTCATGTATTCAAACTGGAAATGGGCACTTTGGCTCTGCATTTGCGAATGCACACACCACGTGTCTGCTTTATTTGCATAGTACTTGAAATCAAGGTAACCCTTCTATAACACATTGCGGGAATGCTCGTGATGACACTGCCCCCTCCGTTCACAGACATATGCAGCTTTTCGCCATCACGACTGCCTGAATAAAATAAAATAAATTTTGTAAATTCAAATGAATAAATTCATTCGTGTGGGAAAGTAGATATGGCAGTGGGCAGATAAGAGTGGATTTTTTGCATGGATTTTCAGCACAGCCAAAGACTGCGCCTGGAAATCCTTAACATTCCACCAGTAGTGTTTCTAAGCATACATTTTGAACTTTGGTTGTGTTGACACATGCATCATAGACCCAGGAGCTGGTTTTTGTACAAAACCTCTAGTTAACATTCCAAGTACCTAAATTCTGTTGCATTTTGATCTAACCCACTTAAGAATGGATTAAGGAATTTGTTGTACATACTATGCTCATATAAATAATGTTGGTGTTTGTCCACTGAAATGTAGCTCTGTTTCCCTCTCTAGCAGTTTACTGAAATGCACTCGTTCCATGCAGAACCATAAATGAAGTTAAACAGGCATGATTTTTTTGCCATGGGAGGCATGGCTCAGAGGAAATGATGGAAACACTTGCTTTAAGGAGCAGAAGCAAGGCGAATGCTTTTCTGGAATGAAGTCCACTCGCTTCTGAGACTTGTGTCCTGTGGTGTGGTGTGGTGTGCGGGGGGGGGAGAGAGTTGTCTTTGGGCACTGTGGGGTGGGGGGTGATGTGTTTCAGGGATGGGTGTTAAAATGACAGGGAGCATAGAACTAACTCCCCCTCCTTTGTGTGGCTGCATACCTGTGCAGTCCCCTTTGCATCCATGCATCCGGGAGCAGGGGCCTGGGAGCAGGGGGTCCGGGAGCAGGGGGCCCGTCAGCGCGGCTGTGCTTCGTTTGCTTGACAAACTGCTACCTTTTCAGATGCAAGAAGCCATGTTTTCTTCCAGTTTGTAGGGTCTTTGTTTAAGGTGCTGGGTTGCTGACATAGATGGCTTCTCCTTCTTCTATGGAAAGTGCTAGATTTACTTTATTTTCCACTTAGTACCAAATTTGCTTCAGCAGAAATGATCAGTAGTAAAAATATGCTACGTGTAAGGCAAACACATCACTTTTGAAGTATCTTATGTGCATGTGCCATGTGATATTGCATGAGAATTAGCTATTTTCTGTCCTAAGTAAAACCAAGCAGAAAGTGGTCTGGGGAAATCGTGTTTCACTTCTGCGACCCGTTGATGCTCTTTCTGCTGACCTTCCTGTGCTCTTTGATATCATGTCAGTTTCTGCCTTCTCGTCTGGCCGCGGTGGGGCCTTTCCTTTTATAAAGCAGGTAGATCAGTGATGGAAACACGTCTCAAACATGGGAGATCACAGAAATCTGTGATTTATTGTGGACTTAACAGTTGTGCTGCATCCTGATTGTCGAGTCCGATACCTTTTATGTAATTTGTGCACAGAATAATCATTGATTTTTCAGTCCAGCTCTGGAGTTCATGGAATATGGTTTATGGAATTTTACCGGTATTTATTTGCACAACAACTTTGACAAAGACTTTACATCTCCCTGCACAAACTGAAGGTGCAGATGAGAGGGGGGACAATCATGCCGGCAGGCAGCCCTGGATCTGGAAGATTTACAGATTAATTTGGAACAGGATTTACTTTGCTGTTGCTGTGGCGTGGAAGAAATCAAGCACTTGTTCATCTTTTGCTGTTGCCCCGTGTCTGTGAATTTCAGGATGTGTGTGAGGCCCTGAAAATGCCTTATGTGTCTTAATGTTAATTCTGAATGTTGGGGTACCAATTAAAGGTCAGTGATGATTCTAGCCTATGTAGAATTAATGCTTCTTATATGTTTACCTTCTCTATCAGGTTAACTTTCTGTAGCAATGTGTGCCTCTTGGAATGTCGGCAGCCTTGCATTCGCCTGGTGTGCCAGCCACCATCATCTGCTTTCTGCAGAGGCGTCAGGATCGGAATGCCTGAAAGTCATTAGATGGGCTGTTTACAAAGACCCCTTTGGGCTCTCGAGAGCCACCGGGCACACAGAAAATAGCATTCTGATGATGCCGTGGATTTTCTTGGCTCGGGTAACGGGCTGAGTGGGCTGGACCTCCACTTGGGTCATACGGCGGCCATGGTTTTTGTCGCCCGTGCTGCTCTCTTTCAGGCCTGCTATGCTGTTTTTTTCTTGTCCTCCATTGCGTCCGTTCTTCAGTCGTGTGTCCTCACCTCTCTGAGGATTCTGCCTCATGGTGATGTGACACGTGCTATCACACCCATCTTCTGTTTGGATCCTTTGAGGATTTTGGATAGATGTGCTAATGGTTTGTCCTTTTTACGAAGGAGCAAGACCTTACTTGTGTGGAGGTTCTTGAGCTGAGTCAGGGTTTACTCACACTCGTGCTGGGTATGCTGGAGGGGTTCCAGCATGGTAATGCTGGAAACTTGTGCCATTAATCCCAAATCGTGTCTCTGATTGGATGCTTTTGCCTTTGGTGGCCCTGGTAATGTGTAATATGGAGAGTGCTGCTCAGTCCGTCCTGCAGTTGGGGGGCACAGGGGGGCATTAACGAAGAGGACCTTCCCTCAGGAAGTGCAGCTGAAGGAGTTTTCACTCCCACACCCATAATTAGCTGTGAGCGCCTGAGTGGCAGGCTGCCTGGGGGGGGTTGGGGTTAAGTATGGACCCAGAAGCCTGAGCAGGGGATCACTCTGCTCCCAGAGTAGCTGGTCTCCAGCCGCTCTCATTCAAATTACATCACTTCCTGTCCGGCCAGAACTTTTTTTTATTTTTTAACCCCGCTCGTTGATTGCCTCACTGTGTGCCGACCTTGTGGCACGGCGAGTGCATGCAGGGGCCTTGTGAGCCCTGAGAACTCGGAGAAGGGCTGTGTCGCATCGATGGATGCTAGGCGGTTTGCATCGGTTTTGCATCCATTAGCATTGGTTGCGGCCTCATGCTCATTGCCAGAGTGCTGAAGTCTTTCGCAGTTGGGACAGGGGTGAGGAGACGGGCGACCTCATAAATTTCTTGAAGTGCTCATTAATGTGGATTTGTTCTCCCTAAATCAAACTTTGGCCTTCGCCAGAGACACACACGTCTTCAGCCTTGCACAGGGGTAGCGCTAATTGCTGTTATTTATGTGACCGTGATTATTTCCTTCTATATCAATGCACTTGAATCCCCAGATATGGGCGTTTGAACTCTTAAAAATCTGTTCTCTGCTCAGTGTGACATCGTCCTCATAATTCATGGCCCTGACACGTGTACGCTGGGCATTGCTGTCTAGTGCATGGGTGGGTCTGTTACACAATGCTTCTGAAACATGACTGAACTGCTACTCTTATGATGTAGCAAAAACTTGGGGGGGGGAGTGAGGGGGTGGAGTGCTGACACTCCTGTCCTGCTATTTTGGTACTTTGAGGTAGATGTAGAAAATGGCCTGGTTGAATTTCAGCCGATGTGGGGGTTGAGTTGTTGGATGGAGAATGTCACACAGGTGTGAATTGGTAGAGCTGATCGCAGAGTTTCCCATTTTTTCGAGTCCGGATCAGGAGCTACAGCCACAAAACACGTAAGTGCTTCCTGTGGTGCTGGAGAGCTGTACCGGCATGTCCGGGCCAAGCGGTGGCTCAGCCCTCAGGCCCTTGAGGTTGGGTGGGAGGGGGTTCTGTGCATTTTGTGGTATCCCGTGGTGTCGGCTCACGCTTTGATAGGCGCCCCCTGGAGGTCACTAGACTGCATGGTTTTCGGTTTACGTGCACGACGACACTTTTTCTCGCAGCGCGCCGGGCAGAGGTCACCGAACCCGGAACGTGAACCTGCTACAGTCAGCCTGCGAGTGTCCTTTAATCATCACAGCACACGTGAGAGGTGTTTCTCGGCGGGTGCGGGTGCGAGTCCTGCCGGCCTGCCCGCCGTATAGGGTGACATAGCACAGGCAGTGCCTGGTATTGTTTTATCCCTGTGACTAAAGAACTTATAAGCATGACTGCCTTGGGGGGGTTGGTCAGCGCTGGATCTTGGCTTTTTGCCTCAGCTGAGTGCCCTCACTGTTGGATCGAAGAAGATTCTTTCTCCGTTTTTAAAGGCCTTCTTTCTCTCGGCCTTGCTCTCTGTCTCTTGTGTGTGTGTGTGTGTGTGTGTGTGTCTTTTTCCCCCCCCTCTTTTTTTTCTGTGTTTCGCTCAGACCCAGATATAGCCTAGAGGGGAGGGGAATGGTCCAGCCTATCTGGCATAATGCCTTGCAGTGGCCTCAGCTTTGACTGGATGCCTGGTGCTGATATCAGCTGGTCACCGTAATTTGCCATAAGATCCTCCCCCCGGCTTCCTCCCATTGTGCCTGCTGACAGCCTTCACAATGCCCGCCGGCGGGGTGTTCATCGCGGTCGTTCCAGTTCCTGGCTGGAGCCGTCAGCTTCGTTCCCCGATCCTGTTTTACACGGGAAAACGCCAGATCCCAGTCATGGCCGCCTGTCGTCCTGCCCCTGTGCCCACGGGTGGCTTTTGCCCGAGCCAGATGTTTACTCTCTTGTGTTTCAGCATTTCCTTTGTCGCTGTAGCATGAGAAATTCCGTCACCCTCATGAAGAACACAGCGTGTTATGGCTAAGGCGTGCTCCTTGTGGTTAGAGCAGACCCGCTGCGGGGTGCGATGAAACACTCCGAAAAAATGCGACGGTCTTTCCCACTTCTTCTGCACAGTTGGGGTTTCTCACAGCATCCATATTATGGAAGCGGCTCTCAGCCGTAGTGGCTGATCAGATACGGCCAGTGTAGGTGCACTGTAATCTTGAGGTCTCTATCTGTTGTGTCACAACCTTGGCAGAAGTGTGACGATGAGGAGAAAACCTTTTTAGGGTGTTTCAGGATGTGGGCAGTGTCAGCTTCTAGCCATCCATCCATCAGTCTCCTGTCAGCAGGGTCACCGGGGGCAGCACAGGGCACAAGGCTGGGGTAAACCTTGCATGGGATGTCAGTGCAAGTTAAGGAAAGGATGGAAGTCAAGGAAAGGATGGAAGTCAAGGAAAGGATGGAAGTCAAGGAAAGGATGTTGGTAGCTAAGAGTGATGGGGAAAAATAGATGCCATGGCTTGTGGTTAATGCTGTGAGCTGATGTGTGTGTGACTGCAGGACTGAGCCCCGACGCTGCCCGATTTGCTCTGGACAAGGCGCAAAGGCAAAAGCTCCACCTGCGGATCAGTGTGCTTCTTGGTTTCGTTTTGTTCGGTCAGTTGTTTGTTTTCCATACCGAGTGCCTCGTTTGTCTCCGGGACTGACGGGCTGCAGCTCTGCCTTTTGTCTGCCCAGATTCGATTGGCCGCAACTAAGGGCTGCCAGTTACACTGACAAACAGCTGGAACACAATAGGGCTGCCCCCCCGCTCCCACCGGCGTGTGTCCAATGGCAGCCAAATGAGCTCCCCTGCAGTGCTCGAGATGCTCGGTGTCATGTGACCTGCACACTGGCATTGTCTAGTGTGCCGCGCTTTTTTATTCTTATGCGTTAATTTGCTTGCTTTTCTCCCCCCTCCTTCTCGCAGGGACATGCGTGGGGCTGCAGGATCGTCCCCAGGCTGTTGAGCGAGCCTTTGCAGCACGGTGAAACCTCATCATGGATGTGGAAGAGTTCCCGCCACCCCCCCCTGAGAGTAATGTCAACCGCAGTCCCATCTATTTCTGGCTGGGCCTCTTCTGTCTGCCCGGGGTTGAATTGGGGGGGACGGGGGGGGTTGGTGTGGTCTTTTGATTGTAGAGGCCTGTGTGGTTAGTGAAGAGAGGGTGTGGCATAAAACAGCACCCCAGGCAGAAAGAACAGGACTGCTTGCCGGTGAGCACTGCAGTGCCTGTGGCTTTTGCACAGAGATACCCCCCCCCCCTGTCTGGCTTAAAGGGGGGGGGGTGTACGGGGGCAGGCAAACAGAACATGCATTGTGGCAATGAATCAACAATAGTCAAGCAGGCTGGGGCTGTATCACTGTGCAGCATGCTGGGAGAGCTGGTGTGGTGTGTTGGGGCGGACTGACTGTGATTCCCCCCCCCCGCCCCCCACAATTATATTAGGAACTGGTGGACCTTAAAATGGGTCAAAGTCAGGCTGCAAGATGAAGATGCGGGGGCTCGTATTCGTGTGCTAATCACCCTCTTGGCACTGCATGGGTGCAGGCTGATAGTTTTCCAGTCACTGTATCCTTAAGACTTCCCGGGCAGTTCAGAGGGCCCACGCAGACCCCTCCAGTATGGAAACTATGTAGCCATGTCCGCTACAGCAGTGTTCCTCTAACCAGGCCTCAGGGACCCCTCAGGAATCCACTGCGTTACAGGACAGACTTCCTCTGGACTGGGAGTGGGGGCCCTTCACTGCGATTGTCCGTTTTAAGAGGTGTCAGGATGTCTCTGCCCTGGCGTCGCTTGATCGACAGCAAGAATTTAACATCAGCAGTGGCCTGTGATACGGATCGTGTTGCGCTGACATCCCCTGACACCGCAACTCAGTTTGAGGCTGTGACAGGTGTCTGCTTTCCGCTTTTTTCCTAGGGAGGGAACCTTCCAAAAACCGTTATGCTTCTTCATAAGGATTGCCGGGCTGTGGGGGGGGGGGGGGAGTGGAGTGCATGAGTGATCTGGCGGAACAATCTGCCTGTGTCATCGCTGGCCGCTTCTAGCCAATGGGAGGGGTTATACCGGTGATTGATAGCTCGCTACAATCCCACCCACTGCCTGATTTCTCCCATTTTTGTTTGACTTTTGATGTATCATTAGTTGTAGATGTTTCTTAACAGATGTCATGTGACCCTTAAGGACTGTTCCCTAGTAATCTGAACATTGTATTGTGCAATTAGATTCAAAAATGGGTGGGAGAGTGAATTTTCAGGGCTCGCCGTGTTATGATTCATTTTCCAGAAGGCTGTCTTGCGATACCAGTCAGTTTCTCTTCTTTGTGGTCAGAGTGAGGAATCTCTGGAATGTTCAGGGCCAGGAATATGCCCTTTCCATGCTTGACATTTCCAGAGATAATATTCATCCAATCAGAGCATTGTACCATGAACGTTCTCCTGGGCTTGCTGGCGGGCAGCGTGGCCTCATTGAGCCAGGTCAGCTGCTTTAGCTTCCGGAAGCACCGCAAGCCTGAATGGGGAGAATTCCTTTGTGTGTTCCTGTAGAGTGAGTCACAAAGTGGGCTGCCCTATGCCAGGGAGCCATCGTAGTGTGGAAAGCGGCTGTCGTCGGCCAGCATCCATCACAGGCGTTCTTTCACTTTAGGAGATTTGAATCTTTGCATATGTGTATGGCTCGTACCTGCGATCAGAGGGTCGCTGGTTCAAATCCTCTGGTCGGTTGAGTGATTTTATAGGTGGACCTTTGAGCAAGGTTCTTAGCCCTCAGTGCTTCAGGGACTGGTTTATTTTGCTCTCTTGACTGTATGTCGCTTTGGGTAAAAATCTTATAGTTAAAAAAAACCATAAGATGGGCTAACGGCTTATAACGTATCCAGAATGAGGGACAAAATTCTAGAGTCTGATGTCTCTTCAAAGAAAAGTCTCTTCAGAAATCAGGCAGTGTGTGGGCTTTGGTGGGACAGGAATGAGATTCAAGCTCGCTCACTTGTGAATGTAACCTGACCCTGACGGTTCCCCACCAGGCCCTCGGAGGAATGGGATTAACATGGAGCTTTGATGTATTCATGGTCACTCGCCATCTTCCCATTTCCTGCTTGTCGAATCTCAGCATGGAAACGCGTTTGTTTTTCCGCAAGTTGTTTCCTTTGTGTACCAGAGTTAATCATTCCTCGTTGGCCCCTGTTGAGAAGCTGGCTGAGAACTTAATATCACCCCTCAGGTGGTTTTAAGGTCCTGTGTCCTTAACGAGACATACATGTGGCTTGCCGCGTACATTTTACTGATTCCATGGGTGGTGTTCTTTGTATGTGGTAGGAGGGCCTACCTCTCATGGGGAAGACAGGCCTTTTCTTCATCTCTCACATTATATCACATGATTTCTTTAGGTACCCGATCTTCAGTTGCTGGACTTTTGTTTGGTTCCATCAATCCCGAATGGTGTCAGTGTAGGTCTTAGTGTCTCAGTCGGCAAGCCTCGGTTCTGCGGGTGGGGTCCAGTCCGCCTGCAGGGTCTCTGCTAAGTCCTCTGTTATAATGACAGACTTGGGTGGGTGGACCACACCAAGAGCTACAGCCACGTGATTTGTCTTCTAAAATAGACCACCGGACCATGTGTGTTGGATGTGTGCGGTCCAGGACGCTCTTCCTTGGACCTCTCTGGCTGTTTGCAGCTGTAGCACATTTTGCTTGTGGCGTAAACACGTGACTATGGAGAGCTGGCACTTAAACGAGTCCTCTGGGCTTTGCTAGTTTAACCTTTGACCTTTTATGGGCTTTGTAAGGACGTGCAGCTGGGTGTTATGTTTATAAAAGTGTGCATAACTGAAATGTCTGTCTCTAGTGCTGGATGTGGGCCCGCCCTTCACCGACGAGGATGAGGGGGAGCAGTTTGAGTTTGATGACAGCGGAGACGAGGTCCCTGAAGCTGACAGATCGGCACCGGCCCCTCCGCCCCCTCCGACCCCCAACTATGCCGGTACGGCACCAGCAGCAGGTGCCAACGAGCAGCTACCAAAGCAAGCTGTCAAAGAGAATGACTTGCTTCCACCACTAGAGGGCACCACTGCTTCTAGCGCCGACATTAGCCTTAAAGGTTGGTGGAGGATGCACACTGATCATTTTCTTTCCTTTTGACGTCAGTTATCCTTGATAATTATTCACAAACTGCCAGTTAATGTTGCCATAAGTGAATTGATTGTGGTGCTGTTTCAGCGGCAGGGGGTTTGCCTTAGAAACAGGCCGCCTGGTCCTCTGTACACTAACCATCGTTATGAGCACCCAAAGGTCCGTGTGATGACAGCATTGAGGAGTATCGAGATGTTGTGTCAAAGTCAGGCTTCTGACGAAAGCTTGCTCAGCAAAAATGGTTGACATTTACATTTATTTTATTTATCAGACGCTTTTGTCCAAAATAACTTGCAAGCGGGACAGATAGCACATTGTAAGCGGTACCAGAGCAGGAGCTACACAACATCTCCCAAACAAAGCAAGATCCTAATAAGACTGCTATTCAAATGAGCAGATAGTGCAGCATTAAGAGCACTCAGGGAACATGGAGTGGTATCAGGCACGTAGAGGTGTTCCTGGAACAGATGGGTCTTGAGGCATTTCTTGATGGTGATATGAGTCTTTCCTACCCTCAGAGGGTGATGGCTTCTCCAAGGACATCGCCCCGCCCCCTGTCACCGCTGCCCCTGGCCCCCAGGGCAAGGTGAACCCGTACTCGGTGATCGACATCGCCCCCCTACAGCAGCGACCCTCGCCCCCCTCTCTGGAAACGGAGGCTGTGTCCCCAAGCGACGCCCCCCCCAGCCCGTGGGTACCGCCCGGCTACGCCGTGCCCCCGCACCGCGATTACGCCGTGCCCTCCAACGTGCCCGTCATCACGCCAGCCTACACCACGCCCGTCATCATTCGCCACCTCTCCGCGGACGAGGACGGTAAGGCAGGATGAGTCATGCCCGCTCTCACCCTGCTCTTCCCCTGCCACCCAGGAGCACTGGGGTGCCAGTAGAGGGCTGCTTTTCCCTGGCTGGGCGGAAACGGATGTGCAGCTTGGTGCTCTGTGGCGCTCTGTCTTGGCTGTGAGGGTTTTCCTGTTTTCTTTCCTTTCTGTTTTAGTCGATCTCCAGCGCACAGCTTGCCACTTTGGTGAGGCAACACCAGCCGGACCATCAGTGCGGCTCCTGGTCATTTTTTGTTACCGAAGGGTGTTTATTAGGGGACTTTTTCAGGAACGTCCCTCCCAGGGCAGTTAAACAGGAAAACCTTCACGGTGTGTTTTTTTTTTTTTGAGCACGTAGGAGGTCAGTGGGAGTAGTGAGAGAATCACATTGGTCTGTCCAGTCGGGATATTGGTGTGAATTTTTCTGTCGCCATTAGGATGACAGGGACAACTGAGGAGATGCCGCTGTGTCGGTTCCTAATAAACATTTAATAAAAAGGACCCTGGAAACTGATCTGGGGTCTGTGGCAAGTTTACAGTACTTACAAAGAAATGTCGAAATGTGTATATTTACGTGCCATAGTACTCATGGAAATATCCTGCAGACATTTATTGGATTTTATTATGAATGTGTCTTTGTACCTTTATGCATCTTAAAGCATTTAATCATTAACTTTTCTAGAGATGAACATAATCGCATTTCTCAAGTTGCAGTCTCATGCTTGCCCTCTGGTGGTGATAATGTGCAGTACCCATTTCACAGTGGATAGATTGATACATCTTCATTTTAATGCAGCCATCTCTGTCCTTCTTGCCCTTTATGATGTGCCTTTTTAACTTAAGTGTGACTCCTCCCCCCTTCCCTCCTCTCCACAGTCACTGTTGTTGGGACAGGCAACATTTCATCTGACAGGTAAGCAATGTAACTGAAGTATAGACACACGCACATCCCACAAATGAGTGTGTTACCTGCCATAATAGTCACCTAACAGCAGATATTCTTGAATTTTTTTGAATGACTTGAGCTCCTGTCGCTTGTCTCCTCTTACGAAGCGTCTTCAGTGAAGAGTACCCAGCCATCCAGGAAGAAGATGCACTTTCTAAATGGGTGTCAGATCCTGCTAACACGGCCTGGATGGAAAGTAGGTGCTGGAGCTCGTAAGAAGTGTCAGTCTCAGTGTCAGTCTCAGTGTCAGTCTCAGTGTCAGTCTCAGTGTGTCACGGTGACGTCGAGCCGCGTAGCCTGTGGGTTTGTGGCACTCGTGTGTGAGCTTTTGAAAGCAGTGGGCTGTTTGAATAATTTCAGATTTTGTAAAAGCGCCCCACGCGTTTAACCCCATTGTGAAAGTCACCTCCTGGCTTGGTACCCCGCCCCCCCCAGTTTATTCCCAGACACTTCCTTCCTCATTCATGTTTGAGGAACTGCATTCCCCAGGCCCTCCTCTTCTCCGTCCTGTGAGAAGCCGCGTCCTGGCGACATCGCTACACCCTGATGGTCTGTCGAGCTCGACCTTTTTCGCGTTTTAACTCCTAACATGTCCCCCTGGGGGTATTCCAGGCCCAGATGAAGTCATTTACGACGATGTGCCCAGGGAGAACTCAGACTCCACGCCAGGTCGGTTCGCATGCCCTCTTTCCTATTTGCTGTCCTGCTGTACTCTGAGATTAAGTCACTTCTCCGTTTCACAGATTTTGCTGATTTGGTATTTCTGTAGTTATTTTCATTGACTTGCTTGAGTGTATTTTTTCCCCCCCACAACCTCGGCATAATTACTGGTGCCTGTTTCATTCTGGTGTGTTTAGCGTAATTAATGGCAGGCCCGTCTTTCTACGTGCTTTCACCCTTTGGCGTCTTGCCCAGCACTGTTTTCTCTGTGTCATTGTCAGTCAGCATCACATGTTCATAACTGCCCATGTGACCAGTTTATAGATCCATGGGGTTATTTACCAGCTGCCTGTCACTGCCATAGAAGTCGATCCTGCATTAAAACGCTCCCTTGGCATTGTATAATGAAAATATCTTAGGGCCTGTATTAATGCACGTGTACATGTTTGTCAGTTGTCCGGTATTTTATATAGTTGTGTCATTTACCTAAATAACCAAAGTATAGCTGCACTGAGCCTGACTGGATGATGTAAGAGTTTAGCTGACAGACAAGCTGAGTGATGCTAACGCATGTGGATCAGTGATGCTAACGTGCTAACGCATGTGGATCAGTGATGCTAACGTGCTAACGCATGTGGATCAGTGAAGCTAACGTGCAAACGCATGTGGATCAGTGAAGCTAACGTGCTAACGCATGTGGATCAGTGAAGCTAACGTGCTAACGCATGTGGATCAGTGATGCTAATGTGTTAATACTCGGCACTGCCCTCAGACGAGATGATCTACGATGATGTGGAGCGCGGCGAGGAGGGGAGCTCCTTGGACAATGGCTGGAGCTCCAGCGAGTTCGAGAGCTATGACGAGCAGAGTGACTGCGAGAGCCGGGGGGAGAATGGCCTCCCCGACGCCTTTCTTCGCAGTGGACCCTCGCGGAGCAAAACGCATGTTTGTAGTCGTTTCACTCCTAGTTTGGGAAAATGTTTCGGACCAAAACAGAAGCAGTTACCAGCTACCTCGGTTGCTAGAACAATCACAGATAAAAAGGGATTGTAGTAGGTGACTGTTTTAATGCGATGAGCAGATGTTTATCCTGTTTTTCATAGAGGAAAGTCTCTCCTGCTGTGTATGCTGTCCTTCCAAAAGTCATGGTATCGCTAACTGAAATGAAAACTCTGTAGGCAAGACTCTGGGCTAAATAATTACTAATGGAAGTCTTTCATTAGCAAGCTTCAGTACTTAGAGGGGCCTTCTTGGGCTAATTCTCCCCTTCATCTCAAAGTGGTCCCATTGAGCTTCTGGATCTCTGCCGTTTCTCTGTGCACCAGCATAGTTGGATTTTGAGCAGCCTTCCACGACTTTTGGTATGGAGAAGTATAGGCATCTCCACTGGGACGCTTGGCTTGCGTGTTGCATGCTGCTCTACACAGCAGGATTACGAGGGCTCTGTCCCGGTGCCGTAATTCTGCCGGGTGCCCAAGATGCCCGGGGGACCAACAGCCATCTGGGACCTACGTTTCACCACCCCCCCCCCACCTCCACACAGCCGTGCCGGCTAACTCCGCTCTGCTCTCCCCCAGCTTTCCCAAGATCTGACGCGCTTGAAAGAGCACTATGAGCGAAAGATGAAAGATCTCATGGCAAATACAGTGGGGGCCGTCGAGCTGCAGCAGATCAGGCAGAAGCACGAGCGGAAGGTAAAGCCCAGCAGAGGGCGATGGCGAGCCAGCTGCGGCGGCGGCTGCTGCAGATGTTGGAAGGGTCACAGGTGGCTAGTGGAGTAGTAGGTAGCACTGTGTTAAATCCAAGGTTCTGTGCAAGGTATTCTTTTAAGCAAATGCGTCATCCATCCATCCATCTTTTATGCTGCTGATCCTGTACAGCAGGGGTTCTCAAACTTTTTGATTAAAGGTCTGCATCAGATTTTTGTTCAAAGTCAGGAGGTCCAGAACAAATTCATGAACTTTAATGAATTAATAATAACCTTGGATACAGAAATCAATATATAGCAATAACGGGAAGCTTTTAATGCTCGCTGATTATTTTGAGTCTGTCATTGGGGGGGAGGGAGGAGATGATGAGTTATGTGTGTTCAAAGTTTGGTTGGTTCTACATTGTATTTTTGTACTTCTGACCTCGTTATGTTAATCATATTGATTCATAAGGCGTTCTGTCGGCTGGGTCCGGCTTAACTGACTTTCAGAACCCCAGCTGCACTGGGCTGGGGTCTCTGAATTTACATTAAATATCAGTTTTTGTTTTTCGTGTTTCATATCTTTTGTATCCATAGTGTGACCATGTTCAGACTTGAGTGTTGTTGTAACATGTTGCTGCAGGGAGGCGCAGTCCCTCCCGTTTCCGGCAGTAAAGACATGCAGCTTGGTGTGTTGCCGGCGGGAGGTGAGGGGGCAGCTGGCCCCCGCCGGAGCGCCACTCAGCGACCTGTCACTGGCTGTCAATGACAGGCGCGGATGCGGGGTGGAGGGCTATTTGCAGGCTTGCTATTGGCTATAAAAGGCAGGGTTGGAACGTGTCCCCTGTTTGTCACTCTGGGGCAAATTACAGAGTGCTGTGTGGGACCAGCAAGCCTGCCTCCTGTCTTCCTAGAGAGTCATTATCATTATCCGAGCTGAGAATTCTGTCCCAGATGTGATGTGACACTCCCTTTGGCCAACTCTGACAGCCGACGGATTTTTCCCTAGGCGTTGAGTAACTGCCATTTACTGAACAAGGCACTATGAGCAAGCATAGGTTCAGTCAGAGCAGTGGAGTAACTTAGAAGTAAAGCTTACGCTGCGCTCTGTATTTACATGATCTGCCATCTGACTCATGTTGTGCTGCCGGTTGCCCCGGACTGTAACCTTTGACCCACATAGCGAACGTGAGCGGTGACCATTTTGTCAAGTGGTATGTCTCTCTCCTGTTCCCACGCTGGCTGCGACCAAAGATGCAGAAGCTGGTCAAGGCGGCGAAAGAGGGAACCAAAGACGGCTTAGAGAAAACAAAAGCGGCCGTGAAGAAGGGCCGGTCCTTCATTAAAACCAAATCATTCCACCAAGGTAAGGACCCCCTACCCGCATCCGCCATGACGGTGCCGCTGTGACATCCATGCCATCAAGCCGGCCCCTGCTCTGCCCTCCAGACCGCAAGTCGGCCAATCTGGAAGAGGAGGGCGACCTCTTCATCGAGGTCGAGTGCTTCAACGTGGAGCCTGAGCTATGCCCGGCTCCCCAAGGCCTCACACCACAGCAGGTACCCGCCTCTCTGTCACTGGGTTCTCATGGTTTTTGTCCGTGGTCCTGTCCTCCTAAGACTCAGCAGTTCATTTTTGTCCTCCGTAGGAGACATGAGTCTCTGCTGTCTACGTTAAGAAATGTATATCCAATCGTGGTGAAACCGGTTGTACTGTGTAGAGGTCGCCCTGGGCTTTACAGCGACCTCACATTTGTTGGCATCACCTCAACCCAAGACAACCCAAACACTTGCATTGTGTCAAAAATATAAATATTAAAACCTTTCATCATGAATTGCATAAACTGGTATAGATCACTTCACACTTGTGATCCGTGTGTCTGCTCGTCGGTAGATGGTGAGGAGACACATTCTGGGGTCGATATTGGAGAGCGAGAAGAACTACCTGGACGCCCTTAAGCGAATTCTAGAGGTACGGTTCTTTTGCACTACAGTAGTTGTGCAGTAAAAGTGTCATTGATGGTGTGTGGGACATTTCAGTGTTACTCTTCAGTGTTTCAGAAGCATTGTGACACGTTATGCCTGTTTTTTGTGTTTTCCCTTTCACCACCATTGAGGAAAGTGTTGTTGCTGCATGACTGTGGATGTGTAACAGGCTCACTAACTACAGCTTGTCTCTAAGAATATGGATCACATCATGTGCTACCATTGAACCTTGTCAGCAAATATAAAACTGCAAGTGGTGCCACCTGGTGACCACTCTTAGAATTTCAAGCGCAAGAAGTCAATCTTGTCACAAGAAAAAATCTTTGGGAGAGAGTGGCCTGTGGGACTGGGCTCTAGCGCTATGGCTGCATGAATGGGGGGGCGGGCATTACTTCTCGGTGGTCATCATGTGACTCAAGTGGGTGGGGTCACATTTCCTCTAATCAGCATTATGAGAAGCCCCTGTCAGAGATGGAGCCCCGGTTGCTGAGCGATAGGAAGCTGAAGGTGACGTTCTGCCGCGTACGGGAGATCCTGCAGTGCCACGCCCTGTTCCAGATCGCCCTGGCCAGCCGCGTGGCCGAGTGGGATGCTTCCGAGATGATCGGCGACGTCTTCGTGGCCTCCGTGAGTCCTAAGCGATGACCTGGCATGTGGGGGGGGGAGCACACGTGGCTTCATTAGCCCGCCTGATTAAAGCAGTGTGGAACGAGACCTCGGGTGACTTTCCGTTTCAGAACAGAAACTCACATTTCTCTTGTTTGATTGTTATTTTCCCGTCTTGTGTGAGGAAATAACTTGGAGGAAGTTCTACATCTCCACTTGACATGTTCCTCTGCTTTGTGTTGCACTGTAATAGTGAGAAAAGAGCTGCAGTCTTTGAATGCTGGTAACTTCCTCCCTCAGGATTTTTAAGCAAAATAAATCAGTCAATAAAGAAAATAAGTTAATAAGAAATCCAGTGGTTTCCTGCAGGTATGAGAAGTGGGTGTTTCAGCTGTAAAATCTTGGCAAAGGCACCGTCTCCCTCCCTTCTAGCGCTCGATTGGTCAGCAGTAGGGTGTACCCCACCCTTGTAGCCTGTTGCTTAGCAACACTCACCTCCCCTGACAAAGGAAGTGACCCGCCTTTTCCACTTCCTGGATTTGTTGTTTTGGGTCTGTCTCATTTGTTGAGCTTTAGGTGCTGGTAATCCGTGTCCAGCGGTCAAGGGATCTATTCAGGGTTTCAGCTGCTGGGTCTTTGTCACCTTGGAAGCATCATGATCTGGGTCCTCCTGTGATGTTCTGTGCTGTCACCTTTCTTCAGTTCTCCAAGTCCATGGTGCTGGATGCATACAGCGAGTACGTGAACAACTTCAGCCTGGCCATGGACGTGATTAAGAAAACGTGCGCCTCAAAACCTCCCTTCCTCGAATTCCTCAGAGTAAGGAGGGGACTCGGCGTGGGTGGCGATGGCTGGTTGGTCAATTCGGCAGGGGTGAGAGAAATAGCTCAACTGAAATAACAAGACAGGCTGTGGCGTCGACGATCCACCCACAGACATTTCTGTCATGAAAGTGTGTAAAACTTGGTGTAGAAACACCCATGAACACGTGTTGCTTTTTCAAACCACCCAGAACCTCACTCACGCCCCCTACCTGTCCCCACAGCAAAGCCAGGACAGCAGCAGTGACCATGTGACCCTCTACGGGCTGATGATGAAACCCATACAGAGGTTCCCACAGTTTATACTGCTGCTGCAGGTAGGACGGAGCCCCGCCTCCAGTCCCCATGCCCCGCCCCCAACAGGGCCTCTGTACTGAATAAAACACTTTTGTTTTAACATTATGCATGAAGTTTGTATAATTAATATGAGGTAATACTAATGACGCATCCGTAGGTTCCGGAATAGGTTCCAGACCCTCCATGATCCTGAATAAGATGAGCAGTTACATAAGTTGGGTAGATGGATGGATGGATGGATGGATGGATAATACAGATATTTGGGAACAGATGACCAGGTGGAATTGGCCAGCAGGGGGAGCTCTACACTCACAGACTAGCTGGAAATCTGTTGTGTGGGCAGTTCTGTTAGAATGTATTTAAATGATGAAGCCTATGGAAGTGTGTGTGTGTGTGTGTGTGTGTGTGTGTTATTCAGAGCCCCTTTCATGTTGTAACCTGCGGGACCCCTGGGTCAGGTGAGGTCGGGAGTGTACCCTAAATGCCCCATCCTTCTGCATCACGCCATTCCAGGACATGTTGAGGAACACCCCCGTGGGCCACGCGGACCGCCTGCCCCTGCAGATGGCGCTGACGGAGCTGGAGACCCTGTCCGACAAGCTGAACGAGCGTAAAAGAGAGGCAGACCAGCGCTGCGAGATCCGGCACATCGCCAAGGCCATGAACGAGCGCTACCTCAACAAGGTGCCGTGCCAGCAGCCAAAGCCGGGCAGGGCCCCCACCACGCGGCTAAATGCAGCCGGTGCCGGGGCCCCCACCACGCGGCTAAATGCAGGCGGTGCCTGAAGACACGGTTTCCACGGAAACCCGTCCACTTGTGACCCAGTACCCTATTGGCGCTGCCATCCCAGCTGCCCCTTTCCCCTTCTGCACTGTGGTGGGAGCTCCTCAGCCAGAGGGTTGGGTGTGAAACCATCTCGAGTTTGGCCAGTAGATGGCGTAGTGACATTAGGCGGGAAACTGCCTCGTAATGGAAATATTAATCTATGCAAACGAATAAAAAACTATGAACAGAGTTAGTTGAAAATTTGCTTATTAAAAATGTCCTCTATTTCAAATGGTCTTTCTAGTTTTTTTTCTTGCACTTTGATAAGTCGATGTACTACACCAGTACTTGACTGTAAATGACCCCCCCCCCCCCCCCAGCTCCTGAGGTCTGGCAGCCGGTACCTGATCCGCTCCGATGACATGGTGGAGACTGTGTACGGGGACCGCGGGGAAGTGGTGAAGACCAAGGAGAGACGGGTCTTCCTGCTTAACGACGTGCTGATGTGCGCCACGGCCAATGTCCGGTAAACTGACCCCAGATCAGATGTGATCCCTCGGCCGTTTTCAGAGAAAGCGACGGCGGCTCTCAGTCTGACTTTGGGGAAGTGACCTTGGCATGTGTTTGTGGCCATGCAGGGGCAGTCAGGACAGCGGCAGTGCTGGTGCCCCCGCTTGGCAGAAGTTCCTGCTGAAGTGGAGCATACCTCTGAGCTTAGTGGACGTGGTGGAGTTCGGCTCCAGCGAGGACGTGGGGGACAGCGGCCGTTTACCACCGCCGCACTCCGTGGAGAAGTTGGTCATCAGCACCAAGCCCAGTAGGTGTCACTGCGAGACCACAGTCCAAATTTGTTTTCGAGAAACTAATACATTTTGATTCTGAAGGTTAGAGTATACTTGTATACAGCTGGGTGGAATGAAAGGGTTAGTGGAGTGTCCTGGTGCCCAATGGCACCCCCTACTGTTGAGCTATGGAATTGCCCCAGTAATAAAAAATATAAGGATTAACGGGTGTGTATAATTATGAGCTGCACAAGCTCCTTTGGAGAAAATTAACTGTTGCCAAGGCTTTGAGTGACCCGATTCCGTAGGAGATGAATGGTGCACTTTGGAGCAGTGTTTTGCAGTCCGGTCCCTTCCTGAGCTGGGAGGAAAACGTGGACTGTCTGTAGGTCCCTGAGGACAGGGTTGGGACACACTGCTGTAGAGGCACGGGCTGCACACTGTACCCCGATGAACATGCACGTCCTTGGGGCGGATGGCCCCTGAGGCAGAGACCACAGATGGAGTTAATACACGCATAGAAGGGTTTGCTCGTTTTTGTTTCATCTTTCATTTGAGCATTTGCACAGATGGTTTTTTGGTCCTAATGGGATATCAAATAATAATAATACTTCATGGGGAAGTTCTCTTCTTTTCACCTGCCGCATCTTGCTCTCTGTGACACACAGACAGGTGAGAGTATGCATAGCAGAGATGGGCAGCCATCTACAGCAGCTCCCATGAAGCACATGACTATTCTGCTGAGGCCCGGCTCGACCTTCTGATCACGGGCATAGAGGCTAAGCCCCTGAGCCACACACCGTGCAGTTGGTTCTCCCTGGAAGGCGTTTCAGGCTGTGTTTCAGTATTTCATGCCTGTGCTCTGACTTTTAAAACAGCTGTGTCTTTAAAAACCTGATTGGCGAACCAGACTTGTGATTTAATTTTCCTCTGCGTTTCCCTCGACCGGCAAGCGGGACAGTTTAAGGCTATATTGGGGAAAGCCATATGATTTGTGGTCATGGGTCATGCAGTGGCTGTTTTTAGTGTAAAACGTGAGCCTTGAACGCTGGCATTTTCTCGGGGAGTTGTTTGGTGTAACATTATGAGAGGAGATGCATTGTTTCCTGGTCAACAGGAGAGGGCTTTTAAGTGGTGCTTAGAAAATGAAGCTTTTCTAAATGTCTTGCATTTCTGCAGTGTGTGTTTTATGGATTTGTGGTTCTTTTGACTGAGCAATGCATTCCTCGCAGTGCATTCTTCACAGTGCATTCTTCAATAATCTAATTCCTGATGAGTATCTTATCCACCCAGGTTTTCGGCTGGATTTTTCTGGAAAAGCCTTTTTATCTGATGCTGGTAGATCTAAGCCTGTTAGTCTTGTTAAGTGGCGGATTTTGTTAATTTATAAGTGACTTTGAAGATATAGTTTCCAGTGTACGGACGAGCACCGCAGTACGTTGCTGTGGATGACCAGGACTTTCCACATCAGACGTTGATAGTCACAGCTAATCAGGATGCAGGCTTATTTCAGCGTGACTCATTGTAAGACTAGGAGTGTTCTGATGTGCTCTTCGCAGACTGTGTTGCAAGACTGCTTCCTGTTTTCCACTGAGGCTCTCGTCGGAGATGCCCTGAGTCAGATGGTGAGAGGCTTGTCTCTGACCCAGCAGCTGAGGCAGGTACTTGCAGTGCTGACATAAGCCAGTGAGAATCTGTCAGCGCCGTCTCTAGGTCTCGCTGTATTTATGTGGCAGAATTTTGAGAAAACGTCCCCACAAAGAATGCGCATTAAAGAGCCAAAAAAACATTGCGCTTGACCCCATAAAACTCCCCGTTCTTCCAGATGTTACTCAGAAACAAAACAAAACTATAAACTGATTTTTTATTTTTTTTTTGGTCACTTGGATTTAAGATTAATTATGGTAAATGGAAGTCTAGGGGAATTCCCTAGAAAGACAGTAATTCAGGGGTGTGTGTGTGTGTGTGTTTGTGTTTGTGTTGTCAGCAGTCACTGGCTTGACAAATCACAGAATAACTACACATGTCTCATTTATTTTCCTACATACATTCATACAGAGGCACCTCTGCAGATCCACGGTCTTGTCTGGATGGGGGAATGGGACTCATTCAGAGTGTAGGGGGGCGGGGGGGGGGGGGGTGTCACTGGGAGGGTAGGACACGCGACACCCTTTCTGAACGACCCTGGCCTATTTGGGGCCCCACACACTGCGTGTCGAAACCTCAGTGCTAAGCAGCCACGTTCTGGAGGAGGAGGTCGCATTACTGACTGACAGTTTGGGTGTGCAGACAGGAATTCATCTCATTGTTCATTGTCTGCTGGCATCCCGTCCGGGGGGCGCGCTGGCACTGTACCCTGCTGCCTTTGCCAGGCTCCAGGCCCCCCGTAACCCTGACCGGGACAAGCAGTTGGAAGGAGGATGGATGGAGGGATAGACGGATGGATGGACACTGATTGTCATGCGAGCTTCTAAAGGTCCAAAAACACATCGACGCTGGCTGGAAAGGTCCAGTCATTTTGGAGGCGAGACTGGCTGCAGCACAAGGAAATTCCCGTGTTTCCGTGCGGCTCTCGGAACGCCTGCCTCCCTGCTTGGTTTTCCATCTCTCCGCACTTTTGCCGTTTGTCGGTTCAGCAGGACGTGTCTGATCCTGTCCATAGATTTTCCCTAACCTTTCTAACCCCCCCCCCCCCACCATGGGAATGATGGCACAAAATCCCCATTTCCGATCACGATGCCGTTAGTCGCCAGATGCTGGAATCCCGTTCGGCAAAAGCTGTCCGGTGTCATCGGCCTCCAATTAATGAGTCGTCTTTTTCCAGAAGGGGGTGATGTTCGCATCCTGGCCCCCAGTTCACCCTGTGACCGGCTTGCAGTGTCCGTGCTCCACACTCTCTGTCCTGCAGCTAAGTGACTCTGACACCTTCCTCCGCAACATGCGTTTGTCTTGGCCTGACATGGAGCCTCTGAGTCCGGCTCTTTTCCCATGACTGCGAGGCGAAGCGTGTCCTAGATGGGCGTTGGGCAGCTGCCCGCGGCTGCTAGCTGGCTCACAGAAGCAATAGGTCTTTGCGACGGTAATTAATCCCCAAATTATCTTTTAATTATAAGCGGCACTGACGGCTCAGATGGGAAATTTGTAAATACGAGCACCCAAATGTGAACAGAAACCTCAAATAAATCATTCCCTGTCAGCATGTTCCCTGCTGAACTGCTACTAATGGAAACAAAGGGGTTCTCGGAATAGCTACTCACTGGCTGGGTGAACGCTGTGCCCGTCACCATGGCAGCGGCGCCCAAGCCAGCAGCGGGCAGCTATTGTCCCGTTACGAAATGCTGATGTGGGAACGTCCCGCTGTTAAAGCGGCATGCGCCAAACCACGGCCCCATGAAAGGGCAGCACTGAATGTCCCGCCATCCTCCTACTGAGCGCGGTGGCTGACTGGCCAGCTTCCAGCCCTCGTCGGGTCACACCAGCACCGTAGACCGTAGATGTATGAGTTTGGACTCCGTGTACACAGCACCTAGGCTGAGAAAAGCAGAACCTTAGCGACTCCGAGTACAATCCCGTCTCTTAATTTAAGTAATGATGTGCGGTGAGCAATTCCAGTGTGACTGGTCATGTGATCAGCCACTGGCATGCAGCCAACTGGAGCCCTGTCATGGCTTGGCAGTGTCACCATTCAGACTGGCCAATAGCGTCCCCAGAATCCAGGTGCCAACGATTCAGTCAGCCAGAGAGCACTCTCCCCCACCAAAGGTGGCCCCCCGGTATGGAGTGGGGTGGTTTATCAGCCTCTGCTCTGTGGGGGGGGCCCTCTACCCCCCACCCTGGCACTCACATAGCCAGCAGAGTGCTACTCCAGTGCTACAGTCCATCAGAGGGGGCCACAATGCCCTCTTTGTCTGGGAGGGGCGGTCACCATGCAGGGCACATTGGTGCCTAAGGCTTTGGGGGGCCTTTGTTGGGGGGTGGGACATTAGGTGGTGGTGAGAAGGCCTCCATTACTCCCTCCCCGCTGTTGGCATGAACGCAGTGGACTGGGTGTGAGTAACTACAGGACCCACCCTAATCCCCCGCCCCCTGCCCTTTTTTTTACGTGCCTTCCATTCTATCCCATTTCTCGCTGATAAAGGACGAGAATCTCCGAGCCGCCTGCTTGTCCCGTGGCACTCGATCTCCACCTCCGCTCCTGCTCGCTCTTGTTGCGGTTTTCGGGAAACGCTGAAAAGATGCCCGCTGGCATAAAACTGCCTCACCTCCCCCCGTGAGCAGAGCCCCCTGGCACAGAGGGGGGGGTTATGCAGTCGAGCCGCAAACGTGGGTTTCCTCAGCACCCACCTTCCGCGACCTGCCCCCCATGGGGGGGCCTGAGGTGCCTTTGACTGGCGCCTCTCTGTTTTCTCACACTGGGGGTCTGTTTCAAAGGCCCAGCCAAGACTTCATGGCATTTGTGCGACGGATTATCACAGGAGCTCTTCAGAAATGCCTCAGAAATGCGATTGCCCCTATTTTCTGACAATCCTTGGCTATATCTTGTGCATGGAAGACTTTAAAATCTGTCAGCGGGTCTCCTTGTAAAGAACCGGTGTCAGGTTCAGTCAGGCTTCTGTCAGACAGAGAGTATTCATTCAGCACCTAGAAGGCTATTTTTTCATTGCATTGACCTGTCTGCCTTGCCCTCCTTCCCAGACAAGCTGTATGTGGGTCCGGGGCAGCTGTACCAGGACCTGCAGAACTTGGTGCATGACCTCAGCCTTGTCAACCAGATCTCCAGCATGATCAGCAGCTTGAAAGGAAAGTACCAGGTGAGGGAACCCTTGGGGTCACACGAGTCAGTTAAGCAACATGGGTCAGTTATTGAACTAGTCAATCACGCAATTGGCAACCAGCCAAGTAAAGTTAGTCCTTCCACATTCTCAGCGTCCTGAGCATGTGCTGTAGGCGAGCTGTACAGCATGTCCCGGCAAAGCCAGGGAATCAGTGTTCTGCGCGTGTTCTCCGTGTGTTCTCCGCGTGTTCTCCGCGCCTACCTCTGGCCTGTCCCCTGCCCTCCCTGCAGAATGTGAACACCACCGTAGCCCAGGACTGGGTGTCCGGCCTCCAGCGGCTCATCGCCAAGAAGGAGGAGGAGATCCGAGCCGCAGACCGCTGTCGCATCCAGCTGCAACTCCCCGGAAAGCACGACAAGTCAGCCCCCGTCTCCCGTGATGACTGTCGCCCCCGGCTGCTTATTCCCATCGGCTTTCTCATGCATGTTGATCTCCATGCGGTGACCTTGAGCTTGAGCCCCCCCTGAATTCCTGTCCAGCTGACATAACTGCATGCATCACTCTCGCCCCCCATGTGGCTTTATTTAATTCCTTGAACCTCCTTGTCCGTTCCGATCCGCGGTAATGGCAGACCCAGCTCTGGTCCCTCCGATGTTGTTATCCCGGAATGCTGAGTGAACGTCCCCCTTCCCCCCTCCCGCCGCTATCGAGGACCCCATGTGGTGTCTGCCGCTCCTCTGCCCCAGCAGGTCTGGCCGGCCCACGTTCTTCACCGCAGTGTTCAACACGTTCAGCCCTGCCACCAAGCAGTCGTGGATCAGCAGCCTGCAGATGGCCAAGCTGAGCCTTGGTATGGGCGCCTTGCTGACCTCCACACCTCTCTTTTGGCATAGCGGGCATTGGGCAGAGGGGTCTGGTTTCTCCCTATGAGCCTGTCCTCTTTTTATGGCATCATCATTTAGGGCCAATGGCCTGGTGCCAGCAGTTAAAGTTATACACCATCTGTTACAAACCTCCTCATTTTATTAACTTCCATTAATTTGTTTGGCACTGGGGCTGTTTTCACTGTTTGGGTCCTGGAGTTATAAAGTGAAGATACTCTTATCCAGCCTTTCAGGAGCAAACGTATCTATCAAACGGGAGCCGTATATCTGCGTGTATCAGGACTGAGCTTCTCTTCTCCCCCGCCTGGCTTCCCCTCGCAGAAGACGACAACCTGCTGGGCTGGTTCTACGCCGAGGACGACGGGAATCAGATGGCGCGCCGGAAACACCCGCTCCTGCTGAGGCAGCTGCCCGTGGTCATGTCGAAGCTCCAGGAGTTCAAGGCAGGGCGCCCGTCGGGTGCCATGGCGACGCTGGCGTGCCCCTCCCACCTAGAGCCACACGTTCTTAGTCACCGATTTATGTAGAGGACGGGCAGCTATAATATTCACAAGCTATAACACCTCTGTTCTACTGTTCTAGAAGTATTATCGCCATGGCAACTTTAAGCACTCATGTTTACTTTCTGGGTATATAGATTTTTCTTGTTTTGTCATCATATAATCCAAACCAAGCAAATCTCCGTAACATTAATCGTATGGTTAATTAATGGTTTAAGGTCTAAATCTTCCTTGACCCACTGCTCCAGATGTGAGCTAATGGCCATTTATTTCAGGACTGTTTGCTTAGAAATCGGATCACTACATTTGTTTTTGGCACGGATCCCTCCCTCTTGGTGACGGCTGGCTTCTTTGTCCCCCCCCCCCACCCCAGGTGGAATGCGCGGCCCACAACCCCGAGCCCCTCTACAACAGCGAAAGCACCGCCGACTCCCCGGCCATGGGCCACGGCTGCGTGTGGGTGAGTGTATCTCGCGTGCTACCGGTTCTCACGCCCTGTGCTCACACGCCGGCCCCCACCAGGCTTGGGGGCTGTGTGAGAGCAGTTGGCGTGGAGATGGTGGAAGCCGGAATCACGGCCGTGTGAGCGTGAGTGTATACACAGAGAATGTGAATGTCCCTACTTTGTAAGCTGGGTATCGGCCTCTCTGCCTCGGGGTTAGTGCTTAGAAAGTGCTGATGCAAAGTGAAAATGAATGACACCACGGTGCTAGTAAAAATCAGCACTAATAGCTACCAATCACCCAGAATATTCTGTTTGGCTGCGTAACATTTGAGGTGGTAAGATCCCGACCACGCTTTTTGTTGATATTGTTGTTATGCAGGCATCTTCTCTAAGGGCAAACGAAGGGTTTAGCTTGCCAGATCGGCTCTGTAATCTCTGTGAATAATTCCTTGCGATCTGTATGAATAATTGAGCTCCTCTGCTGGCTGTTACCCAGAAACGTCCCACTTACGGCTGCAGAGTGCTCTTAGCCGGGGGGCTTTTCATTGGGGTCCGCGCCCTCCCAGTGTCCGCACTTCCTGCTTCCTCTTCCACAAACACAAGCGGTTTATCTAAAGGATGTGCTTCACATTAAATGGTCTTAGTGACCCTCCACCCCGTAAGAATACTGTACGGCGACTGTGGCCAGACTGCTCGATGCCTCACCTCTATCCTTTATAGCATGGTTGCAAACATGCATGCATCTGAAATATGCAATTTGTTCATTTTACGTAGCATTTTCAGGTCAATTTGGAATTTTACTCTAAAAGTAAAAATATATGATTGACATATGCACGGGCACCTCTTTGACTTTCAGATGCGGTATTAAGCAGGGTCATCCATCCATCTCCCAACTGCTTACCCAGCACAGGGTCATGAGGGGCCTGGAGTCTGTCCCAGGCAGGATAGGACGCAAGGCTGGGGATCCTCTGGATGGGATCCCAGTCGATTGCAGGGCACATCCACTCAAGCACTGTCAGCAATTTAGAGACCCCGCTTCAGCTAACCGCATGTTTCTGTTCTGTGGGGGGAAATCTGGGGAACGTGCTGGAAATCAGTGAATACGGAGCAGGCGTGGAATTCGAACCCATGACCCTACTGAGCCTCCCTGAAGTGGTTTTAGTTTTGCATTCAAAGCAGAGCCATTATCTGCTGTGTGAATAGTAATTGACTCCTTGCTGAAATTCAAGACAGCAGCCCACCTGTGCTGTAAGGCGATATGAGCCGCGCCACTTTAGGGCTATCCCGCTCCTCTGGTTTTCCTTTGACCCCTTTGATTCGCTCCCGGTCAGGTGGCCAGCTGCACCAATCAGATGGGGCAGATTTCCGTGGTGGCACTACAGAGCTCCAGCCCCAAGGTGACGGAGTGCTTCAACGTGGAGTCTCGCATCCTGTGCATGGCCCACGTACCTCCAGACGACACTCAGGAGGATGCTGAGGCAGCCCCGGAAGCAGACCCCTCCCTCGGGAAGGGCGGGGGAAGCCCCACTATTTGTCTGGGGATGGAGGACGGGAGGTTTGTGCAATCATCTGTCTCAGCATCACGTTGCTGCATTACCATAGGTTTCAAGAAGGCCTGAAAAAAATGCCAGGCATGCTGGGAGGGCATGCAGAGGGCAGTTAGGGTACAGACCTCACCCGCGCAGCACTGACAGCACCTCCTTGGTGGCCCTGTGCTCCTTCCAGCATCTCCGTGTACAAGAGCAGCCAGCGTTCAAAGAAGGTCCGGCTTCAGCACTTCCCCACGCCGGAGAAGTCGACCGTCACCAGCCTGGTGTACGAGGCGCGGTGTCTGTATGCCGGCCTCGTCAGCGGCTCCGTCGCCGTCTACTCCAGGGCCCCAGGTGAGGCCTTTGAGTTGGAGGGCTGCTCATGCACACATCCTGTTTACAGCTGGGGCAGGATCCTGGGGTAGGGGGCTGCCCGGTCTCTGGCCGCATGCGCACTATAGAACGGCAACGCATGCTCCTGCACTTTACAGCGCATTCACGGCACATTCTGCTTCTGTGACATCCACCTACATATGCATGTTATTCTTTGACCTTGTTTTTTTTGTTTTATATTAACTGAGACTGCAGTCACCATTAACATTATGCATTACAGTACATCGCCTCAATACAGCATCTCCTTACCAGTTTAATAGAAAGAGGAGTGTCTGTATTTTAGGAGGTAATAAGAATAATACCTTCGGGAATTCTAAATACCAGGGTATAACATGATGTCATCATACCGCCTAAGCCTATCTGCCTAGTGTTCAGTGACTGCTCAGTCTGGCCCTGCTTACAGCTCTGTGAAAAGAGCCATTTATGACATCTTACCATAGTGTGTTTGGAGAGAATGGATTCTAAACATATGAGCTGCATCACCTGCTTAGTTGTGCTCTTTGGCCTGGAAACACGCCTGATTGTGTAGTTCTTAGTGAGCAAAGATGAGCGATGTGATCTGAATCCTGTGTGGTGTATTTTTGGCTCTGCAGATGCAGGACGTCACTGGGGGGGTCGGTATTTATTCTGGATCGTTTGCATTTATTTCCAGCCCCCCCCCTGCCCCCCGGTTAATTGTGCGTTCATACTTGGCAGAGACCTTCTGGGTTAGTGATTGTGTTTGCTAGGAAGTGTAGTATTGTTTGGCTCCAGCGAGAGTCATTAGCCACCCTCATGTTTAACTTTGGGCTCTCCTGAGAGTCAGGCATTGTGAAATCAGCCTCTTTGTTTATTATGAACACTATGTGGACCTGAAAGCGAGACAGAAATGTGAGCTGGGAGAATGCTGGACTGCAGAGTCATTCAGCGGCTGTCCTCCTGCTGTCTTTGCTGGGGAGGTAGAGGAGGGTACTGTTTCTGCGATGGCGTCAGTTTGGGCCCTGGGAGACTTCTGCCAAAGTGGCCGGTGTTCTTTCTCCTTGCTTCCAGAAGACTGAGACGGGCAGGGACCGGAGCCGTGGTCTCTGTGCACTGCCAGGGCAGCGTGTCATTTCTCTCGTCTTTGGCACTCTGCTTTGTTCCTGAAATTTTCCCGCAGACCTTGGGGACAGCAGAGCTCCATGTCGTCCCAGACTTTTTGGCGAAAGTCTTTATGGAGAGTTTTCCCCTTTCCATCTATCTATCCCAGGGCTACCGGAAAATTGGATCACACTCGCCCAATAATTTAAGCCGCTGACTACCAGGTGAGCAGGTGGTTCTGTTTCAGTGACCCCGCGGGTGACTGTGACGTCGTGTAATTAGGGAGGACGGACTGAGGTACGAAGTCTCGCTAACGTTAAACGTGATGGTAATGCTTCCAATCATGCAGAGCGCATCTGCTTTGCAGCAGGACAGCATACCGTGATCCAGTGAAACCTTCCAGAGCCAGACAGAAAAAATATTAGATTTGTCTGGGTTCTTTTGGCTCTGACGGTTTATAGCTCTGCTAATCGTCCAGCAAATGGACTTCCAGAGGTCTCAGTGTCCTGACTAAAATCATCCTGGCCCGTAGCTGACAGAGCCCGGCCTTGCAGCATCGTGAGTGAGCTCATACCTACTAGTCAGGCCAGTGGGTTGTTAAAAACAAGCCTCAATTTATTCAAAACCACCCCCCCCTCCAGTCACCAGTGACTATGTGGGCTGGAGTCTGTGATTCATCTTCTCCCCACCCCCCTCTCCTCACTGTCTGTCACCTGGCCCTCCACCTGCCAGTGCCTGTGTACCTCTGGTGGCTCTGATCATGACCTCCGCTCCATGCTTTATGACAGTTTTAACATGCGTGCAGAAGTATGACAGCTAATACAGAGCGGAGTGCCTGACCCAGAGTCTCTCGGTGCCCTAACCTGCAGTCGGGGGAGGGCGGGTGTCTACAAGCTGCCATCTGGCTAAATAAACCGAGGGCCGATTTTCACGGGGCTGCAGGAATGTCTGACTGGACGCCCCGAATCCCTGCTGCGTGTCCCTCAGGTCCCACCCGGTTTAGTCTCCCTCTTCTTCATGGCCCTGAAACTGAGCTGAACCGGGCTCTGAGCGATCGTGGGTCCCTTCTGGGCCCTGTCACTGCTCCCTGGCTCCTGGCCTGGAGCCCCTTAAAAACAGCCCTTTTGTGATTCCACGTCACCAGGCTCCGCGATGCAGCCTTCCAGGAATGTCTGAATACCTCGGCCCACTTTTGTCCTGTCTTCTCCCTAAAACTCTGGAGGAGTTTTTCTACAACACCTGGTTTAAGGGAATTAAAGTCTTTCATTGATTGCTTTGTGGTTTAATGTAAGAGTATCATAATGGCTGGCAACATTTCATGCAGCTCCTATAGGCTCAGGATGAAGCAAAAAAATAACTTAGGATTTAAATTTGTATCCCATTTGTTTTTCAAATCATTTCTTTTTAACCAAGCCCTTGATACGTATACCATGAAACAGCCGTGCTGATTCAGGGAAGTCGCTGTCGATTGTGACATACTAATCCTCTGATTGATTTGTCATGTACGTCGATCTGCCCAGCTCTCCTTTTTCCGGCTTGAACGGCAGCTGTCAAAACTTGAAAGCAAAAATGAGTCACTCCTGAAAGTTTTAAGACTCCTGTGCTGGTCCATGGGGAGGCGGTGGACTCGCCTGCGATTATCCAGCCCGGATTAGCATTTAGATTAGATCCACAGCTTTCCAGTCTCTCAGGAGACTGGGTTCAGCGTCTGGTGATGTGACCTCAGCAGACCTGAGTGGCTGGCGAGGATCATGCTTTGCATAGCGAGATGAGGGCAGAAGGTATGGCTCTAAAAAGGCGGTCAGATCATCCTCAGCTCCATGTTCTCTCAAACTGAATCTTAGGCTCATCCAGCTGTATAGCCGAGTTTGCTGATGTCATCACGGACCAACGCTTAACCATCATGCATTTTTAACTTGCCGCTTGCTGTCTGGCTGGGTTGCCGCGCTTCCTGCTGACGATAGTGGCGTCTTTCTGTTGCCGTTCTTCGCTGGTTTCCGTCACCGAGCTGGGCATGAGTGTGAAAGGTGCCAACCGCTCATTAATCGCGGACCGTCGCGACCGGAGGAGATGTGCTGGGTGTTGGGACAGGCCTGCTTATGTTGTTTTTTCAACTCAAGATGGGTCTCGGAAGGATTTGCATCTTTTTGCAAACGTGTGAGAAACGAGAGGAGCTGTCGCCGCTGCCTGCGCAGCTCCCCTTGCAGATACTGCGCAGCTCTGCATCTGATCAGATTATTTTAATTACGCCGGCTATGTGACGCTCTCCTTTGCCGCTTCCTGCCCATCCCGCTGACACCCTTTCGATGAAACTGCGTTACTCAGCGGTGTGAGAAGCGCTGACATGTCCCCGCGCGCAGCTCCACGCCCCTGCAGTCAGGGCGGCGTCGTGGAAAGTGCTTGGCTGGCTGAAGGGGGCGCTGGTTTGGACAAAGCCGTTAATGATGGAGGGGTGGGTTCTTAAGACCCCGGGGACGCGGGTCTTTGAGACAAGAGCTCCAGCAGGCTGTTAGTCGAAACCCACACACACACACACACACACTTTTGTATTCCTATGTTTGTGGGGTCTCTCCATTCATTTCTTTGGGAAAAACCCTAATCCCATCAATGACAACCTATGCCAGCCCTAACCTTAATCATACAATCATAGGTAACCAAACAAAATACTATAATGACATTTTCAGTTTTTTGACTGCAGTATGTGCATAAATTACAGGGGTGATTCCCACAATAATCAGAACCAGCCAATACAATCATCTGGACCCCTTTAAATAGGTGGAGAACTCAACCTAAAGTTATGCCCTTGGACTGTAGTCACAGATTTTTATAAAATTGAGTTTCCTCTTGTGGGGACCAAAAAATGGTCTCCTTAATGTCAAAATAACAGGTTTTTATAACATTGTTGAGACATTCAGTCCCCACAATGTAATATATACATAACCCACAGATACATACAGACAGAGGTACTGAACTTCCACTTTTATTGTTATTCTCGCTGCTCCTCTTTCCTAATGGCAGGAACCGCGGTTACTAAGATTACTAAGATAATTAATGACTCCTTACACCCCGCAAACTGTCTGTTCCGCAGGCTGAACTCTGTCCAGGACAGAGAGACTCAGGAAGAGTTTTTTTCCCCCAGGCCATAAGGCTTCTCAACTCAAACTAATTGTGGTCCTTCTGTACACTACGTACGTTTGTACTGGAATGCAGATATACTGCACATGTTAACCTTAATGTACAAATATCTAGTAAATAATAGTCTGTACATCCTCGCCATTGCACTATTTTTTTAGATTTTATATTGTATATTTGCATTGTATATTTTAGATTATATACTTGGTTCCATAGATTGTATTTATATATTGTAATTTTCTTTTTTACTCCTACTTTACTTATTACCTTTTTTCTATTTTTGCACTGCCAAATAAGGGCGACTCAGATACATTTCACTGCGTATTGTACTGTATGTGATGAATAAATCTCTCGAATTGAATTATCTCCTGCACTCTGGTTTCAGAGGCTTTTTGCAGTGGTCTCCACCAGAGCTTGCTGTCGCTTTTATAGTCTGCATCTTGAGATTGCTGGGCTCCTTTCCGCTGGTGCTCAGGCGGCCATTTGGTTGAGGTGCACCAGTCTTGTGCGAGCGGCTCTTTGTCAAGCTCCAGTCGTTGCAGGTCGACCTGTAGTGACCTCAAACAATCAGGTTCACGTCCTCGTCTGTCTTCCCTCAGATGGCCTGTGGGACGCGGACTCCCCAAAGCTGGTGAAACTCGGGGTGCTTCCCGTGAAGAGCATGCTGGCAGTGGAGGACCACGTGTGGGCTTCTTGTGGGGGCCAGGTCTTCATCATCAGCACCAAGACCTCCGCCATTGAGGTAGTGCTTTTTCTTTAAGGAGGGGGCAGCACAGGATTGTGGGATATGGGAATGCTGTCAGTGTGACATATTCTCAGCCAACAGGAACACACCGACTCGTCATGTAGGTCACATGGTGCTGATGACACACCCACCTCTTAGGTTTGCTTGTGAGATCTAACGTTTTAATCACCCACAAGCCGTGTGTGAATGTTTGTGTGTGTGAGTTTGTGGAGCAGTGACTAGGCGCCCTGCAGATTCCTCTGCAGCGTGTCTTGCTGTTGCCTTTGGGCTGTAGACGCGAAAACACAGCTGCCTTCACAAGCTCTGCAGCACCACCTCCTCCTCCCGCCTCAGTCTCCGCATCCACATCTTATGCAACTCGTCTCTTCCTCGTGATGAGGCTTGTGGGCGTCGGAGGTGGGGCCACTCCCCAACCCCCCCCCCCCAGAGAACCCGACATACTGACATGCAGAGGATGGAGGGCAGGGTATTTTTAAAAAAGGAAGAATGAATGAATCTGAGCCTGGTGCAGAGGGAGGGAGAGGAGTATGAAATGTTCCATCTGTCCAGCCCCCGTGAAAATGTTGGCCTTACTCTCACCGTACCGGCTAATGAAGCACAGCCTGGCTGTGTGACCTCCTTGTCTTCGCCTACTGAAGCCTTGTCCTCAGACCACAGCCCAGCACTGCGCAGATGATGTACCTCTTGGTAAAACTACAGACATTAACATGATGCGGGACCGTAGGTCTGTTAGACATGGACGCGATGGAGATGTGTCCTCTGTGTTCTGCTCTGATTTGCTTATGCTTGGTTTTTCCCTTCCAGTTTGGAGGCATATTGAGTCATTTTCTAAACTGTTATACAGCAGATGTCCAGGCCATTATTACTTTATGTACGATGTAAAATAAGAACTTTATTGATCCCTGTGAGGGGAGATTTCTTTGTCCGTTACCGCAGAAGATACAAATGCAACGAAGGATAATTTAGGCAGAAATAAATACAGCAAAGAATAAGTATGTGAAGAAAAGAACTGTAATAAGAGATGTAGGGCTGTGAAAGTTAACGTGATAATAGTGCGTTAACGGGAATTCATTACAACGTGGCTAATTGTCTCGATGCCAGTAACGCGTGTCGAGTCGGATGGCAGCTCGGGGAAAATAATGAACAGGTATTTTGAATGGCAGGTTTAGCTTCAAAACTCTGTCAGATGGGTCCATCGACAAGACCAAAGTTATCTGCAGTTACTGTCAATGTGAAATGAGCTACCACCCAAGTACATCTAGTCTTAAATACCAGGCTGCGGCTCTTCTCAGGACGATAGACGCATTCGCATTTTCATGTATTAGCATATTATGATAATGCTTTCATAAATGTAAATAATTTATTTATGGGTTAATATTATTTTTCATTTAGGTATTTCTTTAGCTATATGTGTCCGTCGCGCGCTTCTGTGATCTCTTAACTGCATAATTTTACATCTTCTCAAGTCATTCTCTACGAGAGTATGTCTCCGGTCAAATGGTATATATGCTTTCCGGAGTTTTCCTCAGTGTCCGAGATTGGATGTAGACTTATTAAGTTTGTGATTCCTAATTCTTTCATATATTTCTCGTAGTAAATGGTCACCACGCCTTCCCAGATCTTCATAAAATTATTATATTTGCTCCGATTTACATATTATAGCCAGCTGAGTTCAGAGTGGTGAGGACATTTTGCACTGCTCAGTCAGAACAGTTACAAGTAGTGAAGTGGAGAGTGAAGGGCAGGGAACTGCAGAGCCAAAGGAACTTGGGTGAGGGTGAAGACTGTCGACAGCTGAACAATATTGTGATATTAGTCACCTTTGCACTGTTACACGTCCGAGTGATTTAAAACTCCCCCCCCCCCAAGACGTAGATGCTCTGCCGGACAGAATGTCACATGCGTTGTGTCACGTTCCACCACACAGACACCTGCACCCGGACCCATCCCAGAATAGTCAGACGGGGACTCATGATCCCATTTGTGAGCCTCGTTTAGCGGACCACCTGCACCGGGGCTTGGGAAGCAGCCTGCGTCCTCCGGCCTGGGGGGCCAGGAAACAAAGGGAAGGGGAAGGGGGGGGGGTGGCTGCACAGTTCAGATGAGCACTCCCCCTACGGGAGCACAATTGTTAGTTACTGGCCAAGCAGAAGGGTCACAATCCAAAATGGATGACTTCATTTATAATACGCAGCTGTGCAGGTCAGCTGTCTCTCCTAGGACTTCAAGTAGATACATTATATACAGAAGTTTGGTTCCTTAACCCCTGAGCTCCCTGTCACCCTCATGAAGTAACTGACTGAGTGATAGAAAAATAATATTTGAATTTTTGTGACTGGTTGGTTGCTAGGCTAACAAGTACTGCTTGTGCAAGGGCATTTAGGTGGAGTGCATCCAAACTGCAGGCTGCGCCTACGGGGTGAGCGGGCCGCATGTGGACCGTCTCCGGGATGTCCTTCCAGACGAATGATAATAATGAGTGGATAGGAGAGCCAAGTTATAACCAGAACCAAGCTGCAAGGTCTTCAGACATGTGGGAATGCAGTGTGTCTCCCATGTTCCCCACAGCGCCACCTGGAGGCTCACCAGGAGGAAGGCATGGTTGTGTCGCACATGGTGGTGGCCGGCGTGGGCATCTGGATTGCTTTCAGCTCTGGGTCTACCCTGCGGCTCTTCCACACGGAGACACTCGCGCACCTGCAGGACATCAACATCGCCACGCCCGTGCACCACATGCTTTCTGGTAGGTGGCCCCACCCACCCGCCACCCAGAGCTCCTCCCATTTCCCCTTCACTGGATCACGCCTCAGGACCACCTGACCTACATACTGGAAATCTGGGAGCTCACAATTTTGGCTTTTTGGGAAGGCCTTAATTTTTTTTCCAAAGGTTTACCATACTCCTATATCAATCAAGAATGTTGGTTTGAATCAAAGTATTTATTTTCTTATGCAGTCCGCAGGGTGAGCTCCTGTTCCACCTTGTGAAGCTAAATATCGCACTGGCCTCACATATCCGGCCTCTTCAGACGAGCAGGTTTAGGGTTACACCCTCTCTTTGTATCTAACCGCAAGCTGACAAACCATGACGTGTCAGTCATCTTTTATGTCGCACCTTTATTGCTTCCCATTACCGTCGTGTCCCGCCTTCCCGTAGCGTGTGAATTTCCCACTTCAGGATCCTTTTATCACGGGCGTCTCTTTCTTCCGTAGGGCTGCACGGCCCTCAGTCAGCTGGAGGGGGAGACTTCTGCTCCTGTGTCCGCTTTGGCGCAGGCTAAGCTGGTGGGATTTTCAGCAGTAACCATAGGCAACGCTCTTGGGAGCGTAATTCTCTTAGTAAAGATACTCCAATGTTGGTAGGGAGCCATTTTGGGGGGTGGGGGGATTTAGATACATTTATCAGCAACTTGGGGAGAGACCTGTGCAGGACGCTGTGGACAGCCTGTGGATCAGGGTTACACTGGAGGGGAGAGTGCTGTGTCCTGGATGGGGAGCTGAGAGAAGGCAGGCGGATCGTGCAGCCTTGGCGATGTGGACAGGATGGGGAGCTGAGAGAGGGCAGGCGGATCGTGCAGCCTTGGTGATGTCGGATCGTGCCAGGCCGGGCACTTTGTGTACCGGCGTGGGCGGGTGTCGCTCATGGTGACTCCCATCGTAGTACGGGGGTGGGGGGAGAGGGGAGAGGAGAACATTCAGGCTGTTGGTAGCCGCCCCCTAAATAACGCCTCAAGGTCTTCAGATGCTCACTGCTTCTCAGAACGATAAAGAAACCATGGAAACTAGGCACTTGTCTAATCTGCAGCCCAGAGGTTGTCTTTTAATCTTCACACATGGCACCTCCACGCCATGACCGCCACCGTCCGGCACGCCTTCTCACCAAGAGCCCAGTGACTATCATGACAAATGCTGGCATCCTTTTTTCTTTTTTCTTTTGACGAAACGCCACCGACTGTGAGATTGAATCGAGCTGCAGTAGAAATGACAGCCTCTGTGTTTCGCCCGCAGTGTCTCTGAATATGACTGACGTGCTCAGCGTCTGGCACAAATGCAGGGCGACGCTCCTGATGAATGTTTGGCAGGAATCATGTGTGTCTGTATGTATCTGGTCTTAGTGGGGGCCAAAAAGGCCTGGAGATCCTACTTTACACTGTACAGACTCTGCACTGAGAGACCTCGGAATGTGGTGCACAGAGGTCATTAAACATTTACATAGTTGATACAACATGGGCTGAAATTTAATTACCAAAAAACCAAAATCTCTTGAATGTACAAAGGGGAAGAAGGCATCGCTTTTTGTCCTGCTTTGCTTACTGGTGTGTGGGCTCTGTTCCTCTTCGCTGTTCTGGGATCTGCCCCTTACCCCCCCCCCCCCGGCACAGGACACTCTGTGGCTTGTGGCGTAATAACAGCTCTTGTAGCACGGAGCTGCTGCTCCTGCTGGGTCACGTTTTCCACCCATGATGCAGCAGTTTCAAAAGCTGTTCGCTCCTCTGGATTGTGCACCATTTTTACAAACCTAGTTGTAGTCACGTCTGACCTAAAACCACCAAGGCACGTGTGTTTGTGCACAGATTTCTGCCTTTCTGTCGGTTGCCCACTCTAAAAGTCTCCTGTCTTTACTTTAGCACTGTTTGCTTTTTCTTGAATGATTGGGTAATAAAAAATTGGCCTGGGGACATGTGTCATGTGTCTTGATCTGAATTTCGGTCCCTTGCATCACTGGAGCTGTCAGAACATGTTCAGCAGCGAGGAAGTGATGTAATATGGGAGTGACAAATATGGATGGGGTAGGGGGACACAGTTTTCTGTAAGCAAGGATATAGCCGTGTTGTGTCATTTGTTTTGACTGGTTTCCAGTGTCGTACTGGGAAAGATGTATTTCGGCACAAAATCTTTAAGCACGTACCCAGGTGAGTGATTGATTTTCATTGCCTGCCACCCAAATGTTGCACAATCTGAACGTGTGACTGAGATAACATAGTGCTCCGAAAACCTGCCATATTGTCTCATGCATGGATCTGAATGAAAGTCCAGCTTCCACTCAGTTTGTTTCCAGATACCATCAGTGCTGAAGTTTATTTATCTAATTGAATGATCTTTCAGTGAGGCGGTCTGTCCCACACACGGAGAGTCCGGTTCCTCTTCCTGAGGCGGGTACCTTGGTCATTACGGGGGAGGTAAAGATGCTATGGTGTGATTCTGCTGCTTTTTGGGCTCCCCCAGGAGAGCTAGATAATGAGGCTCATTGCATGGGCAGGAAGTCAGCTGCAAAGAGGAGGAGGAGGAGGAGGAGCTCAAAGGGCTGAGCCTCCCTGTGCTCCGGGGCCATGCTGCCTAGGAGTCGACTTCCACGGATATCTGTGGTTTTTCTCCACCATTTCACATCCTTGCGGATTGCTTCTGTTGTAATCACCCAAGTTCACCTAAAATTGTTTTTCTTCACCAAAGGGCTGGACTGGCTCTCCTGTGATTTGTACAGACATGCCCGGATTTGCCTTTCGAAAGCCAGATGGAATTCACCCTGCAGTGTTCCTGCACGCTGTACACTACAGGGTGCGAACTGTGAACCTCGCAGTTTTAGAATCTACTGTGGTGGCACTGACCACCTAGTAAGACCCATGTGCCAAAGAGACTTCATTCATTCATATAGCTGGATATTGTATGGGAGTTATTCAAGCCATGTGCTGGTACCAGATGCTATAGCAGGGCCCCTCATGGAATGCCAGGCTGTGTGTTTGGGATCATTTTGTCCTGGGACCCAAGCTATTGGTGTTTGAGTTTTGTTGACATTATAAGTGGCGTAGAGCAGGGGTAGCAAACCTGATCCATGGAGAGCCGCTATGGGTACAGATTTTTGGAATGAGCTATCAGTCAACCAATAATAAAGCAGTGGTTCTCCTGTGGATCCACTGTTATTGGCTGATTGAGAGGTCATCCCAAAAACCCGCACTGGCTTTCCATGGATCTGGATTGCCACCCCTGCCATTCATGGTTATGAACACTGGTTTAATGAATCTTCTTCATTCCAGTATAAATGCGAACCTGTGACTTTTCGAATCCAGTTCCTACCCCAGCCACAATATGGTGCATGTCCTCCAGATTGTGCTGGTGTTGTCTATCTGTAATCCAAAGAAATGGGTTTAAAGGCACTGGTGTCTGGAACCCTTAGTATATTAAATTTTTTGTTGAAAAATATTTCAAAATATACTTCATAAGCTCGAATTGTCATGGAATGGCACAAATGTGACCACTCTGGCAGAATTAACAGTGTAACCTCTGTCTGCTTGCTTAGAGTCTTCGTTGTAGCACTTCTCTGGAATGTTTCCAGAATGTCTGTAATTCCTAGAAGAGTCGTTTGCGTTATACGTATGTAATCTCATGCATTTGAAGAATTTTTTCCAGACCATTATTTCGTTCTGTATTTTCTCCTATGTGGGCAGCAATCCTGTTAGAGAACCTGGCATTTTCTCTCAGTTCAAATTGTTCCCCCCCCCCCCCCGTGGGACACCTGAATGAACCAGCCTGTGCTGTGTGGGTGCTGCGCCGCTCCATGGAAACAAGGACGACGGGAGCCATGTGGTAGACTGCCCCGAAGCCTCCTGCTGACCTTCCAGTGGCGGTCGACGCAGACCATCTCAAGAGGAGGCTTTGCTTCAGGCTTAGCGGGGTGGCACCTTCTATGTAGAGGGCTGTGAAGCTGAACGATGGATGTGTGTGTTTTAATCCTCCTGGCCCCGGGGTTCGATCCTGAATTGGAAATCAGGGCAGGTTCTCTGCATTCCACCCAGCGCCGGACCTTTATCTTTTGTGCAGGAGTTTGCATTAATCTGACATGCATGTGGAGAGACATAAACCGTGTTAAAATGTCTAAAGAAATATGCATTGGATTTACATTTATATGTATGTGTAACATAATGAAGGGATAGCTGTAGCAGCTTCGGAATTTGTGCGCAATAATTTGTCTCAGATCATTTTAAAAGCTCACGGCCCAGATTTCATACAGTCAGAAAGGGAGGATTTTCTTCCCCCTCTGAATCTTTGGTCTTTAAAGCCGCACGGAGGATGTTTCCCAAAGATAAAACTGTCCCCGGCGCGACATAGTAGCAGATTGTTTGTTGCCCGGGAGAAGCATGTGGTTCACAGGCTTTGTCTGCGGTGACCTAAATACCCAGCCATGCATGCAGCAGTGGACCCAAACAACACCTCCCGCACGGTCATCACCGTATCTCTGGAGTCATGCATCATAGAAGGGCAAGATGTGATGCTTTTTGATGGTTTGGCGTGTATTTTTGTGAGTATAAGTGTCTCAGGAACAGATTTGTAAGCTCATATGTAGAAGACAGGGAGAGCAAGTCTCATTTGTTATATTGAGACAAGATGTTGATATCACCGTGGAGCTCTGGAACATGTGCAGATCAAAGCGAGCCCTGTGCCTCGGGTCTGAATCAAACCTGGTCCTTGTTGATGTAGATTACTTTACTTTATTTTGGTAGGTCAGTGGGAGGGGAAATCCAAATATTGTGGAAGATGAGGGGTGGGGAATTACTGTAAGCTTGTGTCCTCTCTTCTTCTGGACGGAGTCTGCATGGGTGGAACTCCAGGCTGGATGGATCCTCTCCGCAAACGGCACCAAAAAGCCTTGGATTAAGGGGCAGTGCCGGGTCCAGTTACGTGGAGCTATGGGGTCATGTGCGGTGATGCTATCTGATGCCGACTCAGACCTGCTCCTGGACCCTCCCAGCAGGAGGATCACACACTCAGGCCCAGAGAGCCAGTATCCAGTCTGAGTGGGTGTGTGGCCCCACCTCAGGGAGACTTCAGGCGATGAACCCAAAACCATTTTGTTGGGATAAACAGGGTGCGGTGAGGTGTGGTGGGACACACAAAAGGCCCTGTAATACTGTCATAGGCTCCTGCTTAAAGGGCATACATTTTACTCATGGCTGAGTCCAGCGGCCTTTTTGTGTAGCAGCAGGGATATGAAAGAGACCTAGAGTGGCTTTAATTGGGGCCAGAAGAAAAGGACCGAAAAGGGTTGATCTGCCACCAACATCTGGAGGTGATTCAGGTGCTGGAGCTCAGTGGTGTGCTGTGGTGCTGGTTTGGAGTCTCATGTAATCGTTTTCAGGTGTGCCAAGTTCGGCTAGCAGGATCAAAAGATTTAAGCCCTCCCCAACGCATTTATTTCCCCCCTCCCTCTCTTATGGAAAGTTACTTCTCTCCTGATTGTTTACTGACTCTTTTTAACATGATATGTGAGTGTAATTTGAGAGGAAATGGGTTGAAATTGATCTGGATTTATAAGTTTTGCAAGCGCGATACTGGGGGTTTATGAGACGTTTGTCTGGAGTGTTGTGCAGCACCCCCCCCCCCCGGGGCTCAGTGGTGGTCCTGTCAGTTTCATCTGCATCCCTGTCTGCTGGGGACACCTATGGACCGAACCTTCCTTTCAGAGTTCTAGTTTCAGAGTAGAGACAGTCCTCATTGCATTTGAGGTTTCTTCAGACCTAGTGCAAGATACTGACCTTCAATAGTAGTTATTTAGGCTACAGGGTATAAAACTGTATTTTAATGGAGAACTGAACTGAATCACGTAAAGTTCTCTTGTGGTGATGACCAGCTCTTTTCAGTAAGTCCCTTAATTTTGTGGTTAACATGCTAAATTTTCATGAAAACCAAGGGTAACCTTGTATTAACAGTCTTACAGATTTTAAGTATTTCCTGTATTCTGATTGGTCAAGGAAACCGATAGAAACCAAACTGCAATCACGCACTCACCTGGGCAACAGGTGTCCACCAATGTCAGTGGTTCTGCCCGTATCACCGAATGAAAATTCAGGGCATTTTAACCAGTAACACCCACAGAAGGCCCAGATGGTGTCACAACATTGACAGGGATCTGAATTCCAGCTCATTTGCATTCATCTCCAAATTGCTTAAGATAGGTTTCCCAGGAAACCATTGGCTTGAAAGCATCATTGCCATAGTAACTTTCCCACGCATACAGCAAAAATACCATCCTCCTACCTCACTTCAGCTGAAGTAGCCATTTTCCGTGGTCTGTTCGGCATTCAAGCTACAAAGGACATTTTTTTTTTGGTAGCATTTTTAACACCACGATAAATATACAGATGCGTGCTGTAGTGTAAACATGCGGATTATCCAGCAGCCATGGTGTCTCCAGTCCTGAGCCTAACTTTTTTGTTTCTCCTCATCTGTCCCCCAGGACACCAGAGGGTGACTGTAAGCTGCCTCCTGACCTGTCCTGGCCTCCTCCTGGTGGGGACCAACCTGGGGGTGACCGTAGCGCTCTCTGTGCCCCGGCTGCAGGGCATCCCCAAGGTCACAGGTGGGCTCCCCCCCCCCCCCAAGGGGATCACCGTAACTCCATAAAGCACCAACGGCTCAGCCGTAAATCACAGGGCGTCGGGCGGGAGGGGGAGCTCCGTGCTCTTCAAGGCTTTTATTACCCCCTCCCCCCCCACACACACACACACTCACACACTATTGTCCTGGGACCCTTAACTTTGGAAAATATGCTTCTGGTTGTTACGTAAAATGTTCCTTTCTCTGAAATTCCCGCGTAACAGACTCATATTACATGGAGAGGATTAAGGTGGGTAAATGGCAACAGGGCAGTTGCCGCTTGCACAGCTCCTCTGACAGGACTTGCCCACGCCGCTGCACACTTATCGGAGCGACTTTGGTCACCTGTCCTTTCTTACACTTATTCCCTTAATGGACAAGGTGGCTCAGAGACACACCAATCCTGCTTTGTAGTAGTAACAAAGGAAACTCCCTAGCGACCTTCTTATAGTCCCTCTGACATCACCGGCGGGGGCAGCAGGCGCCCTCTGACATCACCGGCGGGGACAGCAGGCGCCCTCTGACATCACCGGCGGGGACAGCAGGCGCCCTCTGACATCACCGGCGGGGGCAGCAGAGACCCTCTATCAGGGCCGTTTGGACTTTCACACAGCACTGAGTCACCCTCTGAATGGTGCTGAATGGGCCGTAGCGAACTGTAGTGCTGCCTCCCACCCTCCATCCATATCCACACTCATACTGCACCCCCCCCCCATTTTACCATGTGACATAACACACGAGCGGCGTTGCTCAGTTCAGAGCTGTTCCCCACACCATCTCTAAGCACTCAAGCCACTCTGAGAGTGCATCATCCTTCCTGAGCTTCCGTAATTCCAGGCCAGATACGCCGTTCTATTTATACAAATTGGTGAAGTCGATTAGACGTTTGCATCGGAAATCTGGGATTGAACAGGTTCTTTTCCTTCTGCATGCAGATGGCAGCACGGCTGCATTTATTTCAGGCCGGTTAATTTGCCGTTAAGGCCACATCTGGGTGGATCCGTCTGCTGAGGTTTAGACTCCGCTGGATTGGGGCCCAGAGGAGGGAGATCCCTGTGGATCTGTTGCTCCGGTTTGCTGTGGGAAACAGGCGTGTACTGTGGTGTGGGGGTTCCTCTCAGTGTGTGCTGGGCTTTTCAGACCCCAGGCCATATCCTGCTCCATATAGATTATCTGTTTCTGTGGCTAATGCAGCCCATGTATTTCTCATTGTCTTCTGTGCTTCTGTATCTGTTGCACGAGGTGAGTGTCACATCCTGTGCATCTGGTGTGCAGGTCGCGGCATGGTGTCCTACCACGCTCACAACGGCCCTGTTAAGTTCCTCACCATGGCGACAGCAGTGAGTAACCGACCCCCGGAGAGCCAGGCCGTTGCTACACCCAGCCAAGAGGCCCGGGATGGGGAGGAGGCCAGCTCCCCGTCCGGGGGCCCGACTGCGGACCGAGTTGTGTGGCTGGGGGAGGCAGGTGGCTCCGTAGAAGCCAGCTCCTCGTCCTCCTCCTGTGGGTCCTTAGCTGTGTCTCAGAGCTCCCTGGAACACAGGCCTGAGGACAGCGCCATCTATGACCTGCTCAACGACCCCGCCCACGTGCACGAGCATAAGCGAAGCCACAAGGTGAGCATCAGCTCGGTGCTGGTGGTCTCAGGCGGCCTGGGGCACCGGCGGGTCAACCGGAAGACCAAGCAGTCACGGCAGGAAGAGACCGTGTCCACCATCATGGTTTGGCAGATCCCACTGCTCAGCGCCTGAGGGGGGAGACGTCCGTCACCAGCTCATCCATCCCTCTGTGCTCTCCATTATCGCCTGTCTCTGTCTTCATGATGGCATCACTTTTCTCACTCGACGTACATTGTTGTAGCAGAATCCCGGTTCGCTTTTCACACACAAGTCGAGAGTTGACCTCGGTGCTGTGGGCATTTCCAAGCACGACTGGACTGCTAAATTTGGCAGAGCAGCTGGTGAGTGCAGATAATTGGAAAGGGAAGGCAAACATTTGGGCTTGCAGAAACCCTTGGTACCAGGAGTTTTGGCACACTTCCTGCTTAGACACCGGACCATGTGACATCTTGGTGTGGTGTGCAGGGATCAAGAACACACACGCAACCTCTTTATATCGTCAAACATGTTTTTGCCATCAACTGACTCCTTCCTTGTCTGTGAATTAAGCAAGGAGAACCTGAACTCTTGAAATACCACTTAAATGTCCTTAATATCAATTTTATTTCTGCTGAACCTGTTCATCCGTTATTACCTTAACACTTCTAATGTTCTGCCATTTGCTAGATTCCATGTCATTCCCGCTTCAGATGAACATTTGTCGTCAACAGAGTTCTGAAACTCTGACGGTAGACATTATGGAGGAATGATCACTGTGTCCAAAGTTTGGGGGGAACCCAAGTGTCGATCTGATACCAGGACAGGGAGGCAATGAGAGAAGGTTTCTGCAGGGTGTATTGCTGTTAAGGGTGGCGCAGACTTCCTGTCTGAGACTTGGTGATGAAGAGGATTTTCTTTGCTTTAATCAGGAGGCAGAACAGAACATGTTAATGACAAACTTGTACTGGCAAGGTATATGTTTGCATAGATGTTCGTTCCCCTTTTGGCAACGTGGAACCAATAACAGGGATTTTTTTTCTGGACTGCTGTTTTTCGCATCCAGTAGAAAACATTCAACATTCAAGTTTACATGAGGCTTACACATGGCTCACATTTTGCTTCTTGCTATTGGCTCACAGGTTCACCAATGACTGATGCCCTTGTGGACGTGAAGCATGATGGGAAATTCTGGCTGGCCAGATATCTTAATACTGTAGTTTAGTTGGGGGTGCTTTTTTCACTTCTCATTACAAAAAGGTAAACACTTTGTTCCAAGAGTGGACCCACAGTGTTTAAATTTGAGATTCATAAGGTTCCCCAATTAATATTTAGTCTTTATTGTATTTAAAATGTAAGAGCTTTAAAGTAAAAGGACTGTTGTATGTGTTAATGTTGAATTGCATTAACAAAGTTGCAATGAGAGCAATATTTTGTTTGCGACCGCGGTTATTGTGCCAGAGTGTGAACCGTTGGGTTGTCAGCATTTTCTGTTAGCTAACATCCAACTGTTAGCGGTATCTGACTGATATGAGATAAGCCGGCAGCTTTGCAGCAGTATAAAAGGCACTTTAAGAAGGAAAGACACCAAGGGCATTGCCTTTTTAGAGCTCACTATAGCGGGAGTTAAAAATCGCCAAATCGGATGCATTCCCACAGGCTGATTCAGATTAACTGCCAAAGTGACTTCACATTGAACCAGCTTAATTTAAGCTGCCAGCTCAAGACTTGCAGGATCAGGATCCTACCCAACCATTAGTGATGTCCAGTCCCAACTGCAACTCCTGACCTTTTGAGCCTGCAGCTGATAAGGCCCAAGTTGAGGGAAGAAATTGATCAAAAGGGAAAAAAACAGTTGACCAACTGTTGTTTGCATTATTCTTTAAAAGCTTTACAGCTGTGGACCACATTGTGTATGTAACACCAGTTATGTGTGTGTGAATGTGCATTTGCAATAAAAACACAAGTACATACATGAAATGCATTGACATCATTTCATTCATGCATTTTATTAATAACTTTTGGGACAGCTGCTACCTCTTATGTAATTACTACAGTGATTATATAATCCAACCCTGTAACCCTTCTTCAACATGCATTTAGCAGTCATTTTTATCCAAAGCAACTTACATTTGAGAGAGTGAATGTAAGCGATTGGGGTTAAGGACCTTGCTCAAGGGCCCAACGCTGACATCACTCTGCTGACCTCGGGTTTTGAGCCAGCAACCAGCCAATCACAGACACCGAGGCCTAATCTGCAGACCCACACGGCATGGACGGTACCCTCACCTGCACCCACACTGTGCCAGTGCAGCTTGCCGGCAGGAAGGTGTTCATTTCACACTATGCCTGTGTGCTGGAAAAACACGCTGCCAGGAGCCGGGCTAACAGCAAACTGGACCCGTTCTGATTCGCAGCATCTCCTCACAGGGTCAGTGCAGCATGGAGAGGCCTTTCTATGCTTACAACTCGCTGGGCTGCCACCCCGTCCACTTCATGCCCGCCATTGACGGTACATCTGATTAAATCGTTGTGCCTGAGTGCGAATGTGTTGGATTGTTTGTCATTAATAGCTAGAAGGAAATTCACGTCCTGCAGCTTTTCAGTCTTGTCATGGATTCCTCCACCATTCCAGTTTGCCGTCTGCTATATGGCCAGACTGGTTACCCTCACCCTATTGACTTAATCGATACCTACTTCAAATGACCTGCGCTAACCAGATTATCTGCAGGAGAGCAGAGGGTTACACATCGTGCCCATGCAATGCCCTTATTGTGCCCAGCATTTGCATTCTCTGTATATGTTGATTTTACCACCCACACATTACTCAGAATAAAAAGGCTCTTCTCACCGAAGACCAATGGCATTAGGATTTGCATTTGTACTGTACAGTGTGGTTTCCATAACTCTCATGTCTTCCTTCATTGCATAGTCCATCCAGCTTCTGTGGCTGTGTTCATGTACGACAGCCTGGGCACCGCTGTCTGTCTAAGGGCGTTTCTGCCATTTCATTGTTCTTGGTTTGTACCACAACGTTCAAGAGCAAACCACCCTGCCATTATGAAGGAGAGTGCTGTTGGTTCTGTTCTGTAGACCGCAATTTAGCAGTGATACTCAAGGAAGTTCTAAAGAAAAGCCTTTTGGTCTCGTAAAGTGTGCAAATCTATTGACTTATTAGAAGTAAAATAGCTGGATTAGTTAATTGCCCCCCTCCAGTAACATGATCTATAGAGTTTTTGTCCAAAAAATTCTCCTAGTGTTCTCTGTGCCTGTGGGGCAAAGCCAACTGATCCGGTTGTAGGCGGCTTGACTGGGGAAAAACTAAGGTGGCAACATGGGATCACGTGTACCTTCAAAGCAGCAGCACGGGGGTTCCTATTGCTGTTTAGGAAGCAAGATGGAACGCTAGACTCCCATAAAGAACAACATTAGTCCCAATCTGAACTGAACTCATCTCTCGCTGTTGTACCATCATCAGCCCAACATCTGGCCTTAGCTATTTTCATCTTTTTGATAGTGACAGTTCTTTGTTGTGAAGTAGTGGTGGCCTCCTTTGGTTAATTTTCCATCCCCAGGAATTATGTAACCACGCAAGCATGCATTTATCAGGGAGCTTCTTGTCGTGGCTGTTTATTTGCGGACGAGCAAACAACCATATCACGTCTTATTATAGGCATCTTAATAACCGCTCACAGCAACTGAACCGCGGTTCTAATTACACGTTTTCCGCTGCTAGTGTAGCTTTTACTGCTTAAATCTTAAGTCTTTATCACCCGTGGCATTTATTCCACGAGAACCACCGCACGAATTTAGACGCTGAGCAAAAGTACAGTAAAGACAAATTCAATGGAGGAATATTGTACAAAAGACCCGGTAATTATTATAATTTCTTTACGTTGACACGTACGAGGACTGGTAACGTGCGTTCGTAAGACGTATGACCGGAAGAGAGCAAAGTGAGGATGCAGGCAGCGCGTATAGTTTAATTGTTTTTTTAGTTGGTTGACTTCTCAGCCGAAAGCTCCCCTTCTGTTACGTTTGAGAGTGTGCGTGGATATACAAGTAAGTGTTGCATTACAGACAATTTTTATTAGTTACTTAAGCACTTACCGATAACTGCATTACTTCCCTAAGTTGTGGATGCGGTATTTAATTGTAATTCCCTGATTTCATTAATACTTCGTTTAAGTTATTCCTGTTTACATTGGTATTCCATTTAATTCACGAGTGTGATGCATTTAACCGGATATATATATGTTATTTGCCTTTTATGTTACCAGTAGCGATGTGCAGCCGCTAAATAAGTATGTTAAAGTGCGTAAGATTGATTGATTGATTGTATTATGGGATGTGTTGCACTGGGTTCATTAGGTGAGAGTATAAACCTTATTATGTTGATGGTATAGTGTTTAATTTAAGTTTGTATTCATTTTAGAACCACACTCACAGATGTTTTGCGCATGTACCACTATTCCTGGGTTCTACGCATAATTCCCATGCAAGTAGGCCTAAACCAACTATGGACTAGTCAATGGTGTCTGACTCTTCATATTAAGTTCAGTATACATTCACAGTCCTGACCGACTGTCCGCAGCGTTTCTATTTCACCTGAACCAAGTGTCATTTAGATCAAGTCACCCTACAGTTCAAATATATTAACCCGTGTAAGTACCACGAGATCAACCGCTGTCTATTAATAGTCTGGTGTTCTAAATAATCGTAAGGAACTGGTTATACGTGTAGGTCACTGCATAGTTCCTTTAAGCCACTGGTCTTGTAGAGTTTTCGAGGTATGTTACACTGGAGAACCTTTGGACGCAAACTATAAGAAATAAGCAACAGAAAGGTAACGACTATGACATCCTAGACTCTATTTTGTGTATATGATTTATATAGCCAAAGGAAAAATCACACCTTTGATTTCAGCCGTCATTACTTGCAGTGTTGCGAAGATGGTGTTTTAAAACAAAAACAAAAAGATGGTAGCAGACATAAATTTACATAAAAAGTCAAGGCGCTCGGAAGAATTCCCACAGAATAGAGGTGGGGGGACAGGCGGCAATGCGCGCTTGTGTAGGAATGGCGCATTTCCCCCGACACGCCCCTACACTGGTGTGTAGGGTTAATACAAAGGAGGTGTGGCTTGCTTCAGTTACAGCTCATCCCTACTGTAAAACCAAAACATTATCTCTTGACTGACACAGCTTACAGCGGACTGTACCCTCACACACATTGGGGTGCTCTTTCTACCGTCCCCGATCGCTGCGGCAGACCCACACATGTGCGTGGATATTCGTGATTCAGTACGACCGTGAGCACAAATTAATGGATTAGCTTCTGGGTGAAGTAAAAGAGCATAACGAAACATGTTTGCTCTGTAATCCTGTGGAATAGTGCTCCGGGACTGGACTACAAACCGACGCCAGAGCAAAGCAAGCTTGTATTATTTACTGGCAATCCTGATGTGGAAAGCGGATATAAAGACAGGCGTTAATTACAGTATTCAAAGGAAGACCACTGAAGGAAAGTATTTGGACTGCGATGTTTGCTAGGAACAGCGGCCATACCCAAGTCATCATCACCTTACATAACTGGAATTTGTGTACGGGTAGCGACCAAGACGTTTGATGAACTACCCTTCTCTCCAGCTGCAGTTGGTGCCTACGTGAGTTGTTTCCGTGCTTATTTTTGGAGTCATGCATGAATATTCTTTTTTGTTGTTATTGTTGGTTTGTAAATACAAAAACGAAGGCAAATTTAGAATGCAAGTATAAGTCGTTTTCTTGTACGTGTATATATTGCAAAGGGTTATGAAATATAAGTGATCATTATAATTGCATTATGATGGAAAACGTCTTCATAGCACGGTAACACAAAAGAGTTGTTTTCGTTGAGGATGCCCATTTTCCCATCACGAACATGAGCACTGCAGAGCATGCTTGATGCATTTCCACATCCCAGACGCGGGCAATGAACAATTGCCTCAAATATTAATAGTCAAGCTGTTACCGTGTAATGCACACAGCAATATCTAAACTACCATATCATTTCCAAACGCTCGTGCAATTTTATAACGGAATCTTGGTTTTTATTACTTATTTAATATCTGACCGACTCTTGGTATGAAACCTATAGCTGTGGCGAAGTTCACCAGTGATTTTGAGCATTACCACTTGAGGCACAATAAATCTCTACGTATTAAACGCTGGCATGATAAAATGACGAAGTGTATACGCCAGCTAGTGGATGTTATATTGATATAAGTTGAGCAACAGCGCCCTCTTTAGTTTTCATGAACCAACGCTGTGAATTATTTATTTGACCCATTTCCTCGATGGCCTTCGGCGCTGTTTTATGATTCAGTCTCTAAAAACCCTTTTGTGATTGGTTTACTTTATCGGCAACGTAAATTATTTTGCAAAGTAATTGCATCATCTTTTAAATATAAGAGCACATAATGGTTTTAATGCTATCCCGTAGCTATTTAAATGTTTAAAATCAGATGAATAACACAAATTTAGAAAAAGATCTAGAAAACGTGTGTGACGTTTGTTTTTCTTCCATCTCAGGTTGCGTAGGAAGACTTTGACTCGCAGACAGTTGTGGATAAGAAGCAACGTTGTTTTTTCCACCGATTTTAAAAATAAATTTAAAGTGTGTTTTGTACCACTGTCATACTCCTGACTCCCCAGCCGCACTGTAATAGCCTGTCCTCCTTCAGGTGGGAGACTTCTTGTCGTTTTTTGACGGGAAACAAAGACAGAAGCTGGTGAATGTGAATAACTAGTAGCCTACTTTTCAAAGACTACCCACGAGAAATTAAACGCTTGAAGGAAAAACAAACGACTTCAACCGCAATAATAACAACAACAACCTGTGGCAGTAACAGCCCGAGCAAGTGGCGTGACTTATTACCAACGGATTTAACCCTGAAAGACTGATTTTCCACTTAAGTGAATGAATTATGGTGCGCGTACCTCCGTCCTAAATTTCACTTTCAATTTTTACAAAATGCAGAACGATTTTTCAAGCCGAGGCGCAACCGTAAATTTCGTTACGGGAGTAAAGAATGACGGTGGCCCATATGTATCTGGCTTCGCCGTGGAGGCCGATGCTGACAGACCCGTAAATCAAGGGGAACTTGCGTTTGGCGCGGGCGACGTGCGAGTCCTGCAGGAGAAGCAGGCTTACTGCCGACAGAGAAGCAGGGTGACCAAAGAGCTGGGGGGTGGCGTGGATTCGGTGGGGAGGGGGCACCACAACTGCGACGCCGATCAGCATCCTAACGTGGAAAAAAATCACATCTCCGGTCCCGCCGCAGACCAGGATAATCCAGTTAATAGAAATGGGATAGCGGACGAGTCTGGTGGAGCGCGCATGAAGGTGCCCTGTAGCTTTAGTTCGTCCCTGTGTTTTTCTGGAGGAACCAAAGACGAGGGGGATAGAGCCGCTTCTTTATGTAGGGGCAGTGGGATAGTGCGGAGTCAGTGTCAGGAGGAGGGGCGGGGGACCTCCGCGCCTGTCACTTATTGTGCTTCTGCGGGAGCGCAGCCAGCGCACGGTTTAGGTCATATGGTCAGTGCCTCACAGGGCAATGATCGGAGGGAGGGCGACACGATACGAGGAAACCCGCTCACGCAATCGACCGAAGGACGGTGGGAAAATGGAAACGGAATAACAAGTATCTATTCTTTGAAAGGAGATCCGGATTTAGTGATTGAGGTGTCTGGAAAGAAAATCCAGGCGCATAAATCAGTCCTGGCAGAGAAAAGTGACTATTTCAAAGCACGGCAGTCTAGAGATATTCTTAAAGTGAAGGGACTGAGTTACAAGACATTGACAGTGCTGGTGGAATATATATATTCGTCTCGGATGAACGTGAATAAGGATAATGTCGTTGACGTGATCACCGGGGCGAAGATTCTTCAAATCCCGTGCGCAGTTCAAGCTGCGATGGACACCATGTCGGATCAAATCACCGCCGAGAACTGCTATGAGATTTTAACTATAGCGAAAAAGCAAAGGTTAAACGAGCTGAAGGAGACGGCGTATCGTTTCATGAGTGACAACTTTCTGCAGATTTTAAAGGACCCCGCGGTATATGGGCGTCTGACGGGATCGGAGAGAGACCTCATCCTCAAAACGAGAATGGAAGGAAAGAAGTCTGTGATGGTGGCCGAAATAAACGACGTTTACGACCGTGTGGGGAGCAGACCTCAGAGCCGGAATAACAGCCGTCCACAGAGCCCGCTATCCGTGGCTTCGTTTGAAGAAAACCATATGATATATTATTATAACGAGAAGACTAAAGACTGGAGATCGCTGACTATGATGCCCGAAGATATAAACACAAAGGGCTGTGGGATTTGCACAATGTATAACTATTTATTTGTAGCGGGTGGAATAAAAGGCTCCGGGGACAAAGGGAAGCTGTCGGATAAGGTGTTCTGCTACAATCCCGTCACGGACGCCTGGAGCGAAATCAAACCCCTGAACCAAGCGCGGTCACAGCTGAAGCTGGTGTCGATGGACGGCTTTCTGTACGCTATAGGAGGAGAGTGCCTATTTACGGTGGAAAAATACGACCCCCGTATGGACAGGTGGACTACGGTGGCACCCCTGCCCAAAGGAGCGTTTGCTGTGGCTCACGAAGCGACAACCTGCAACGGCGAGATGTACGTGTCTGGCGGCTCGCTCTTTTATCGCCTCCTCAAATACGACCCCAAAAGGGACGAGTGGCAGGAGTGTCCGTACAACAACAGCAGGAAGAAGTCCACGGACATGGTGGCCTTCAAGAGCTTCATCTATAGGTTCGACGTGAACCGCGATCACGGCGTCAACGTGTTCAAGTACAACACCATAGTGAAAATGTGGCACGACAGCGCGTCCCTGGCGCAGGCGAACCCCCTGCCTTTCAGGTGCGCGGTCATGGCGAACTGCATCTACTGCGTGAATAAAACGCAGACGCTCCGATTCGTAGTGGGGGAAGATGATGCCCATTTTGAGGAGGAACCGTTGAAAGCCCCCTTTGAGGCCAAGGGCGTCCTCTTTCCCTTTATCCTAAGTGTACCCGAGAGGTTGGACCGGAACACGTAGTCAGTGTAATATAAAGGTTAATGCGCGCCTGGCTTTTCGAAAGTAGTTGAGACTGTGGACAGGAGCAGTTAAAAAAAAAAAAAAAACCCAGCCGTGTTTAATGTTCAAAATTAACTTCAGTTTCACGCAAATATCTACATATATTTTTTGCATGGAGAATGGGAACATATAAAACACGACCAGGCCTTAAAAAACGACGTAACTGTCGGATTTAAGTATACATTTGAAATGGTTTCAATTACAATAACAATATATTTGCGGTTCATTTGATGTATTTTTCTTGTGCACGTTTAGTACCTCTGTTAAAACAGTAAGAATAGACTCAGTGTCTGGAAAATCCTGATTGGTAACATTCGTATAAACCTAAAAATATTACGCGGGGGTATCAGAGTAGCTGTAATCCGCGCAAAGTAACCCTCGGTCTAACAGCAGTGCTTCGTGATCCTAGTCACCATCACAAACCTATGCAAACCAGCGAGACTATCAGGGAATCTCGCCTTACTTCGAGGAATACAGGCCCATGTAACTTAATTATTTGTTTAAAAGGCGTAAAATATCCTGTTAAAATGTTTATGTGATAATGCATAATGAAATTGGATGAACATCGGAGCCTAATATCAATTTGTAAACTTAATGAGAAATTATAAATATTTGGATTCCAGCTGAGTCGGCATGGCCTGCATGCACGAATAAGCAAGATTATTAAGTGGGATCAAAAAGAAAGCGTGACGAATTTGTTTTTGTCTGTTTTTATTGCCATGTTGCTGTCGTGATCCGGGGTAGGCCTATGAATCTGAGCAGACATTCCTCAACTCCGCTATCCGTGCTACTAACTAAATTATTCACTTAAGCATATTGAGCAAATTCCAGGCTGCATAAGGATGTTAAGGATAAACATTTAAGACGTAAATGCTGAACTTTATACGATTTTTGCTAAGCTAAAAATGTAACGTGAAGCAATAATCTGTAGGCTACCTGTACCACAATATCTCTAAAAGACACAACAGTTTTTGGAGCCGGGCGATTTATTTAAAGAATTTTTTTTAAATAAAATTAAGTGATAGTGATTATGTAAAAAAAAAAAAATGTTTTAATATAGAGTCGAAGCTGACACTGTCACAAACGTTAACTGCGTCTAGTTGCACAAAACAGCCCAAGCTGCACAGCGCGCCATCGCGTACTGCTCCGTCTTAAAGCGGGAATGAACTGTCACTTTCTGGGACTACAAGACTGTTTTACGGAGACACGGGGGTTCACTTTCCTTCCAACAATAAGACGCACTGAACACATAAAGCCATTTAACACCCCCTCCCAGGTGGAAATCTTCCCTTAACTCACACTGTCCAGCTTTCTTCTGTTGTACACCAAGTAGAAGCAGGCATGGTAAACCTCAAAAAAGTTTAATTTCTGCTCTTCTCTACCAAGAAAAAAACTGAAAGCACTTTTACCGCAGCTTCAACTTCTAACACATCGCCTCCATAAGCCAAACACGTATTAAGATCTGGGTTTGCGCTTAGAGGATGGTACGTGTGATGCCGCAGTTTTCTCTTTGAGTTCGATTTTATAGGTGGAATTCCCACCTTCCTGCATCTACGCGACGTTTCGTTCAATTTAACTCGATAAAAAAATCTTCTGCAGAGAAGCAAAAAGGTTAGATTTTAAGTGTCAGGATTTTGTGTTTTTTTGTTGTTTTTTTCTAACAGATGTGGATGTGACAGATTTGTTGAAGCTGTTTTTTTATATTTTGCTGTCTGGCTTCAATGTGGAGGACGTGGACTGTAGAATGCGGCTTGCTGTTTAAAGAAATTACTAGAAAAAAAGCATTATTTTGAAAGTGTAGAGCCCATATCCTTCTTACCATAAACTTTATTTAATAACAGTTATAACGCATTATAGCTTTTAAATTTTATGCTTTTAAATTGTCAGATGTTGTATTTCAGTCAAAATTATGTGCACAAAATAAAAAAAACTCATTTTCATGTACTGTTTCTTATTCGATATGTGATTATTGAAAATGTCCATTGCTCTGGCCCCAGTAAACAGTTAGCGCATTCAAACAGGGAACATAAACCTCGGCAACACAATCCATATGCACTCTAAGATTCAGGAAATTGCCAAAGAAGCATATCTGATAAGACTTCCAAAGAATCCTTGCCTTGTTATATAAATGCTCAGAGTAAAAATTATCTAGCACCTGGCATCTGAAATTTGGTGTTGACCAACTCGCCAAGTATTGGTTTCTTGGCATCTATAAGCTTTTGGTTCACCTTGACTTCTGTGAGTAGATAGATGTGCATTTAGACTTCGTGAGGTTAATGTAGAGTGATTTTTTTTAAAAATGATTTTGTCCATTCCCCCAGTTTCCAGTTTGAAGGTTGAGGGTTTTTCCATGCTTTCTGTTCAAACCGTAAATACAAAAGCACATTCCTTTCAGATTGACTCACTGTGGTTTCAGGTTTGGGTGGGAGAATGTTCTGGAGAGTTCTTTTCTGGTCTGGTGCTCAACTAGCACACAAATACGACCAACGTGGCAGTGAACGTTCTGAATTTCCTCACCTCACCAAGCAGAGCGAAATATCTCAAGGGGCCGTTAGTGTTGGAGCAATTCCCTGGTCGCTGTGTAGAGATTTGTTCTAATTTAATATCTCATACTTTGGCAGTGCCTCATGCTGTCCGCATTGGGTAAAAGCATGGACTCATCAATATTGGAAATGGACTTCTGGCTATAGTGACAGATGATAATAAAAGTTAAATAGTTTTTAAAAAGCATGTCCTTGGGTGACTTGTGCCTTAAAAATAAATTAAAACAATATAATAAAGTTGTGTACTCAAAATCCAGAAAGTGCCGGAATACTTGGATGGATTCCCATTGATGTATTTGGATACGTTTGTGCCAAATTACCACAGACTTTGTGAATTGCATCATTGTTACACAAGCAGCCTGGTTTGCCCAGTGCATCCAGGGTAATCTCAGCTTCTCAGTAAGTGACTAGACAATCCTGATGTGGTAGGCTATAACTTTTAAGGGTTGCATGTTAAACCTGTTTGAATGTCAGAGGGTTTTGCGCTGCTTCACGGTGGTGAAGAGGTTGGGTCCTTCATGTTTTGATCTCCTGCAGTGAAAGCTAAATTTACATCTTCATTTCTTGCACTTGCTATAGTTTTGACTTGCAAGCTTGTCCTGGGGCAGTTTTTTTGCTTCCAATACAAATTTTCTGTGTTCACTGGGAAGTTTTCTAACATTGGTTGCATTTTTTTGTTTGTTTTATTCCACTCTTTTGACCTGTATCCTGCTAACTAACAAAGTGTACATCCTGACATGCAATAAAAACAAAACAAAAAAAAAAAACATTAATTTGCTTGCTCAGTAGAAGACTGCTTCATGACTGTGAGGGTTTTTACTCCGAAAAGTATTCTGAAGGAATATTATTTCCTTTTCTGTAAATGCTGTGTGTCCATGCTGTTTGCGATGCCAAAACGTCAGCCTGAAACCATAATCCAATTTGTTTATTTGTGGGGTCACAAACTGCTTGGCAAAGTAGGAGATCCCAGGAGAAGCCTGCAAAAGCGGAATTTCAAACATCAAAGTGCCAAAGTGTGTTTTGTCCGTGTGCCTTTTCATGGACACCATACGGTGTTAAAAAGAACTGGCAGACAGGTTGGTAGGTCAAAGCCAAGGAAGACGTGTCTGTGGTGCAAAAATAATTCCCCCCAAGGGGGGGGTGGGTGTTAACCGTGCAAAGCCACAGATGTCCATGAACCACCTGGGGAACAGAATTCTCTCTTCCTCTAATCCTCAAACTGCCGATGATCACGGAAATACCGAATGGGATGTGAACCAGTGCCACACCGGTGTGCCAGCTAGTGGCGCCAATGTGTAGGGATGCCTATGATCCTACTATGGATATAGCATGTATGAATGGCAGGAACTTGTGATCCCCAGTGCATTATCGGTATTTTTCATTATTCATCTTTCTTTTATCATTACAGTGGTCACAGTTGACTTAGAGTAATTACATAAGTTCTATTGAAATATATATGCCTGATACAGTGTCACATTTATTATATTTAATATTTAGCGAAGGTAGCAGAACTACAGCATAACAAAACCACCTTATGGTCTCTGCCCTAGATGGGTGTGTATCAGTATCAGTTACAGTTCTTACAGCCGGGGTCAGGCTGGGGTCAATTTGCATTTTAAATAGACTTCAAACCCCATCAAGCCCAATGATTTGGCTCATAAGTGGATTAGCTGTCTGTTGTTTTCTGGTCTGACATGGAGAGGAGCTTTAGGGAAAAGCATGAGAGCCACATGGGACCTGAACCATGGAAACCACCATCCCCTCCCTGTGACATCATGTGGGGGGTGCGGGGGTGCAGGATCTCTCCAGGAGGGCTAAAACTTCCACGTCTGCCCCCAGTGACCAGCCCCCAGCAGTTTCCAGGAAACCAACGAAAGCCATCACGTTTACCAAGAAACACAGATGATGGAAACTCTGAGTGAGACTTGACCTCTTTAGCCCTAATACTAAACTTTTGACCTAAGTAAACGTTTACCTTTTTTTTACCTCAGCATACCATTCTGTGAACATGTCTGTTCAAGATAGTAAATTAATAGAGAATCCATTCCTCCCTACTCCGGTTTCACGTGACCTAATGGAGAACCATTTGGGTAATTATAGGGTCTCCGGGCCCCATTCCACGTAGAGAGAGCGGCACAGCTGAGAAATATGTGTTTGACACACAAGATGTCGCCCACTGTTGACTCACTGACGGATTCCCACGCAAAAGAACATGCCTCAGAAAAGCTGATAAAGGGAACAAGTGCTACAGCAGAATGAGTCTTCAAATGAATGAGCAATACACAGAATTTTATCATTCTTCATTGTCAAAAGTGTGATTTCAACATGAGCCTCTTCACTACAAAGGGATGAAATATTGTTCTATGCTTCTTCTATGCCCCCTGCTACACTAGACTTTAATTTCTCAACAGTCACACTCCTAAATTTGGTGAGAGTTCTCCAACTGCTTATCCTGTTCATGGTAGCAGGGCGTGTACAGTACAAGACGTCACGTCACAGTTCACCGTTTCGTCACTATTCTACAAACGGTTGTTGCTGAATTAATTTTGCTGACCACTAGGGGCCACCGAAGAATATCTGTCTGTTGATCCTCTGGAGCCATGCAAATGTCCACATGGTGGCAGTATTGAACCACAACGATAACTACAGCAATATGCGTCATAACGCTTGACTGCCAAAAGGTAAACAATTCATGCTTTACAGTTGTCGAAACTGTATTCTGAAGTGATTGTATCTATTTGCAAAATAAATACCTGAAGACCACACAGTGCCACTGAACTGCGTCACTTGGAGGTGAGGGATGATGACGGTGAGCCCGCACTAAGTGCACAGTAAACACAGGTGACGCATGAGTGCACAGGGAGGAGGGAGGCGAACGGCGCTTTGCTATGACTGTGCTATGACTTACATAAAAAAAAACTTTGTTTACGTCCACCTGTGGTAAAAATGAATTCATAGGCATCAAAGCCATGTGAAGTAGTGTCTCTGTATTGTCCAGGTTGTGTGTGTATGTGTGTGCATGCGCATGCTTCTGTAAGTGTTACCTTGTAGGGACCAGGGGTGAGTTTCCCGAAGCCTTCTTAACGCTACGTCGTTCGTTAGTTCTATCTTTTAACACAGAACTTAAGAACGACGTAGCGTTAAGAACGCTTCGGGAAACTCACCCCAGATTACCCCACAATGTGATAAAAACCTGTAACATTTTACAGGTTTTTAACCTTGTGGAGACATTTTTTCCAGTCCCCACAAGGATAACCTAAATTTCATAAAAATGCAAACAAAAACCTAAAAATGCCGAAAGTCTTGTATTTTGTTTGGTTACTTATGGTTAAGGTTAGGGCCGGGTAGGGGTTAAGGTTGTCATTACAAGGATTAGGGTTAGCCCATAGAAATGAATGGTGAGTCCCCACAAAGATATGAATACATGGAGTGTGTGTGCGTGTGAACCCTGTGATGGACTGGCATCCCTTTCAGGATGATCCCAGGGATTGTGCCCTTTCCTGCCTTGAATAGGTTCCAGGCTTCCTCCCTGACCTTGTACTAAATAACCTTATATACCAAATGGATGGAAAATTGTGATGGCGAACACCAAATACCCTCCTTCGACTAGATTTGGCTTCTACAAAGACGAACTGTAGATAAAAACTAAATTTCCATATCAGTCAGAGTAAAACCACAGTCTTAGACTGCTATTCAAAAACAAAAAGAATCCCTATTATGAAGCTCACTAAAGGCTGTAATTCTACGATGTACATACCGAAAACGAAAGTCTCTGAATCATATCATATAAAGGTGAATAAAAAGGGAAAATCCCTGATCATAACCCTCTCTCTCAGTAGGTTTATTTCAAATTCACCTGATACTGTAGTCTTTCACGTCACTGTTAAGTGTCATGTTTCGCAGGCAAATTAATTTTCACAGCGTTCTGTAAAAAAACAAATAATGTTCTAACTGAGAGGAAGAAGGCTCTTTAAATACTGGAGAATGGCTTGCTAAACACTCAGAAAGGTCCTTAAAGATTTTGAAAGAATCTGTCCCCTACATTATCAGGTGTCTCTTCCAGGATTTAGATATAAACCAGATACTTGTTGCTAGTGTGCCGACCTGAATTGAAAGCCAAATGATTATATGCTGTTTAGGAAGTTGTCCGCAGAGAACAACTCGGTCAAGTTCATGGAGCCACCCATCGAGATGGAGATCAAGGTTCAGGTGATGGATATCTCTGCTACCCCACACTTCACCCTTTACCCTCTTTGACAGCAGGCCACAGATCACCAGCAAACTGTTGCTGATTCACCCACATCCGTGTTGCAGCCGCACAGCTGAACGAAAGTATTGTATTAGTATATTAAAGCATAAAATCAAAATATCCATTTTCCAAGGACAAAGTTACATCACACTCATTGAGAAGTACTGAATGTACTGGCTTGCAAATTGTTTTAGCATGATATAATTATAGAAATAGCTCAAATGACGGAATCCATTGAGTCTCAGGGAATTTTTGAACTTGAATCATTGACTGTGCCAAGTCCAGTCCACTCTGGTGCTGATAAAGATGCCTAATAGCCAATTTGCTCATGGAGGTTCTGGCCCGTCAGACACCAAGATGGCATCGGCATGCTAAGAAGCAGGAGGAGGTGAATTATTATTCAAAACCTAAGGTTAAAAAGCTTTTTTATTTTAAATGTGAAGTTGTCGGGCCTAGTAAAATAAAGCTCTCTGAAGTTTTGAACCTTTTTGAAGAATTGTATTGAAAATTGGTTCAATATTACCAGATCCAGCCTTGTGTCAACAGACGCAAGTCAGTTTGGGCGTATCTTGATATTGTAGCTGTCTATTACATATAAATTACTGTATGCGTACTATATTACTGTATGCATACTATATTACTGTATGCATACTATAGTACAAGTGAGATATGGGCAGTGGGTCATGTACGGCTGGCAGTGCTGCCCGTTCTCTTGCACCTGTTATTGTAAGCGATGCACCACTAATATCCCACTACGTCAGTTTCAGGGATCTCTCGATTGGTGTATGTGATTTACCAAGGACCTCAGACGGAAGTGTGATCGTATGTGACTCGATCAGAGTCAAGGAAGACTGTAGATGCATAGTACACTTTGGTGACATCTACTGGCAATGAGGATGTTGAGCAGTTAAATAAGGAAGAAGTTGTTAATTAAAAAATAATTGAATCTTTAAAACCATCAATCGTTAATCATTTTAAGGTAATAGGCACAATAATATACTTTTGCAATGGCATTTCGAAACGTTCACCATCACAAACTATAAAATTTCCTGGGCCAGGGGGGCATGAAATACATAAGAAATTGTGCCTCGTATTGGTTCATACAAGGATACAACATTTTATTTTTCAAAACTTTGATCCTGTAAAAGACGAGATGGGTGGCAAGGCTACTGGCAACTTCCAACCCGTTCTCAGAAATGAGTAGTGAGTGTGTTAGTGTATTGTAATGTGACAAAGAAGTTTATTTTTGTATGATTCATTTATCAAAATTAGATTTCAGTTTGCAGTTAATTAATCTTTCTTAATCCTCTGAATCACATCTATGACTTGAATTATTACGTGGTAATTATTGATATTACCTGAAATTAAAAAAATTATGGTGATGAAATATTTAGCCATATTGCCCAGCCCTATTTGGAAGTAAAACTAAAGATTTTTAAGTTAAGGGCAATCAGACAAACGTTTCTTTAAAAATCCACTTCTGTAATTGGCTTTACAGAATTGTTTATTCGATTGTAAAAATAAAAGAATAACAATACAATTGTTTACATAAAGCTGTCATTTAAGTATAACATGATGTGCTCTTTCTTAATGCAATTACCTCAGGATTCAGTAATCTAAATTTTGTAATTAACAATACTTTGTCACGAAAAGAAGTTTCTCTCCATACTGAATTAGGTCCTTGCTTATTTACACACAAATGTACACATTCAAATGTCCACTCTGGGTGGATGAGATCAGTAGCAGTCAGCGAATCCTTTAAGTGGAAGGGAGGGATTTCCAGGGACATGTCGAAAATGCTGGTCAAGAAACCAAAGTAGGTTAGGAGTTTCAATGTGTCTGTACACAACAATGTGGTTTAGGATGAAAGACATGAACAAAATCTAGTTTCACACCCTACGGAGCAACATACAGTGTCTTATTTCCCGGTCTGGTTTGTCTCGGCTGTTTGTCATCAGAGGTGTTTTCTAGGCACAATATGCAAAAAGGAATTCGCTGAAATCTGCCCTTTTCACTCCCTCAACCCCACCCCACTCCACCCCCCCATCTTAAGAAATGCATCTGTCTGTATCTTCAAGATCAAACACATCAATTTTTAAACATTTTACATATCATATGTCTAATGTCCTGCAAAACGTTGGTACGACTGTGTCCCAAGTACTTTTGTAATAAGGTTGTTTTTGCTTGACATTTTCACATAACACCTTCTGAAAAGGAAAACGTCTTTTAAAAGGTAAAGGAAGACCCATTTTCATTGTTGGACCCATCCATGGATTTTCGAGTTGAGATGTACACTTCGGTAGATCTGGAGGAGCGCCTGTAGATGTATTTTTTCCCCAGGCACCACAGGTCTGACAGGATCTTACGGAAGTGGTTCCTGAACTTGACCCCTACGAAGGCGTAGAGCACTGGATTGAGGCAGCAGTGGAAGTAAGCCAGGGTCTCTGTGATCATCAGAGCCTTATTGACAGTCTTCTCAACCTCGCATTCCCTCTCATGGAACAGACTCAGAGTGTGGTACAGAAGCGTGACGTTGTAGGGCAAATGGCAGGCGATGAAGACCACGACCACCGCCATTACCACCCGCACGGCCTTGTGCTTCTGGAAATTCTTGGCACTTATGAGGGTGTAGATTATGCTGGAATAACAAAAACCCATAATGAGCAAGGGAAGGAAGAAGCCAATAGCCACCTGGATGCTGGGAACCAGAATTTTCATCCGCTGGGCTGTTTCATTTTCTTCAAACTTGAGGTAACAAATGGACATGGTCTGATTAGAGATCAAGTCTATGTTATCATACGTCTCATTGTAGATTATCGTCGGAATGGACACGGCTATTGCAAACAGCCAGATGCCAGAACAGATGATTCGACTGTAGATGAGGGTCCGGGATCGAATCCTGTAAGAGCGTCTGGCTTGGACGATGGCTATGTAGCGGTCGCTGCTGATGCAGGCCAGCAGCATCATGCCGCTGTACAGGTTGATGCTGTACATCCCACGTAAAATCTTGCATGCCCATCTGCCCATGGTCCAGTTGTACGTCTCGTTGTAAATGATCAGGGGGAGTGAGATGACGAAGAGCACGTCTGCGATGGCCACGTTCAGGAGGTACACGTCCGTCATGGACTTCGCCCTCTTGTAAAAAGCGTAGGTGACTATGACCATAAGGTTACCCAGCAGGCCCAATACGCAGATGCAAGAATGTACATAGACTTGTACAGTCACCTCAGTACCTGTGTTAATTTCACAAATGCACTCCATTGTGTCATTGCAGTCATAGTCATAGTCATAGCCATCGTCTGCCATTTTCCAAGATGGATGTTCTGTGGTAAAACAGGAAGGTAAAGAATGTGAGGGCTTTTTTTTTTCCCTGAGAGCTGCTCAGTCACACAGACCACAACCAAGCAAGAAGTCACAAGACTCATTAGTCCGTCTTGGCACATCAACAAAATCTGCACTGTCCATACAAAATGAGCTGGGAAGACAATTCACGATGCTGGTGACAAAATCGAAATCAGTCCTTCATACTTAGTTTATATTCCCCTCCGGCATTTGGGCACTTGTTCTTGTAAAATCGGAATTTCATCTGACAAATGATGTCATGTCAGACCACTCGCTGAGGTCAGAAGACACATTTATGGTTGCCCTTTAAATATAACAACTACATATACACTTTCATATATATGTGCAATATAAAGACTGAAATATATTCTGCTCTTTGCAGACCATAAATAAATGCACAGCAGAGTTGTTTTTTTTGCATCCTATTACACCATTTGTGGTGTTTCATCTACATCGCCCCCTCTTACTGTGAGCAGAGCAGGGGGACTGAACCATTAACAGATACGGGAGAACAGAGCTGCCTCCACCTCTGTTTATCTAGTCTACCTTCTTCAGACTGAAGATAAAGTATCTGTTCAGAGTTAGGGGGTTGTGGTGTGGTGGCTTGGGGGGGGGGGGCTTGGGTGCTAAACAACAGTGCTACCTGAACAGCACAGGAAAGAAGAAAACTGCCGAAGGTCTCTATTCTAAGACAGCTGCCCCCCCACAAAATCCTCGCTATATTTTCCGAGGTGGCACGGCTGGGCCCTTGTATTCGTAGTTTGAATTCACGATACAAGATTCCTTTACTGTCATTGTGCAGAGGGTAACAAAATTGAGTAGCAGTCCTTACGGTGCCTTTACACATAACAAATGTGTTCTAACAATTTGATAATGCGATTTGTATGCTTTTATTAAATGTATCAGTATGACCTTGTGCAGTACAACAACTGTTGGCGAAATTAGGTTTTGATACCAACATTAGGTAGGGTAATCCTGTGCTATTTCACCAGGAGGTTAGATAAACCAGTTAATAGGCTTTGTCTAGTGATCTGCAATAGCTGTACAATATTGGTGTTTGAATCCATATCAAATGATAACCACTTATTACTTTGTTTGTGTGACAGTAATTGTGAGTAGACTATCTGTTGCCAGCCAGCCTTTACAGTTTATTTTTTTTTTACTTGCTACATTTGTTTAACAGATGCTTTTGTCCAGTAACACTTCCATAGTCTTTTTGAAGGCTTAGTTAGTAATGTTCAGACAGCTGCTTTTAACTGAATTTGAAATCTGAAATTAAGTTTAGTGGTGCCCTTTGTATGAATTTGTGATAGCAGAGCTTCTACATAAAAATATATTATATATAACATCTTAATTGCACAATCTACACTGTTCTTAATCTGTTTTTTAAGATTAGGTAACACCCTATTTCACGAATACCTTCAGGAATCTGTCAAATTCATCTCAATTGAAGGTTTAGTTTCCGTTTTTAATGAATAGTATAGGCATTATTTAGCCAACCATCAAGATTTTTTTTCTTTTTCCTCAATTCCTGTTTTTGTTCTCCCCCTTGCCAATGTCCGCTGCCAGCTGCAAACATGGTCGTAATTGTGTCTATCCCGGAACAAAGGATTTCTTTTTCATCTTGACATTAGGGAAGCAAGTCGACTGCCTTGCAGTGCACAGTCACGGTTAGTGTACTGTACGTAAACACTGCTTAATCACTTATATCTCCCCGCAGGAAATTCGGCAGGTAGCTGAATATTACATATAAGAACTTCATTCTGGTGCTGTCATGAATTCCAATATTTGAAGTACATTTTAAGTATCAATACATTCACATGTTGTCAAAGATGACTGTGTAATAGCCTAATCATTGTTATTTGGTGTTGTGTTGTTATTGGGCATGCTGGAACGTGCTAAAACTTGTTCGTTTTTTATTCAGTCTTCCATGAGAGTTTATTTTGCAAGTGTTCCTAAGCGGTTTCTGTTTTAGGTGATCAGTACACAGTCTCGCCGTATTTGCCATACGTCCCTGAGTCTGCATATCTGTTGTTACAGCAAAGCACTTATTTGAAAGGCACAAAATGACTGACATGTTTCTTTGCAATGAAAAGCAAGGATTATTCGCATAAAAATTTTATATACCTGTCACTCTCTATGTAATCTGAAAACGTACCTATCCTTCTCTATATGCCATATACTATCCATCCCCCCACCCATTTCCCAACCCGCTTATGCGCGGTCGCAGGGGGTCCGGAGCGTATGCTGGAAGCTACGGGAACAACCCAGGATGGGGGGCCAGCCCATCGCGGAGCATACTCACACCTATGGGCAATTTAATAACTCCAATTAGCCTCAGCATGTCTTTGGAAAACCCACAACGACACGGGGAGAACATGCATACTCCACACAAATGTAATTGAAGCGGTTACTCGAACCCATGCCCAGAGATGTGAGGCAACAGTGCTAACCACCGCACCACCCCGCCGCCCCAGCGCCATATACTAATTGATCTTAATTAAATTCATAGTTGAACCCTTTATTTTTTCAGTCTACCGGCAACATCCAGCCCGTTCTCAGGAATGAGTAGTGAGATAATCAGCGTTAGTGTATTGAAATGTTACGCCCTATGACAAAAAAAGTTTATTTTTGTATGATTCATTTATCAAAATTAGATTTCAGTTTACAGTCCATTCATCTTTTTTAACGCTCTGAATCACTTCAATTAGACCTACTTGAATTATTACGTGATAATATTTGATATTGCCTGAAATTAAAAAAAATATATGATGGTGATGAAATATTTAGCCATATTGTCCAGCCCTATTTGGAAGTAAAACTGTAAAGATTTTTAAATTAAGGGCAATCAGACAAACGTTTCTTTAAAAATCCACTTCTGTAATTGCCTTTACAGAATTGTTTATTCGATTGTAAAAAATAATAAAAGAGCAACAACACAATTGTTTACACAATGCTGTCGTTTAAGTATAACATGATGTGCTCATTCTTAATGCAATTACCTCAGGATTCAGTAATCTAAATTTTCTGATATTTGGTAACATTTGCTAATTCTTTTCTTTAGGTGCGTGAAGAACTTACACAGTTTTTCCCGCTGCAGTGAAGTTCGAGTGAATCCGCTGTTTTGATCCAGGATCCGGTGGATGTGAGCACCAGTGATCTCTGAGTCCCTGAAAAAGAGAATCTGACAGCCTGTCCCCAAAGGGATGAGGAAGCCAAGTGGAACGGGGTGACTTCTGCTGTGTTGTGTGAGCGCGCGGCGCGCGCGCGTGCGTGTGTGTGTGCGTGCCTGCGGGAGGCTGCGGGCACCCTGTGAGACAATACTGATTTATCTGATCGTCGCTATGTTCCTGTCTCAGTGTCTGCCCGTAAAGCGTGAACTGAACGTGATTTGCATATTTTTAGGTAAACCACTGGCACTGTCTTCAAAGCTCATGATGAAGAATAAGCTAACCTGAGGTGTCTAAAGGTTTTGTAGATTCATTGCATTATCCCGATCTTAAGCATCATGGCCCTCGTACTTCAATATCACAGAGCTTTTAATTAGTATTATTTTTTTAATGGCAAAACTGCTGTTCTTAAATAGTTGAAGCTTGGAGTGAGGTCTGCCCACAGATGCACTTTGTTCATTCTGCAATAAGTGGTTTTGGTGGATCTGACCCATCATCATGTTCTGAAGGGTTTGAAGATGTCCCACTTTTGACTGTGGTAGTCACTTTTCTTTTGATTGACTGATGTTATCAGCACTGCAAAATCCAGTTTGTTTTTGCAGCAGTGTTATGTGACATTTCAGTGTTTCTGAGTACTGATTTTTCAGGTGAAGTTCCCACGCATGCAGTTCCTGCCTAAATTTCCCATATCTAAAATTTTGCGGGAGTTGTTATTAATTTTGTGAAAAATTTATTTTAAAGAAATAAATAAAATGTGCTGTATGCACAAATTCTGTGGCTGTTGCTCTGGTATACTTGAGAAACCCAGAGAAGCATACCTTTATGGAAGCCTCTGTAACTCGCAGTTTCCTCTACTTTGTCTCTCCCATATTTCCATTCGGAGAAAGTGTGAAGGTGGGTAGAATATGTGATCAGTAGACAGACCCGCCTCAGCTTTGACTCAAGAATGACTCAGGGGGAATTAACACCGCTCACTACGTGACATTCGCTGGTGTGCACAAACTTTCCGTGAGATGGCCTTTCCTTTTCACCTCCTAATCCACTCTCGCATTTTAAACTCTTCAGCTGATCCTAAGAATGCTTACGTTTTCAGCAGTAGACCAGGGGCACTTAAATGGCAAATTCCAGTCTGAGTCTTCTCCAAAACTCCATGCAACTCATACCACGCAATCATTTTCCCCTCATCAACATTTACCAAGGGGACCTCCTGCCCCCCACCATGGCTGTGTGGCTCATAAAATTTGGACCTTGGTGAAAAATTGAGTATCCCTGCAGTAGATTAAATATTGTTTTAATATCTTTCTGATCCATCTGCTCCACCATCCTCCCACTTATTGCACGCAAGTTACGGTAAATTTGAGGTTCTTACAACACTGGTTTTGTTGTATGTGAGCACATGCTTGAGATCAGTCATGAATTTGGCCTTTATCTGAGATGCAATCAATGGCATGGTGAGAAGAATCATGTTAAATTACATTCTTGTTTTGACAAATAGGCTTTCTGCATTTTAAGTTTAGACACAAAGACTAGAGAATAAGTAGCTTAACATCTTATCTTATCTTAACATCTCAGAAACGTATTTATGCACAATGTATGAATATCACAGCATGAATGGTTACGCAACAAACATGCATTCTAGCGTGGAGCCGACGTTTATTGGAAAGACATGTAGGGCAATCTTTGTTTTAAAATGAGAACATCAAATTTTGAAGCCATGTAAAATTAGAGAATGTCTTTTTTTTAGTGAACGTCTGATACCAAAAGAAGACTGTCTGCTGCTAAGGTGCTGGGGTGGAATCCTCCTTGTACACTGCCAAACCACTACTAAAATTCCCAAGGGAGGACACCAAAGATAACATGGAAGATCAGCACGTCAAAAGTGCACAGCCATGGTTCTAAGCCTAACTGTACTAATGGGCACTGTAGCATGTTGCCAGGTAATTCTGAACCAGGAACCCGGTCATAGGCTGAAGACAACCAGATTCCAGATATCTGAGCATTGGTGCACAGACGTTTTATATTATAAATTAGCTTCAGCTTTTGTCCAAAGTAATATTTTACATTAGTAAAAACTTTTACTTTTTTCTTCACTTTAGTATTTCTCTATGGTAGACGTCTATTTTATATGCTATCTGCTCTGCCATTATTTTCTGTTTTAGTTTTCTTTTTTGCAGCATCTGGAATGAACAAAACAAGAATTTTATTGTGTACCGCACATATGACAATAAATTGCTTGAATTTTGAATGCAATACACAAATGAGGGAGGTTGGAGTGGGGATCAGCATTCCTGGGGCAGACAGGGCTAGGGGCCTTGCTCAAGGACCCAGCAGCGGCATGATTACCCTGATGGTCGCAGGATTCGAATGCGGGATCATCCAGACATGGACACTGACTCATCTCCTGAACTACACACAGTGCCTCAAATTTGGATGCTCATCGGCACTAATGCCACCATTTCCAACAACTCCAACCAACGTGGTTTTAGGGCCCTGCTTCAAAGAGCATACTCCCTATACAAAACACAGCGCCATTTACATTCTCCTCTAAGGAGATGCTGACCAGAAGAAATGTCAGAGTATGTTCTCTGTCATTTATAAGATCTGCCCCCTCAAGCTTTCCATCGCATATTTCCTTGTTACCAATCTTTTTTTAAGTAACTTTTTTTTTAAATCAGAAGGGAAAAAAAATGTTCATGCTTTCATGCTACAGGTCACGTAACAGAGGTGCACAGCAGATTCTGAGGTTTGCAGTATGCTGACATTGGCAACTCTGATCGCTTTCTCTGAAAGGCCTGTGCCACTCGTCACGTTAACAATGTGGCTACAATTGCGAGAAAAAAAATGGTATCTAGCACACACACATACACACAGAAAAACCTCACAACTCGGCATTAAATACCATACCTGATGGATTTCTCAATCTCTGTTTTTCCCCCCATAAAGAGAAGTCTAGTAGTGATTGAGGACAGAACATTTTATATGATCATATTAAGTTTAAAAAACAGATGGATCAGTCGCTAAATGATCCTGAAATTCTGAAGAGCAGAACCTGCACAGTCTTACTGCACTGGTGTTTCATGGGACACAGGTGTGGCAGAGAGGATGGTCATATAGGTAAGAGCAGTCTGCAGAACAGGAGCGCCGGGAAGCAAAACTCACAGGTTCGGATGAACTTCCTCAAAGAGAACATGCAGTGTGTTATAAACACTGTGCTGCACACAATGTGGCCTTTATAGCTGCGTGAATGTGCTGCCCATGACTTCCAGCACGTCTAACATAGAAGTTGCAAATGTTAACTAATAATATAGCTCCTTTGTGACTGAATGCAGGACTGCACTGCGGCCCTCCAAGGGAGTCCATGATACTCTGTCCTGTATGGGAAAAGGACATAAGTGCATGTGAGCACCTGAAGGGGGGTAACCGATGCACAAATTGTCCCTACCACCTCTCCCTACAGTTACACCCATGTGTATACACAAGGATAACTACAGTTTTCTTAAATTTTCCTTTTGATTCATTGTTTTGCCCGAAAGCAGGTAGTTTAAGATCAGACAAATTCAAATAACTTTCATATAGCACCTTCCCAAATCTGGTTGTCCCAAAGCAGGTAAGAAATCCGGACTCTGTTTTGTCACTCAGAACTTGTTTAAGTTACTATGGTGTCTAACACATGAACTGGTTTATTTTCACCCCCATTTCAGGAAATGCTTCAAAAACAGGAAAACATGGCTCGAGGTCACCATCTGTCTCCTGTCCGTCTAGCCAAACTCACATGGACAATGTAAGCAAAGCAGAACCCCCCCCCGTAATGCTGACTGTGGGCAGCACGTCTGCTTGGTCTTCTGGGTGATGGGAAAGGAGAACGGGGAAGCCATGAAACATGCCCCGAGGGCGGGGAACCGGGAAAGTCGTTCCACACTTGGGAAAGAAAGTAAAAGGTGGAAAAAAAGACTGAGTCCAAGGAAGAGCTTCCAATGACGATATTTACACATTCGATATTCACAGTCGTGATACTGTATGTTAATACGCCATACTAGTGGGTTATTAATATGAAATCCCTTAAGCTCTGTGGCAGTCAGGAGGAGGAGCGGACATTTAAATACTGACTGGAATAAACTCACACACGAAGGCCAGAGCCCTTCCCCATTTGATCGACAAACATCAGCCCCCCCGCCACACTTCTCTTTCAGTGAACAAGTTTATCTCTGGTCATAAGAGAGGAAGAGACTAAAAGAACATTTAATATTGGTGTGGACAGCAGCTTGGCCATCTGTTTGTGGCTTTCAGACTGTCCTTGTCACGCTGACTGTGTGCTGCACTGACCCTGCTAGTCAATCCGTTGTCTGCAGACAATCAGAGTAATAATATTTTTTTAAAAATCAGTAAAAAATCCATACATGCAAATTACACAATTTAAATCCAATAACTCAAAAAAGTATATATTACATTATATATACATTATGCACACACACACAGATATATACTGCCAAATATATATAGATATATATATACTGCCAACTTCGAGGTAATGAACAGTAACAGCAAAACACTATCAGTAACAGAACAGAGAGCTGCACTGCACTGATAAGATGTGCTAGACAAAAAATGACTACTAAAAATATCTTGGCAGCTCACAGGCTGCCCTGCAATCTTATCAGCCCATTCATGACAACATCTTTGGGTTTAATGTTGTGGTTTCCTCCTGTTGTAGTGGTAATTTTTAAAATATTTAATACAGAAGTTTAATATGGGCATCTTACTATATTCTTGTTGACATATTTCATATTATTCAAAACAGGAATTTTGTGAGGGAAATATTTATCTAATCATTCATCAAAACTGGGGGGTTTCTTTACTCTTCACGCAATTTTTTAGATTAAATGAAGATATCTAGCCACCATCCAGCTCTAGCGCAACATTTGTAAAGCACACCAAACTAACACAACTTTATAATGGTAAATTTAAACGAAAAAGGGATACTTGCAACCAGCCAGCTAAGTTATCTATGTATTTTAGTAATAAGCTAGACCATCTCCAACCAAGATTATCCAATAAAAATATTAATTACAAATAATAATAATATCTTAAATAACAGGGAATTTGAAGCAAATGGCCCAGATAGAAACGCATAAATGAAGTGCACAACATCTTTCAAACAACAAAACCAAAGACGTAGAACTGTTCGAAATTAACGGACGGCCATCAAAATCGTAATTGTACAGTTGTAACGTTTTTTTTATGTCATTAACCTTAATTGCATTAATACTCCAATGGGCGAATAGCGTAAACAAAGATTATTAAAGTAATTTGATTTCTATACTGAATACAGACTTTGTAAAATCTTTTCTTGAGCATGATGAGAACCTGTTGCTGGAGCAGAACCAGCAACCCCGTGGAAGTTACACCACAAAACTTCCCACTGAGCCACCAAGCCACTAATTTCCCATCTTTGTCTTACCATAGCGACATGTTTGTGTAAGATAACAACATAAGTTGTGAAAGCAACGACTTTGGATAACCAAAGCATGTTCAAAATCAGCCTTCAAAACAAAAAATAACATATCCCTGTACAGGAACATATGAACTGGTAGGTGGAAAAGAGGGGATTTTCCCTTCATGTGTATTTGAAATGAAGACATCATTTCCCTATACCACGCCGTTTTCTAGGTTTAACCAGTCAATCATCCTGCCATAACCCAGACATTATTATATAGTA